GTGGGGGTGGGGTGGGGTGGGGTGGGGTGGGGTGGGGTGGGGTGGGGGTGGGGGTGGGGGTGGGGGTGGGGGTGGGGGGTCCCGGACGTGATGTGACGGGGAATGGGTGAACATGGCGGCGCGGCAGCGGATGATGACGAACCCCGCGCATGGACCCGCAGCGTAAAGAGGGAGGCTGTGCGGTGTTTTTACTTTCTACTGATCCGCCAGTGGAATAGCATACAATAAGCACCGCACAGCCCCACCCCACTATTGTTTGCCACATGCATAACTCCTGTAATATTTTTAGCAAGCTGACGCGTTGCGGCGAAGCGCTGACGGACGCTGCGTTGTGCCGCACCGCACAGTGCAGCGCAGTGCAGTGCAGTGCAGTGCGAGAGGACACAGGCTCTGTGTCCCACCCCGGTCCGGCTGTCCGTATTCCTCCTCGCCAAGGTTACGGGAGCGACACCGCCCTGTCCTCCCCCACCCCTACCGGTATGCTGCTGCCAGTATGGCGGTGTGGAGTAGCATGTGGACGGCGGTGAAGACCACGTAGTTGGTTAGCAGGTGGGCCGGGAGACCGCCGCCGGGGGGGGTGCACGCGCCGAACGCGCCGCACAGCAGCGCCACAGCCGCCGCCACACCCACTCCCGCAGCGCCCTCCGCCGCCAACTCTGTGAGGACCCCCGCCGACGGCACCGGCGGCAGCGCCAGGGGAGCCGTACAGCAACACGGCAGAAAAGTTGAACGTTGACGGAAACGTTTTATACGACACGACAGATGCAGAAGGGACAGAAGGGAGAATCTTAGAGGACACAAAGCTGGGGTCGGGTTGATGATGATCTTTTAATGCGTCGAAAACTGGGGGCAGCCGTGAACTGTTGGGAGACAGTTGACATAGCTACTAAAGGAAGAGAAACCTTCCTCAACACACCAAGAACATGAAGAGCTTTGCCGCGAGGTATGTCACCTCACAAACTAAGATACGAGAACAACCGGTGCGAAGCAGCCAGACCGATGCATGCGCCGAAACCAGCTGTACCGCACCTCGAGCCACGTATGCGTCGTGCTGAGTAATGGTCAATCGCCGTACCAGCCGCCGCTTCTCATGCAGCGACCGCAATGCCGCTTCTGCCTGTGAAAAGCGCGGGCAAGCTGTCAGGCGTGGGGGAGGGGCCGCAACCTGGGAGGAACATTCCCAGCAAACGTCGAAGTAGTACCAACTGGCATCCTCCACGCATTCAGGCAAACCTGATCTACAGCAGCCGCGAGTGCAGGTAGAGAGAATGCTGCTACTGCCGCTGCTGCCGCCGCTGCTACTGCCGCCGCTGCTGCTGCCGCTGCAGCTGCTCTGCGGGTTCCACAATCACGTCCCGGGCTAAACATCCAACCTTTCACCACCCTACTAGCTGCCTTGGGAATCCCAAATCCCAGATCCAGATCCAGATCCACACCCAGATCGCCTGTGGGGCCCTTCCTCAGCCTTCCCGGCCCCTCGGGGCGCCTGGAGAGAGGCCCCCCGCGCGATGGCGGGGCCTACCAGGGTAGTCCGTGTGAAACAACGGACGCAACATCCCGAGGCCACCCCCCCGGCCCGTCACCTTCCTCCATACCTGCAACTCCAAGTCGGGGCGAGCTGCCAGTAGCAGTTGATAAGCCCCTCGCAACCGGCGGCACGTCATGGCAGCACACGCCACCGCCCGCAGTCCCGCCAGGCTCGCGTCGCCGCTGCCGCCGCCGCCGCGGCGGTCACCGCCACCGCCGCCGCTGCTGCCCCGGCCGCCGCTGCTGCCCCTCTCGCCGGCTCCCCAAACCCACGCTGCAGTTGGTACGGCTGCCGCTGGCGCCGCCGGCAGCCTGGTGGGGCTTGGCTCCAGGCTGGCGATGAGTGCGAAGCTCCAGCCTGGGCTGTTTGGAGCGTTGCGTGGCGTGCCGCCGCCGCCGCGCCGCGTGGGGCTTATGCTCAGAACGGGCACGTCTCTACCTGTGAGTCCTGCAGACCCAGGGGTCACGCAGGCCAGTGTGATGAGCAGCAGGAGCTCGTTGGGAAGGTCCAGGAGGGGGCAGGGCTCCTCTTGCGGCGGATTAGCCGGCGTGAATGGAGGGTGTAGTGGATGTAGCTGTTGAATGGGTGCGCTGACGACCGAGGTTGCGACGCTCGCGGCGGCAGCGGCAGCAGCCGCCGCCGCGGCCGCGGCGGCAGCGGCACCGTCCGTCCAGCGGCGCGGCAGTAGCAGTGTGGGCAGCGCGGTAAACGGCGGCGACCGCAGCGTCAGCGGCGACGGTGACTGCTGCTGTAGCTGGGTGCAGTTGAAGGATACGTGGCGCAGGGAGGAGGTGGCGATCAGGTCGGGACGGGACGTCCGCCGCAAGGAAGTGCTACTGCCGGCCGCAGCGCGGCTGCCGCAACGGTCAGACGGCCCGATCGCGACGGAACCACCTTTGGACGGACTGATCTCCGTGACAAACCTCCGACACCGTACCGCAGCGGCGGCGGAGTCCGCCGGCGGAGGCGGCGGCGGCCGAGGGGATGGCGGTGTCGGCTGCGGCGGTGGCGACGGCGGCAGTGATGGCGTCAGCGGCCTGTCACGCGTCGGCCCACCGTTGAATTGCGGCTCGGGTGCCGGCGGCTGGTGACGGTACGGGACTCGGCGGAGGATACCCGCTGACGTGTATGCGCCGCCGTACGACTCATACACCTCGTCGACGAGCGTTGCAAACACCTCTAATTGGCGCTGTAAGACGGAGCTGCTGCCGGGGGGCAAGAGGGCGTTGACCAGTGCGTCGTTTTCCGCTGCGGTGCGACTAGTTCCGACTTCAGCTGCGCCGACTGTAGTGGTGGCAACGGTGCTGGTGGCCGCGCTGGCTGTGGCCATAGTAGTATTGTTGTTGTAGTTGTCGTTAATGGTGCTGGTTGCGACGATGCTTGTTGAGACGGTTGTAGTGCCGGCAGCCGCAGGTGCCTCGCTGGGTGCTGGGTCAACCATCGCATGCAAGTCCATGAGACTCCCTAGAGGCAAAGACGTATTTTCCATATCCGCATCCATGCCTGCATAAACTGTCGATGAGCTCACGGTCAAAAGAGTAAGGAGGTTCGGATGTGCTTTGAAGCCTGAAGTAAGGACAGGAGAAGCTTCTCAGGTGTTCGATTGGAAGCTCTATGGACGTTTTCTCTGTGGAAATTCCTACCTGGAACTGTTGTACAAAAATACTTGTGAGGTGAACCGGAGCGCCACCTTGCAATTGCCCTTTTATGGGAGGGTGACGCGGCCTGACGACAGAAAGTCAAAAAGGTGAAAGCTGTCGTTTTGAAAGGTGAGCAATTGTGACACATACTGTACTTGAAAGGCCTTGACTCATTTCACCCACGAATCGGAACGTGCCTTAGGGAACACGTTCCTTACTCGTGGTTCTTGCCGTCCCGAGCTTGCCGTCCACCTTGGACGTACGGCAATGCCTGTCTCTGCCATTGCGAGAAGCAGTGTCAATCTAGCTTTGCTGCACGCTTTTTCGATGGCCATGCAAAGCATCTAACAATGCGTTTTGTTAATTATAGGGCTTAAAATTGTGTCGCCTTTACCAGCTTTACCGCGGTACTCGGCGGAACTACCCAGTGCGCCGACGTCGTGAGGTTTTTCAACATTCCAAAGCCACCCAATGAGTTTCCTTGACGTGGCCCATCACCAAGCCCACGGCCATTCCGACTACTTAACCTATACGCTGCCATGTAACAGCGGCCCGGGTCCACCTGCCACGGCCGTAATTTGCTTGGCCTGTTTCCTGGACAGTCTTGCCGATGTAAACGCGCTTACCACAAGAAAGGCCTATGTAGTGAGGTGCGTTTACTTCTAAAGTCAAATAGCTATGGCATTAAATCACCAACCAACAGCGGCCCCGAAAAAGTAGCCTCAGCTTAAGACGCAACGCTTTAGTCGCAGTATTTCACGACCATACTCCTCAAGAGTATCAAGCTTGTCACTCCGCGCCTTGAAGCGATATCGTGGCTGAAAATCATCCGCGGCAGGCTGCTTATCGAAATGTTGACTTGCACTCCTGCGCCTGGGGCCGTCGGCGGCGCTGATTACGGCAGCGGTGGCAGCGCGCGCGGTCGAGCAGCGCTGCTGCAGGATATCGCACAGCAGCACGCATCCTTGGTGGTTTCGGCGCTGGTTGAGTTGGTGATGTGGTGCCCCGATGCGGCCCTTAGTGAGAGTTTACGGGGTCTCTGCGCCGTTGTATGTGACGCAACGGCGCTCAGCGGCGGCGGGCGCGACAACGCGGGGCCCGCCGGCGGCACAAACTTCCTGGCTGAGATGTTCGTACACAGGTCTGCGACACCGCTGATCCCAACGTAACATAGTTGAGGGCATTACCGAGATATTTGTTTCAACCTGCCTCTGTTGAATTTACAAAGCTGAGCATTTTATATGCTTCAATAAAAAAATTAAGAATTACATGCTAATAAATGTAGGATAACACGGTAACCGGGATAGATCACTCAGCTAGGTGCCTTCTGCCGCCCTCCCCTCGCCGCCAGCCGTCGCCGCCCCTTCATCCCCCGCGTCCCTCCCCCACAAACACGTTTTAACTTTCGGTATGTCACCTCCTACGCCGAAGCCCCGCCGCTCCCGCTCCGCTGGATGTGTTCGTGCACGTCGGCACAGGTGCGCAGCCGCTTTAGAGGACATCTTCGCAGCGGAGCCCCATCCCCATCCCCCTCCCCCTCCCCTGCCGGACAATCTCGGCCTGCAGCACTGCGTCCCTGCCGTGAACCCTGCGGGCCCCAACACCGTAACCCTGCTACAGCTCCTGGCGGACCTGGCGGCGCCCGCGCTGACCCGACGTGGCGGTAGCGAGGGTTGTAGCAGCGCAACAGCTGTCCTAGTGCGCGACCTGGCCACGTCACCGGTGCTGCTGAGGGGCTTGGTCGAGCCGCTGGAGGGCGTCAGTCGAGGCGGTGGCGGCGGCGGCGGCGGCGCCGCGGACGTCTCGTCGGCTGCCCACTGGACGGGATATGGGACGGGTGCGGCGGAGCCGCTCGCACTCAGGTGGGTGGCTGTGGGGGACGGTAATGCTGTTGTGGACCTGGCGGCGGTATTGCTGCTGCCGTACTGAAATCGCAGTCTCTGCCGTCGCGGTGTTGCCCCCTACGCGTCCCTAGGCTGCTGCTGGCGGCGGTGCAGCACCCGTCAGAGGAGGCGGCAGGGCTGGTGGCCGCGGCGGGGCAGCCGCTCTTCGAGCGCTGTGTCGCATTCCTCGGCCGCACGGGCACCTCTACTACCGCTGGGCCCAGCAGCGCCACCACAGCGGCGGGCTGGGGCCCGGGGCAGCTGCCGCTGCAGCATCACTTCGAGGGGCGGTCGCTGTGCCTCGAACTGCTGACTGCGCTGGCGGAACGGGGTACGGAGGCCCCACGCTTCTGACGCAGGGTGTGGTGTGATGCAGATCCCCGCGCAGCAGGAGCCGGTGTTTCGGATCGGCTTGGACGCCGTTACTTGCATTATAATGGCGGCATGCGGCAGCCCCTCCACCTCCACCTCCACCTCCACCTCCACCTGCTTTCGCACCCTGAACGACCTCTTGGTGACCTGGCTGACCTGACTGAACACACGCAGGTTGCCTGCTGGAACAGACCCACGGGTCATTGGGTGTCAACCTGGCGGCGAGCAGCCAGCTGGCGGCGCAGCTCGTGACGGGCCTGAAGCCCTGCCTTCTGGACTCCTCGCGGCCCGCACTGCAGGCCGCGGCGTGCCGGCTGCTGGGCGTCGTGGCGGGCCGTTCGCATCCCCGCCTGGTCCAGCAGCTCATCGAGGCGGACCTGGCGGAGTACCTCTTTGAGGTGCTCCGTACGGCGGCGACGGCTATGGGTGGCGGCGGCGGTGGCGGCGCGCTTCGCCCGCCGCTGCCGCCGGGTAGACCGCAGGGCGCTGTCACTGGGGCTGTGGAGGCCGCCCATGACCTGTGTCGGGTGGCTGTGGTGGCGCTGAGCTATCTGGCATTGGAAGGTACGGTAGGTTACAAGTTATAAGTTCGGCACACAACGCGGGTGTGTCCATAAAAGCCGGGGGGCCCATGGACGTAGGCGGGGGCTAAGATGAACGGATTCTCTGGATGCAGGGCGGCTTCTTATCCGTACATGTCTTTCTTCGTGTCATGTTCATGTTCACGTTGGGCACGTGTGTGCGGTGGGTGTTTAGCCGGTGGCACTGCCAGCTGCTTCGGCTGGAAGTACGGATTGTACTGCACTGCCGCTGCCCGCTGCCGCTGCCAGGGCCCCACCTCCAAAGCCGGCTTCCCTTCGGTGTTGAGGTGCTCACGGAGCTTTGCGCTGCAGCCGCCGTCAGCTTTGACCACGGGCTGGCGGCCGACCTGACGGCGCTCCTGCGGCTGGCGATCTCACCGTTGCCGTACGACCACCACACCGTGGGTCCTGAGGACGCTGCAGCGGCGGGAGGGAGCAGACCTCCGGCCCGGTTGCCCCTGATCGACGTCAAGCGAATAACTACCGCCGTGAGCACATCCTGATGGGTGCGGGCAGCAGTACCGTTGACCAAGCCATGTCCCTTGTAACACGTGATTCTTAAATATCCAGTCAAGGCACCCCATGTGGTGATGTCATAAAGCTACCGGATGATCTGGTACTTTTTTTTTTGAACATCTACCTTTAGTGGCGCCCTGGCGTCGCTGCGGATGCAGTCGGCGTTATTATCATATATAGCTTTATGAAGAACTAAAGGGGATGAAAAACCAAAGGGTATGATACCGGGTAGCTATCGACTGCTGCCATCGTGCTTTCGGAGGCAAACCTAGCACGGGCACGAGCACCCACGAAATACCCCCTGCTACCCCCTGTCACCATCCTCGGTTTCCCCCATCCCTGTTGTGACAGGTGGAGCCCTTGTTTCCCCGCCCCTCCGCCGTGGACTACACGTCACGCGGCGGGGGCGGATTCCCTGCAGTTGCCGCCGGCTCGGATGATCCAGTGGAGTTGTCCGACGCGCATGCCGCCTGCTGCCGCTGCGCCTGCGAGGTGCTGTCCGGTGTGTGTGGCTGGCCCGGCCTGGCGCAACACGCGGGGGCGCTGCAGCCGCCGCTGCTGGCGGCCGTACGGTCGGCGCTGCGTGGGCTGTCAGTGACTGCGGCTGCTAGCCTTGGCTTTGATTCCGGTGAGCCGCAGAGTAACACACCGCGCTACAGGACGATACGACACGATTCAGATACGATGCGCTGCGCTGATGCTCGGCTGCAGCCCATGTATTGTGAGACAAGCAGCATGCACAGGCGGCTATTTCTTCAGGTTCCGTTATGTACTGAGTATCAAGAGATTGGTTGATTGATTCATTCATTCACCGGGTCTCACTGCGCTCGGTTGTTTGCGCATTCACGCTTGTGACTGGACGAATGAATGACTACTGGGTTGGGGTTTCCGGTTTTGTTGGAAAGTGGTTCTGACTGCGCGGAAGGGCGGCAGCATGAGGTTATGGCTTGGGAATCTGAGGGCTGTGCTGCCACCGCTGGGGTTAGGGGGACGCATCGGGCGACGTTTTGTTGTCGCTGCCCCGCCGCAGGGGGCTACCTGCGGTCTGCGTGTCATCTGGCGGTGGCCGCGGCGGCCGCATTGCCGCCCTTGGCGCCGCCAAGTGCGGATGTGGCCGCGGCGGCGGCTGGCGACCTCGGGGAGGCCGAAGGAGGGGCGGCGCCGCTGCTGGGTCCTCGACGGCTGACGGCGGAGTTTTTGCGAATGTGGGAAGAGTGGCTGCTGGCCGCAGTTGACAGGTCGGTCGGTCGGTCAGTCGGTCGGTCAGTCGGTCTGTCGGTCTGCATGTCGGTCTGTGGGCTGTGAGGAGATTAGCCGTCCTCCTGGCCGCAACCCCGTGTAGCCGGAGGGATGGTCAGGACTGGGGAGCAGAGCAGCGGAGAGTTCGGTTGCGGGAGACATCCAAGCCAAAGATTTTCCTTTTTCCTCCTAAATTCCCTCGACTGCTGTCCTCCTGCCAGGTGGCACCGCGAGACGCGGGAGCTGGGAGCAGAACCACGACACCAGCTGCCGGTTATTGCCGTTGCATGCCACGCCGCCACAGTGCCCCTGCTCTCCGCCCTAAGCACCAGCTCCCAAACTGGCACAGCTGCAGCCACAGCTGGGGACCATCCGCAGCCGCAGATGGTTGACGATCCCGCCGTCGGCGCCGCAACGGCGCTGGCGGCGCGCCTTCTGGCCGGTGGATGGGTGCAGTTCAGCTTTGAGGTCCTGGCGGCAGCAGCGGCTGTGGTGCCGGAGGATGCACACGCTTGTGCGACCTCTGTGACACCTGGGTTGCTGCCCGGAGGTGTGAAGCTGGAGTGCAGTGGTGGTACTGACGGCGGCGGAGGAGGAAGAAACGGGCAGGAGGCTAGGGACGGCGGTGTGGCGGCGGAGGCGCGGCTGCAAGTTTGGCGGCTGCTGATGCTCGTGTCGGCCGTATGTGCTATCAGCGGCGGCGCGGACGGGAGTGGCGGCATGGGGCCGGCAGACGACGTGGTGGAGCCAGCGGCCGGGGTGTACGACAGCATGGCCGCGTTAATGAGCGGATTTGAAAGCGTGGCGCATGTGCTGGAGTTCCTAGCCACAGGTAGGGCAAAGTCAGGCTAAGAAAAGCAGGGATAGTGGCTTCCATAGAGCCTCTCCTCGGCGAGGGTTGGACCGAAGGACCGGTTACCGGGGGCTACCTGTCTCTGGAGCAGGGAATGGGTTTACAGTTCGGTGTTATGCTTCGCTTCGAACTCTTAAGGCGACACTCTTGGTCCTGACTCATGCCGGGGTCAAGGTGGAGATTCGGAGCCCGCTGTCCACAGCCACAGAGGTCCATCCATCCATCCATCCATGTGTGTGTATCCATCCATCTATATCCCGGTCCAATGCCTGGCCTATGGGGTATGGGGTATGGCCGCGTCCGAATGACGAATGGGTTTTTCCTGGCTTGCCCCTTGAGTTCACCCCTTTCCTTCGTGCCCCAGGTGGGGTCCAGCAGGTGGCAGCTGCCGCCGCAGCTGGCCCGTGTCAGGCCCGCACAGCAGGCGCCGCCGTCGACGGCTTCCTACGCCTGCTGCGCTGCGCGCTGGCGGCCGGAGACCTGGGCTGGGCAGTGGCCGGCCGGTCCGGACTGGAGTGGCTGCTGGGGGCGCTGGCACGTGTGTTGGTGGAGCCCTTCGTACAGCAGTGAGTTCCCATCAAGATGCCTTCAAAAACTCCCAGTCACGGCTCTCATCATGGCGCTTGCCTCCACCATAAGCATGTGTTACCTCTCTTTTTTGTGCGTGTGTGCTGTGTGTGCTGTGTGCATTTCGTTCTCCGGTTAGGTTATCCTAACATAAATGCAAGGCGCCTCCGGACCTGCCTTGCCTTGCCTTGCCTTGCCATGTCGTCAAGCACAGAGAGAAGAAAGGACTTGGCACGTAGTACCGCCGGCCCAGATTTGTACCCTTGCTTTGTGTCCGTCCTCATCAGCCCACCCCGCGCCCTTTTGTCATCCGTCCTGGTACTCTTGGCAGGTATTGGCCGCGAGCCTGGTGGCAGTGCCTGCACTTGTATCGTGAGGTAGAGGCCCGTGTAGCGGCGGCACAAGGACCGCTGGCACTGCCGCCGCAGATGATACCCTCCCTGGAACAAATGTTCACGATGACGATGTGGCCGGCGGAGGAGGCATCGCAGCGGATGACAGCGGACTCCAAGCCGCCGCAGGCGACTGCGTTCCCTGGAGCGTGCGGGGTGGCGGCGCCGCTATTGCGTGTGAGCTTGCCAGTGTCAGTGTGGGTGATGCAGCACGGCGATGAGCTCCCCAGGTGAGAAGAGGTGAATACTAAAGCCGCCTAAGCAGGTGCTGATCGCGTAATTTTATTACGGTGTCTTGGAAGTAGGAACGCTGCTTTATGGGCACCTGGTGCTCGTGCGAGCTTGGCCCTTCCACATGGCCGGTATGTTGTACCCCACCCTTCCCATGTGTTCCGCCTCTGCATCCATGTAAACCAATGTCGTGCAGCATCATCGCCGCAGCGCTGCCCATCTGGCTGGGTCTGCAGAGCGGCTCCAAGGCTGGGGCAGTGGAGGAGGAGATGCGATACATCCATTCCGACGCAGCTGCGGAACGGAATGCACCAGGCCGGGCTGCCGACCAAGACCTTGAGGCGACGGAGGATTCCGCCCAGGACGTCCTTGATGCTGCGGCGGGCGTTGCGGCGAGCTACGGCGCCGTCACCGTCGCCACGAAGTTGCTGCAGCGCTGCGTGGAAGCCGGCGTCGGCGTCACTAGCTGGGCGCGAGGCGGCGGCGGCGGAAGCGGCGACGGAGGCAAGGGAAATGGCAGACCCAGCGACAGCCTGCTCGGCGTCCCCGACGCCCTGTCTGCCGCTCGGCTGCAGATCCGCCTGCTGCAGCTGCTGTCGACCTGTCTTGGTGTAAGGCCGCAGCTAGCGGCCACGATGCTGGATGCTGGGCTTCTTGCCAGCACACGGAGGATGTTGCTTGATTTGGCAACTGCTGCGGGCCAGGGTGAACCATGCGCAATCCTCAGCGTGACGTGGGTGTTGTTGTTGCTGGCGCAACTGCTGCTGGCAGTGACTGTGGTAGTGGCTGAGGACACCGGTTCCGAGGGAGGCGCCGCAGTGGGCGCTGGGTCGTTGTCAGTGGGGGTGCTGTCGGAAATTTGCCAACAGCTGGCCAGGGCGGCAGTCAAGGTGCTGGTGCAGCCGCAGCAACAGCCGCTACAGCAACAGCCGCTACAGCAATTTCCCGAGGGCTGGCAGAGCGGCAGCATCCCACCAATTGTTAACCGCAGCAGCGCCGCAATTGAAAGGGAAGGCGCTGCGTCCGCTAGGCTGCGGGCAGCGTGCTTCGATGCGAGTGCTTTGGGCATCACGCTGGTGGGTGCATGTCTTGAAGTTGGGATGTGCTCAGCCACAGCGTATGGGGTACAAGGGGAAATGCGATAAGCCGGGCAGGGAACTGGGCGCAGTAATACTTCCCGGAACCCTTTGGCTAGAGTGGCTGCTGCGCGATTGAAGTTCTGATTGGGTGCCGGCGCAGCAAGCATGTCATGTTACTCCCTTTCTTAAAGCCTTCCTTGTCCCTTTCTTAAAGCCTAGGCGCTAAACGGTGGCCCAGGTTGCTGTGTGCAGGACCTAGCATTAGGCGGCCATGTGCCCGCGGCGGCCATGTTAGCGGAGAGTGAGGCGGCCCAGCGCACGGCGAGGATGGCGGTAACAGAGGCCGCTGGGGGCGGCAGCTCGGCTGATGAGGTGAGAAGTTAGGCCGTTGCGGTAACAACGAAGTGCAGGTCAAATCTGCCGGCAAATTAAAACTGTTTGTCGTGATACCCTTCTACAGGCTTGCATAAGGTTGCAGAAGACCACCTTTCTATTTGCCAACATCCGCCTCACACCCGTTCAGTGTTATTCCATACATCCCTCAATTCATCCAATCGATCTCTGGCAGAACCGCCAAAACCGCCATTACTTTTGCTCTGCCCCGCTGCCATTCGCCGCCGGCCGCCGCAACCCTGCACAGATCCTCTGCGCTCCCGCGCTGCTCTATTTGGCCGTGTCCGCCTTGCACCAGTGCACCGGCACCAGCGGCGGGGGGCCCGCTGGTGGCCCCAGCGCCCTAGGCAACGCCGACCCGGCCGGCCCCAGGAAGGCTTCTGGGTGCACCACAGGCGGGAACAGCAGCAGCTTCGCCGGCCCTGTCAGCCAACCGCACTTCCCACCGCCAGCACCGGCACTGCTCCTCCTTGAGGAGCTACTGCTGCTGGCGACCACTACCATGGCACCCGCGCTTCGAGTCCTCGCCCTACACTGCATCTGGCTGCGGCTGGTCCTGATGCCTGGTGGGGAACTTGAGGCACTGATTTTAGGCGCAGGCGGCGCAGGTAGTCAAGCCGCCTCGGAATCTGCCGGGCCAACTGGACAGGGGGCGTGCTGGGGGGAGCTAGGGCCTGCCCAGCGTTTGGAGCTGTTGTCATACACCCTCAGCAACTCAGCCTGTGACGATTTGGCGTGTGTCAGGTGCGATGGGCCATGGGTCGGCGTGTGCATGGGTGCAGATGCGGCGAATAGGCGGTCTCGCTTCATGTGAGATGTGGGTGGGCGTGCGAAAGCACGCAGCGCTCTTGGGCTCGACATGGTAACCCGCGGGATCCTCGCTGCCTGGTCCGTACTTCCGGACACCCGGATTTAGTACTTCCGGCCTTGTCGCACAATTAATAATGTCCCTTAACTCCTTGGACTGGATTTCCGGGTCAGTTTTTTCCAATCCAACACAAAAGTCCTAAAACTTGCAGCTCTCGTCGCTGCAGGGCACCAGCTCTACTCGGTCTGATCGTACTGGCATCATGGTCCAGAGAGCATGCGGTGGCCGCGGACGGAGGCTGTGCCTCCAAGCCCCTACAGCGCATCCTGCCCTGGGCAAGGACGCTGCTAAACCAGGCTGTTGGACGAGTTTGTGCCGCCCAAGGCGCAGTTGGCGGCATGCGTGGTTTTGGCTTCAACGCTGCTGATGATGATGGCCGCGGGCCGCCTCTACATGCTGAGCTGCTGGCGGCACTGCACGGTCTGCCGGATCTGGCGCTCCTCTGTGCGTTTTTGAAAGCCGCCGCGGGGGCTACTGCGGCGGAGCACCAAAGGCCGGGCCAGGCGTGTAAGGGGACTTCTGGAGGGGCCAGAAATGGCAGCAGCGGAGGCAGTGGTAGTGCTGCGCTAGGCTGGGTAATTGGCGACCTGCGCAACGCTGCGGCGGATAATCTGTTGGTCCAGGCGTTGCTGCAGCCGCCGCACGAGGCAGCACAGCCGCTGGCGAACTCCTGCAGCGTGGAGCTGGTGCGACAGGGCTTGATGGATCCGGCTACACTGGGTCGCGCGCGTAATGCGGTGGCCGGTCGGGTGTGGCGATCCCAGCAGCACCAGCAGCAGCAGCAGCAAGGGAGAGGCGGCAATCCTGGGCATGGACTAAATGGACCGGTCATGATGCAGCACCTGCTGCGGCTTTCGTCTGATGTCGAGCCTGCTGCAGCGGCAGTGACGTCGGCAGCTATGTGCAGTCCAGCTTACCCACTGTGCTGCTCGGACACGTACCGATCTTGGGTCGTGTTGGCACTCCTGTTCGCGATGTTGAGTCAGGAGTGGAACCGCGGTTTCGGTTCTGGCTTTACGGATAACAAGGAGCCAAGGGGACCTGGGAGGGAGCTTGGAAGAGGAATGAGGTTGCAGGGCTCGGTTGGGGATTGGCTGCTAAAGGAACCGTTTGGGGGAGCAGATGATGAGGCTCTGCTCCGCTGCATTGACGACCGCCTGAGAATTCTTTCCTCACGCGCGCAGTGAAATGTAATCCTGCCTATTTATGCCTACGAAGGTTTATGCCATGACTTCGTCGTTTTTCTTATTCAAGATAAATCGGGTATCGGGTTGAATTTACGCAGGATTGTTGCAAACAGCGTGCACGTGCAAATTCTGCGAGCTTCCATTTTATCACAACTTAGCCCGTGGCTCGTCCCTGATGATTTGCAGTGAATGCAGTGTTATGTCCTATTCCAAGCTGGCGTGCTGGTCAGACTCGTAAAGCCCAGACGAGCCAGAAGGCTCTAAAGCGCGAAGTCTAGTGTAATGAAGCATTCTACAAAATTCAACCTTTATATTTCTATTTGTTTTTTCCACGATGCGAATTTCCGCGCGAACATGGTGAACAAGGTTCTCTAGCGTATTTTCCATATACAGCAAGTTGCAACAGCAGTGAAAGATTTTCAAATGGTATGTAGCTCTTCATTCTGACTACTTCTGGGCCGAGTCGCGTATGAAGGGCTAAGTTCAGGATGCTCGTCATTCAATACCGAGGATTGGATCCTAAACACTGTTTTGTGAACTTGGTCTAAGTTTTGAAATTTACCTCTGTACAGCGTATGTTAAATCACATCTAAGTCTAAGTTTTGAAATTTACCTCTATACAGCGTATGTTAAACCACATCTAAAGATAGATAGATGGACAGTCTTGTAAGGAAACCTTTCATCTGTCAGCGGGCACCAGCCAGCACAGTGGCACTGCAGGCACTGAACCAGGTGTACACAAGGCACTTCTTATGCATGGTTAGGCACTTTCCATTACTTTCCATTACGATCAACCGAATTTTGTCCCAGCCGGCTACCGATTGGTAGGGTAGCCTAACGGTAGGGTGACCCATCTGTAGGGATAGGGTAAAAGCCGTTGTTTCAAAAGTAAGCGATGTTTGCCTAGTTACTCGGCTACTAGAAAGTGACAGTATAAATAGAGCGCACCGGAAGATGAAGTACACACGCAGAACATCATGAAACACAAACTGCACGCCAGGACGAGGCTGTTCCGAAAGAAATGGAAAAGAAGTGAGGCCCAGTGGGAGCGGAGGGGGCATTGACCCAGCTCCTTAAACAAAGAAGGATTATCCAGCGATCTTCCAAAGTAGCAGGAGCGCCCACGCGCGTCAGGTGGTCGTTCAGCGTGGATTGAGGGTGATGAAGGCGATACCGTGCAGAAGTTTGTTTGGCGACGACGCCGCTTGGTGTGGAAACTCGGAGGCATATGAATGGTCTGGTCTGGGTTGACACTACTGCGATTCGCGGTTTAAGGTCCTGGGTTCGATTCCTGGGGAGATCCCCGAATTAGTCGGGAGCGCGAGATTATGGCTAGCTGCTGAGATGTGGAGTTGAGGTCACAGTTGATGGACCAGATTCGCACGCTAGATTGGTGGCGATTGCCGAACCCTCCGTCTCTTCGGTTGTTCGGGTGAATGGATGAGGAGGGGTCCTAGACGGCTGGACCCGCCGCCTTGGACTTACAGTTCGTATGGCGAAGTATAGTGTGGTAGTGGTGGACGGTGCTATAAGATGATAAATCGTAGAACTGACAATGTGATAAAGCGGCCCAGAAGCCTCCCACTCTGTAACATTACATTACATTACATTACAAATATGAATATAGGTAAACGATTTCTTCTGTGATTCGTACAAGTGCAGACGTCGTTGGCCCGGCAAGTAATGCAGGAAATGTTCTTGGTTTTTGCAGGGAGATTGCTGGAAGGTTATCATTGCAGATGGCGTGGAGAGATGGCTATGGCGAGAATTAGCAAAGGACCGGATTGTGAGATCTATAGCATTTGCAAGAAGCAGCAGTGCGCCGAGAAACATATGGGGGACGCGCACGGTAGATCTGCATACTGCACAACTCACGGGATACTAGAACGGATTATTGCATGAACTTCAGAAGTAGTCATAGTTCCGTTGGGCCGTGTGCTCCATTACCTGTTCATGTGGGTCTTTGTAAGAATAAAAGACATGATTAGCCATCGATTCTGTTAAGATGCTGGTGTCGGATTAGCTCGTCAATGTAACCGTATCCACCATAGTAGCTAGATTGGAGTACGTTACAGGCAAAGGTTTACAGTGCATGTGCGGAGGGAAGGGGCGGGTGGTCATGTAACTACGCTAGAGCGGCATCTTCATGGGTCGTGCCATCTGTTTGGTTGCACTCTGCCGATGTACTTATACGCACAATTGGGGGAACCAAACGGATTGGCAATGCGAACGAACGGTTTACAACACGAACAAACGTGATAACTACACAACAGCTGCTTCCTCGATGCCTCCGTTCCAAATGGCTGTGCTCTCTGCCGTACAACATGTCCATTCAAGGGAACGAGGCTTACTTTTTGTACTTGCGAATGCATGGCTATCTGCTTATTGCTTCGAGTACGTGCCCTTAGGTGTACTTCAACAGAAGTAATTTATTGTGATTCCTTCTTTCTCTTATTCGAAAAGTGCGATAAAATCCATTCCCCCCAAGGGGGCCATCGAGCTGGAATTGCCCGATGCAGGCGCATCCTCTTGTTAGACGGCTTGAGGGAATAGGATACTGTAGCGAAACTGTGCAAGCAGCTTTCAGGGAGTTACTAAGTCGACGCGATTGTCAAGCAGTCGATATACGCGACAATGAGGAGACTGTAAATGCCATCCTGGATATTATTCTCGGTGCTGACGAAGATGATTTGGATGGAAATGAGGACCTGATGCCGAGTCATGGGGAAAGCGAGAGCAGCGGCGAGTTGGATGGCGAGGGCGATGGCAGCGCGAGCAGTCTCGATGACGATGACGACTCAAGCAGCAGTGAGGGAGAGGACGGCGGAAGCGACTCGGAATGGGGAATCATGGAGCAGGAAAGCAGCGACGTGAGTGTGACATTGGTGCAGGGTGCGCACGTACATGCCTGTGCACGTCGACGTGGCAATCCATACTGCGCCGTGCTCCGTACTAACTCGACTGCTGTAAGAGAACTGCAATTCCGACCGCCATAAAACACAGGACGACTTAGTCATGGTGGCTCCGCCCGTTGTAAAGTCGACGAACGCAGGCAAGAACGCACAGGTTGGTCGCCCGGCTGCCGGCTTTGCCCTACTCCAGCGTGCGTTACGGTCTTGGGTTGTCCTATTGCCTTGGATTAACCGTGCAGCACTTATCGGCAGTCTTTATCGGCTGACTTCACTCATGCGGTAGGGTTAGGTGCACGCTTCCTCTAGCAAGCGTGAGTGGAAGTCCGTTGCTTGCCGTGCCCATTTCTAGCCCCAGAAGCAGGGCCTTGTGCCTTTGCACCTCCTTAACCGCCTCCATTTCCTGGACAAATCCGGCACGGGCAGGGGCCAGGGAGGCGCCGATCCACAGACATGGCACAGACAGGCCCACACCACCAAGCCGGCATCGCATCCTTTGCCACAGCTAATGCCTGTGGTGGTGTTGGTGCTGGCGGTGCTGGTGCTGGTGGTCCAGTTCCGGTCTGGATGGCTCCACCTTCGGACGACGAGATTCAGAGCGTTCGGATGGGAGGGATTGAGCCCCTGCTCCGACTGGCCAACAAGTGGGTCTGGGGCAAATGGTGGGAAATTGATGGCAATGGTGGGAAGGAATCAGAAGACAAGGCAGTGGTGGGGCAGAGCGTATCATGGACGTGGACGATGCCTTGGGGCACAGGCGCATGTGTGGCACCTTGATATTGTTTGATCTACCCTTCCGGTTGCCGTTGCATTTAGGGTCAATGGGGTTTATCACTGGCATCGTCGATATGCTCGCCACACTGCTGGCCTGTGCAGGCGTGTGTTCGGCAATGAAGGATTTCGACCCAACCAGATGGAAGTGATGAAGTCTACACTGTCCGGGCGGGATGTATTCGTGCTGATGCCCACTGGCGGCGGTAAAAGCCTGTGCTACCAGGTTGGTCAACCGGCCGGCTGCAGTGGCCATTACGCCATAGTCGGAACTTAGGGTTAAATTCACACAACCGGAAATCCAGCATACCTAACTGTCACCCTTGGGGCTGCCCTAAAGGGTTCGTTTTAACTGCCTCCACGCGCTTCGCTCCTGACCAGCTGGTGATCAGGTGAGTGTGAGACGTAAGATTATCTGTGCAGACCCTTGCATGGCGTCGTACACAACACTTGCTTCAGCACCCACGACAATCGTGGCTCCAACCCGCCTTTCCTAACGTTCCCATTCCTTCCCTCTCCTTGCACCCAACCCTTCCATAAATGAACTGATATGCGGCCGCCTATACATGTTGTCCTTGGGGCCAGCTGCCGGCTGTGGTCAGCCAGGGCGTCACTGTGGTGGTTTGTCCGCTGCTTTCACTGGTGAGTCCCGTGGAAGGCCTCCTACCTCCGCAGCGCCCTCTGTTCAAACGCTTCCGCCACCACGTGCACGTGTGCTTTTGCAACCCCGTGTCGTAGCCTTGGCCTCCCGCCCTGCGCCGTCCTGTTTCCGTGCTGCGCCTCCCCCGACCTGTGTGCCGTGACCTCCGCACATGCCGTGACCTCCTGACGATGCGTGCACGCCCCATCGCCGGGGCACGCCCGCCCCCTTTTTGACAAAAAAAAGATGCAAGACCAGGTCCGGGCGCTGTGCTCGTTGCCGGGCGGCGGCGTGCCAGCCACGTTCCTGAGCTCGCAGCAGACCCAGGACGAGGCGGTGTCGGTGCTGCGGGAGCTGTGCAAGGAGCGGCCTAGCTGTAAGCTGCTGTACCTCACACCCGAGGCGCTGGTCAAGGGAACCCGCGTCAAGGACCTCCTGGACCGACTGCACCAGCGTGGCCGGCTGGCGCGGTTCGTCATTGACGAGGTGCACAGTAGATTAGCCAGCTGCGGCAGGTCCTGTAGTGTGCAAGCCGGGGAAAGTTGCTCCTGCAATGAGTTCGCCCTTGCTTGTCATTGGTGCCGGGGCTCATTCCGTGCGCATGCACTGGCCTTGGGAACCGGCGGGATCGCCCTTTGGCTCTCTCTTTGTTCTCTTACCCTGACCATCGACCCCCGACCATCCGCCGCGGTCGTTGCTATGGTGCCGTCCCCAGGCGCATTGCGTGTCGACCTGGGGCCATGACTTCCGCCCTGACTATGCGCAGCTGGGGCTCCTGAAGGTGCGGTCAGTAGGGGCAGGGGGCCCCCCAGGAGGAGCTTGGGTTACCTAAGGGCTTTGAAGTGAGGTTTACTGAAAATGCCGCCATTCAGGGTCTGTTCTGTTGGGATTCAACAGCAGGCGTTGAGTTAGCGCTGTGGGCGTGTGATTTGGGTATGGCTTGGCATGTACAGCTAGTACAGCGTGCTTCGTGCTGCAGACGAGGGTGTGTACCGAGGGTCAAAAAGCACTTCCGTGGGGACTGTGGTAGGTCGGATACTTGCTTACTGCTTTATGGGCCTACGGCACAGTCAGGGTCTAGTCAGGTCCCTTAGTTACACAGAGAAGGGTATTGGGTTGATAATAGTCCCCCCTGCCTTTCTGGTCTATGCCATGCTGGCGGTTAAACTTCATGTGAATGTGAATTTTGGATCCGGGTAACCAATCTCAACCAATCCCCCCCCATGGCCGACAAACGCCGATCGGTTAACTCAGGTGCGATACCAGGGAGTGCCTATCATGGCCCTGACAGCCACGGCCACGGAGGAGGTCAAACAGGATATCTTGCGCAAGCTTTCCATTGACCGTACCGCCGCGACCTTCAAGGTGCGGTCACTCAACAACGTTTATCCGTCGCTCTTGTCGTTAATGGCCCATCCCTCCGTTCCTATTTGCACCTATTTGACCTGTATATGCAAGTTTGCACTCTCCGTCCGTTCAACACAGGCTCTAAGTGGCGCATTAACACGAGATTGCGCAGTGAAGGTTTAACCAGTCGTGTGTACTTGGTCAACGTGCTGCTGGTCCGCAGACGAGCTTCCATCGGCCCAACCTGGATTTCATTGTGTACGACAAGCCCGTTGGAAAAACTGAGGATAACAAACCCGCGGACATGGAGATGCTGGTGGCGCACATCACTCACAAGGGCGTCAACACTTCCGGTATCGTCTACTGCTTGTCAAGGGAGGACTGCGAGGATGTGGCGGGGTAGGCTGGCAGGGGCTCCAAGCGAGGTGAAAACTTCTATGCAAGATTTCGATCATTTCCTAGGGTTTGGGGCTCAACGTCGTCGAGCCTCCTTGGGTCGTTGAGCCTTGGCATGTTCCCGGCTTAACCCGGCACGTCTGGCTGTAGGTATCTGAATGCGAGGGACATTCGCGCGGCCCACTACCACGCCGGCATGACACCCAAGCAGCGCACACAGGTGAGGTGGGCCAACCGCCGCCTCCCCACCGCGTCCGCAAATGCTTCTGCATGAACTGGGTCGCAGTCCACGCTGGTCGCTTTTCCCACGGGTCAGGGACATGGATGCATCTCGCTTTGTGTCTGACCAGGTCAACATCTGACCAGGTCAACGCATACCGGTCGCAGAGCCGTGAAAGCTGAAACATACCGGTGCTTGAAACCCGCAGGTGCAGAACAAGTGGCGCGACGGCGAGATTGCGGTGGTGGTCGCCACAATTGCCTTTGGAATGGGTAAGGGCAACGGCTCTATCCGCCGATAAAACCATGGTGCACAGCGCTGGCTTTACCAACCTGGGTCGCCTCGTCATTACCAAGGTGGATTTTGTGACATGACATGACATGAATGTAAACTGACAGCCGACGCGCGCGCCATTCCTCGGCGCTGTAGGCATCGACAAGGCAAATGTCCGGTACGTCATCCACTTCAGCCTCAGCAAGAGCTTGGAGGGCTACTTTCAGGAAGCAGGACGCGCCGGGCGTGACGGACTGCCGTCCGAGTGCGTCATCTACAGCGCACCGAAGAAAGACGGGAACCGCCTGAGCTTCATGATCCACCAAGGCAAGCGAGTATTGAGTTTTCCACGGTGTCGATGGTAGCACGGCGTCCAGGACACGTAGGCTGATATACACGGGGAAGGGCAAGGTGGATCTGGTCGCTGATCTGCTGTTTTGGCGCACCTAACGGACTGTGTTGCATGCCGCTGTCATGAACCCTCCCATGGTTTCCGCACAGGTAGCAAGGGCAACCGCGACGCAGCGATGCGCCACTTGCAAGAGATGGTCGAGTACTGCAATGCACGAAGGTGCGAGCACCATTGTCTGTTGATGCTTGGCATTACCCTGGTGCCTTACTGTGGCGGCATGCCACATCCAATTCTCTTGAGAGGTGCACTTCGTTCTTGTTCTCCAAACACGCGGATACCCGTGAACAGACCTATCCCCACCATTCTCACTTTGATCTTCCCCACTTCTGTCCAGGCGATGCCGACACCAGATGCTCCTGCAGTATTTCGCGGACAACTCCCTGTCGTCTGGCTGCGGCAATCGGTGCGATAACTGCATGAACCGCAATAACCGTGACTGGTCGTACATGGAAAACGGTCAGGAGCTGGCGCCACCCCGCCAACCGCCTTGGATGGCGGTACTGGACGAGTCGGAAGGCGGCAGTGGGGCAAAGGGCGGCGGTAAGGAGCGTGGGGGACGCGCGGCTGGCAATGCGGCGGGGCGGAAGCGCCCCCCAGCTGCAGGTGCAGCGTCCGGGAACACGGGCTTTCAAACGGCAGCGAGCTTGATGCAATCGAATGGTGGAACTGGTAAGAGGCAAGCCACGGGCAAGTCGGGGGCCTCGCGTTTTCAGACAGCAGCTGTGTTGCATGGCGTTGCCGCCAATAGTGCCAAGTCAACTGGTGTGCACGCACCTAGCCGGCCCAAGCCCCAGCAGTTGGGCTTTGCACCCATGGTCACCGGCTACAACGATGCCCGCACGGGAGCGGACGCGGGTCCTGCTGCGGCAGCACGCAATCCCTTCATGCGCCTGGGTGCTGGCGGTGGAGCGGGTACGGAGAGCGTAGAGGCGCTGCCGCCACGGATCAGCGCTGCTGCGGCGGCTGCGAACGCCGCTATAATGCGAGCGGGAGCAGTGCAACATGGCAGTGCGTCGGCAGCACCGGCAGCAGCAGCCGTAGCGGCTCCAGCAACTGGAGGCCCCCCGCGGAAGCCGGTTATTAGTGCCCGAGCGCATGCCATGCAAGCAGCCAGCGTGCGCTTGCGCCGACAGCAGCAGGCGATTGCGCAACAGGAGATCGCGGCAGTGCAGGCAGGCCGTGCTGCGGTTGTTACATCACTGATTGTGGACGACAGCTAACATAGGATGGCGTGTGCTGCATTTCCCCGCTGGATCTCGCAAATGACTTGACCGCAGGTTGGACTGGAAGGTATCAGCATTGGCTCTGATGCATAAGTACACAAGAACTGGATGTGGTTGTGTCCCTGTGTATTGGAGCGTAGAACTGCTTTAATTTTCTTACACGTGACGGTTGGGCCCCGCTAATTGCCTGCTCTTGAGCTAGGGAGCCGAGCACGTGATCCTCGTACCTCCCTTAACGTATTATACAAACGAGGGGTACCTGCATACATAGTCTTGTACTCACCTTATACGAGGTACCCATAGGCGACTTGATCTACAAAGACAAGTACTGTGTCCGGATTTGTTTCCCAGCATAATATGGCCGAACTGATGTACACGTCTCCACAAAGGGTACACACACACTATCATAACGAGATACGTTTCTGAGTACACAGTACGTGTCTTCGAGGACTTCCCTGGCTCAAATGGCCGCTTATTCATAGATGAATTCAATACCGCCAATGACGAGGCTTGGCAGAAGCAGCCGCGGGTGAGATAGAATTTCGCCAGCTGTACGCAGGGCTACCACCTGAAACACACAGCATGCTTAGCCTAAACCACTTGCAGGGCCACTTGCAGCTTAAACCACATTCCCTAAAGTATACTCGATGTGCCAGGATGCACTCAAAGCCTAGTCTCCTCACAAAAGCAAATATCTCTTTATAGGCTCGTTCGGCACCATCAAATCCTGACGCCTGCGGCAGCCGCTGCCAAGCCCGTCGCGTTGGGGAAAAACGGGTAGGAATGCAACGCTGCCCTGCAAAACTGTACGATGCTAAGTGTACGACCAAACAGGAAAGATCGCACCAACAAGTGCGCCGCGCTCTCCTTCCGCAGACTCCGCTCTAGAACAGGCAGCACCTCTCCCTCCGGCGGCACATGCATTTCGACCGCCATGGACCGCGGGTCCGTCTGCAGCCCCGCCGAAAGTTTGGCCTGTATGGCGCGGCGTTCCGCCAGTATACGACCCATAATGCCGCTGAACAGCTCGTACACGGCACACATCTCGCGCAGCTGCTCCTCCGTTAGCCGCAGTGCCTGCACCACTTGTGCCCAAAAGCCCGGGTCGGGCGCCATAAGCGTGTCTGTTTCCAGGTGCGTCTGCCGGGCAGCAAACAGGCGTTCAGGAAGGGGGCGGAGAGTACCGGAAGGGGGCGGAGAGTTCACAAATCTTGACACAAATCTTGACCTGCTTCCCAACGTGTCGTTATCTCCTCGAGGTGTGTGGCCGCCTAGGTTGAGGGCGATCGGCACAACGCAGTGCGCGTGCTTGTACAGAGCCTCGAAGCTCGTGACCATCGCACTCCCTGCTCCCACACGCCCTGTGATGCCAAGACCCCACCTGAGACACGGCAATCATGGTATCCGGTGCAAGGACTGATATGCGGCGGCATAGGCTGCCGATTTTTGCCGCGAGCTTCTTAATCTGGTGTGCCGCCGCCTCGTCAGCCGGGTTCATCTCCAGCGCCAGCAACAGCGAGCCTGCCTCCTGCACGAAGGCTTTCCAGCTGGCAATCAATTGCAGCCGCCCCATCGCTCGCACGCTGTGGGTCGGAGGATGCATGTGCGCAAACAGGCCTAGTCCTTAGAATGCCCATATTCTTTTCAACTAGAAGTCCACATCGGGGCTAGAAGCATCGACCAGATGAGCCATTTGGGGCCATCACACACGATAGCTGATGCGCTGGCGCACCTGGGAGGGGGATGGTTAGGGAGTTTGGGCTTTGGGCAGAGGAACTGTCCGCGGTCAATAAGGAAATGCATCAGGAAAGCGCGGCGGCCAAACCCGGCATTCATAGCCGCTAACTACTACCGCTATATGGATCAGCGCGTTTCTGATCTAAGCCACCTTCACAGTGGCTGTGTAAGCTCATGGCGCACCAAGCGCAGGAAGCCGCACCCTGGCAAAATCGTTTTCTCATTCCGAAAGCCCGTAGCACATACTCGGAATTCTCAACGTCGACCAGCAGCTCCGGAGCCAACAGCAGCCGTACGCTTCCAGGGGTATGTACAACCTGGGCTGTACTACTAATATGCTGTAGCTGCATTAAGACCTGGTCCGTTTGCCCCGCGATCGCGACGTTGCTCACTGCGCCGTCAGGTAGCGCCGGGATGGGCCAGGGTGATGGGCTGCCTCCCCCATACTTGACTATTCGTAGCTGATAGTCTCGCAGCATGACGGCGTCAGACAGAATTTTGCTCCTGAACTTGAGCTCGCTGTTTCGCCGCAGCAAAGCTGCAAACTGCTCCGTCTTTGCGGCTGCTATGGCTTCCAGCTCTTTCACCTGCAAGTGGGTGGACAAATCCTAACCCTAGGGAACCCTTCCCTCGGTACGCAGACCGCCAGAGAAACCCAACGACAGGGCGAATCCCCTACCTTACCTTATCAACATCGCGATGTCGTTTTGACCGAGATCCACCCCTCAAGCTTCCCTGGGCTTTCTTCTGGCTCCCACTCTCCTGCTGTCCTGTCGACGTCGGGACCTGGTTCCCCGGGTCGCTTTGGAGCCCACCGGGTGCTTGTCCATCAGGCATGCTGCTCCTCGCAGTCGCATCAGGCTTCATTCCATGGCAGTCGTCATCAAGATATGCGAAAAGCTCATTCAGGAATACATCGTCCAAAACCTCGCCGTGCGCATCTTCGCACATATCCTAATGCAGTTATGCATACATATCAAATACAGTGGTTTGCTATTGTACGCTGTGTGCCAAGCCAGGAAGCAAATGAAATTTGGTGAAGAATATGTCTACAGCGAGTAAACCACCGATACGGTGTATCAGTTAACTTACTAAAGCAAGGTTAAGGTCGTTTTTTGCCAAGGTGCATTGAGTATTGGCCTAGTATTCAGCTGAGCTTGTCTGTGGCAGTCTGTCCCTTCGTTGCCACCTCCCGTACACTCTTCCGCCTTTCGTACTTCCACCTTTCGTACTGCTCTTCATATTTCTGGCGGCTTCGTCGGCTGATGGCCTATGACAGGCTCTCTGATATGGGGTTCAGCTTGGGTCCTCGGATTTCGTCAGGGGGGTCGGCGCCCAGTTCGTGGGATGGGGTGATGCCACATTATCATGCGCCTGCGCCCGCAGACCAAATTGTTGATGTGCATGGGCATTGGAAAGCGAATAAACACAGCATCTTGATGTACGGTACGTTGCACGTGCTATCAGTGTCGTCTGCATACTTAAATATCTGCCCCAGGTCGTGTCCGGTCGCAGACAAGCTGTATCCGGTTGTCGTCGGTAAGCTCATCAGAGGGAAGACGGCCCACGATAGCAGGGCAGGGCAGCGCAGGGCTCAGGGACCGATAAAGCTTTTACTTGGGGCTCTATGCAGAGCACATGGCCTTATTGTGCTCCACAAGAAGCCCCAATCACCTCCGTTGGCAGGTACGGAAATCCGCTTTACAACCCCCCACGGTATCCGTCCTCCTAGGCCGAGTTTACGCTCCCAACAATAAACTCAATGGCCATCTGCCATACCCATCCGTCAGATTATTGCATCACCTGGCCGACTGCATTTCAATGCCGCGCAACCTACGGCTCAAAGTAAACCTAGTAGGCGACCCTGAAGCAAGAACGAAATCCACCCACAACACGGCAGCCTTGCACGTAACAAAGAATCACCTCCCTCCGTCCAGTTTTTGCGCCAGCGAAATGAAAAGAATCAACAGTTTATGAAACAGAATACAGTTTATCAGGGTTCTAGTGCATCGCTTTAAATGCCCTCTTAAGCCAACAGGCAAACAACCCCAAAAGGTCTACGAGAGAGCACGGCAATGGTCCGGATGGAACCGCTGGATAGTGGGCGCCGCCCCTAGCGCCTACTGAGACCCGCTGAGCGCGCACCAGCACTAATAGATACTCCGTTGCCTAATTTCCACCGTCACCCGTCTAGTCCCAGCAGAGGTTATGGCGGTGCAGCTTGTCCACCGTTGTGCCTGCACTTCACTGTGCGGTGTTCCGACCAACGGGACAACGTGCGCACTCCATTCTGTGGTGTGAACACGCTTCTGCGCGCCCAAACATGGCGACGGCATACGCTGATGCTCAAGATGATGTCCTATCAGCCACTCCTTATGCAGATTACGCGAGCCCTCCACCATGATTATCCTTTCATGGAACCATGCGGCGGCGCCCTAAATGTCGCGGGCGGTAAAAGTCGTCTCGCAGCCACGCAGGGACACGTACTTCAAAACAGGCGCATACACGAGTTTACAAAACAATGGACATTCGCTGACTCAATGTGCAATGTGCAGCTTCATACCAGTTCGCACGGCCGCAGCAACTACCTGTACAGGCCCCTTCCGTTCAGGCTATACACATTTTCAGCTTGGCTCTTAACCCTCCTTCCCAAACCCTACTAACACGCTTCCTGATCGTACATTTTCCACCGCCTGCAACCCTGCAACAGCCGCCTCTGAGGGCCTTACACATGACCCCGCGACAAAGGCCTTTGGGATGGACTGGACATGGCTGCGAAGTCTCTCTGAAGGTCCGACCACTGCCCCATCAACGTGCCGATGCTGGGCGACCTACCCGTCTGGGAGCTGCGCAACACCGACAAGCGAGGCGTTGCCGCCGGCAGCCCCGGGGCTTCCATCCCAGGAGACTGCGCCTCCGTGGGCGTCAGGGCAGGGGCCGCAGTCGTCGTTGGCTTGGAGCTCTCCGCGACGCTGCCGTTGCCGCCGTATGCAGCACCTCCTAGAGCCATACCCGCGATAGCCCTGGCCAAGCCGGCGCCGAAAGACAGCTCCTGGGGCGCTCCGCCGCTGCCGCTTTGCGGAGACGGAATCGCTGGTGACGGCTGGTGGTGCGGCTGTGGCTGTGGCGGCAGCTGGTTTTGGAGCTGTGGCTGTGGCGGCTGTGGCTGTGGCGGCAGATGTGCGCGTTGGCCGGCAGCTGCAGACTGGGTCTCCGGAAGTGACCAGTGGGTTCGCAACGTGCTGACCAACAGCCCTACCCTGTCGTACAGCTGCACGGCGGGGAAGGCGCGTGGGTACAAGGGGGGGACAACACAGTCAAATTAAAAAGAACACACACACACGCGATGAGGTCTTAGCACGCAGACGGTGAGGGATGGAGGTAAGGGGGCACTGACAGTTCCCAGCAGGATCGTGGTCGCGCTTGTGGCATGTGAAGATGACAGAAAAACAGCGCGGCAGGTCCAGCCTGACAAGTTTTGGACGGTTGAATACGATGCTCATGCAGAATGTAGAAGTTGATTCTCATTCTATGGTTCTGTCATCGGTCTGCGCATCGGTCTCTTTCACACACACACACACACACACCAGTGGGTCGGTCACCGCAGCCTGGGCGGTGCGGAGGGCCCCCAGAAGCGGCGAGCGCATCTCAAAGGGCGCCTCGAATACGATGTTCTCCTCGTCTGCCAGGCGCCACAGCCAGGGCATCACACGCGACAGCAACGGACCGTCCTGCGCGGACGATCGAAGGGATGATGAGGTATCAGGTCAGGCCGAGGCACCAATGGCGAAGACGATGGAAGCGACAAAGCCGGGGAGCAAAACCCGTGGTGGAAGGACACGGATTGTGTGCTGCCCTGCCACGGCAGCAAGGAAAGCCGAAATGTTTTAGTTGCCTGCTAGACCAATCAATAAAGCAAAATGATTCTAGGTCGGCGAAGCAAATGGGGAATAAGGAAAACATAGGAAGAGATAGCTAAATAGTCCAAGTGCAACTGCAATGTTTCCTTCCCCCCTGAGCACTGCAGGCATCATTGGATCTCCGGGGCGAGTGCCTGAGCAGCAGCACGCGACGAGAAGCAGGAAAGTAGAAAAGAACGTGTTTGCTTAAGCTAATTAGCGCGCCTTAGCTTAGGCAAGCTGCGGAATTTGCAAGGACCGCCACCAGTGCATGCGGGCCCTATCCGGATCGCCAAGCACCCCAACCTCTCACCGCGCGCGCCTGCTGCAAACTGGCAGTGAAGGCAGCTAGCAGCTGCGATGACAGCTCCGGCCCCAGGTCGGCCCAGATGGGCCCGGTGCGCTGCATCAGCCGCAGCAGATGCATATCACTCAGCCGCCCCGCCGCTAGAACCTCCCGATAAGCCTGCCGCACGTCGGTGGCGGCGGAACCTGCGGAGGCTGCCGGCACCGCTGCAGTTGCCGGGGCCGGCGCCGCGGTTGCGCCGGCACCGTCGGCGGTTGTGCCGCTGGAGACGAGCAGAGGAATGATTGGCGAGCCGGGGCGGATGGTTCGAGTCGCCCAGGTCATCTCGCCCTCGGCAAGAGGGAGGTCGCCGACCCCGGCTTGTTGCTGCTGGAGTTGCTGCTGCGGCGGTGGTTGCTGCGCGGTCACTTGGGACTGGGCGGTCTCCAGCGCCGCCTCCAGGCTGCGCACTTTGGCCTGCGGAACGGGCCGCGTGGACATCTCCGTCATCAGGGGAAATCATGGGCTTACCAACGGGCTGCCACCCCAGCAGCAACTGCGGGCCTTATGGTGAACTAAGGCTTGGGTAGCAGCAGCGGCGGGTACACTGAAGTGCGCTACGTAGCCGAGCAGGTAGCCACGTGGTCCTTACGAACAGAAGTAGGCATGAAGGACAGACGGCGGCTGAAGATGATGAGAGATAGCACCAGCATTCAGGCCGCTAGGGGTGAAGCAGGTTCGGCGGCCTGGGCCGTGCGCATCGTATACTTGGCTTCACGCAAATAAGGCAGACAGATAACTGAGATGTAAGTACGCAGTTGCGCGTGTAGCGGAGCTAAAATTCGGTTTGGGCCGAGCCCGTGGCTGTCATGGCCACGCGCAGCAGGCCGCACCTGGAGCCCTGCGATGGTCTGTTTGTTTGTTTCCGTCATGGAAGTAAAGGCCACCAGGAGCTGCCGCTGTTGTTCTTCCAGGCTCCGAAGCCGCTGCTGAGCCGCCACCCACTCCTCCACGGGGATGCTGACGGAAGGCTTGGACGCGAAAGCGGATGGCACCGACGGCGGAGCCGCTCCATCAGGCGCCGACACCGTGGAGGATGCGGCCGAGGCGCAGGACGGCAGCTCGGGCGGCTGGGTATGGGTGACAGCGGCAGCCCATGCCGTGAGCTCGGCGGCGGATGGCAGTTCTGCAGTGGATAGGTAAGGACGTAAAGCGGTGTTGATGGCTGCGGTTGCTGGTGTTGGGCAAGATCAGTGTAGTAGCTGGTACACAGTACGGCTCTACAAATACGCGCGAAGCGCGACCACCAGCATCTCGAGAGGCCTTTTCAGCGGCCAGCTACTACAATCAGACCAGGGGGTGTCACACGAGGCCTACGAGAATGAACTCATCTGGCGGGGTACTGGCGAGGACATGGTGCCGGCGTTAACGCACGTGTCACCTGGGTCGAGTGCACAGGAATGCAACGCCAGCTCACCTCAGCTTGCTATCGTTTCCTAAATAAACGCACATGGTGCCTTAATGCCTCGCATACCTGCAATCCCATGCGCTGAAAAGGTAGGTGGACCGTGTGAGTCCAGCACCGCCACCGCGTCATCGTCGTCTTGCGCCAGATTTCGGAGCAGCGCATCGGTGGCCGGCGGCGCATCTATTAGTCCCCTCGACGGCTGGGAGGGTACCTGCGCCGGGACATGGGAGAGCTCAAGGCCTGGCCAGACCAAGACTGACCAGGTCTAGCAACCTGCTTGAAAATAATTTCGCATGAGCCGCGGCCACACGCACGACAGCGTCAAGCCGCGTTCCGCATTCCATAACATGGCCAGCTCACTTTCCTCGCGGTGATGTTCCCTTTCCCCACAGACTCCCGCCGCCCTAGGTTTACGTCCCTCACTGCTTGGCCACCATGCCCACACTCCCCACGGCTTTCACCCACATATACCCCGCAGCTCTACACCTACACTATTGGCAGGCCCAGGTCCTCGAGGCATAGGGCCCTTAAAACCCTTAACAGCGCCTGCACACTGGCCACCACATACCCCCCCACCCCACCCCACCCCACCCCACACGCATACCTACCCGCGGCTCCAGGGCAAAACCTCGGTCCGCGGCCCTACCGCTGTCAGAGGCCTTGGAGGGCTGCCGTGAAACCCGGCGGCTGCCCGGTGCCGCGTCCGGCAGTGTGTCATCGTGGTGACCGGCCGCCCTGCAGCACCCGGCACGCGGCTCGTGAGCATCCATAGCACAGTAGGTCCGAACAAAGCGCCTTACTTCACCGGAAGCGACCCATCCACATATACCGCAGGAATTCAAGCCACCGCCGCATTCACGCCCCGCTTCCCTCCCCTGCCATCCACCTCCCTCTCCAACTTGCCACCCAGCATGCATTTCCCAACTATTTTAACTCACCGGGCCAGGGCAGACTCCGCCGTGAGCTCCGTCAGCGGCTGCGACTCCACAGCCCCGTCGGGTCCCTCCTCATTCGCCGGACCGGGACCCGGCTCCGAAGCCACGCCACCAAGGAAGTGCACGGAAACCACGTCAACGTCGCGGTGCGCCGCCCGGAAGCGCTCCGACACCGAGCCCCCACGGGCTAGCATGGGCGATGACCGCCGCTCAGCTGGCGTAGGGGACCGTGCCGACGACCGTGGCGGTGAGGCGGAGGCACGGAGGGGGCCCTGGGGTTGTGCGGAGCGGGGCCGGCGGGCGGGGCTCCCGGCGGAGCGTCGAACGGGGGACTTGCGACCGGAGAGGGGCGGCCCAGGGGCCGCTGCTGCTCCAAGCACGAAGCTGGGGACTACAAAGGTACTTGTCGCCACGGGGGGCTGCAAGTCTGTAGCGGATCGGGTCACGAGTGGCGCAGGGCAACGTGAGGCACAATTTAAGCAGTATTATCTGTTGCAGCAAAGGAAAAAGCGGAACCGTAACCGGCGTGCAAAACTCCCAACCTACATTTAGGTTTTCCTTAGGGGGGAGACAAGGGCCTCGCTGAGCCGTGCAGCAGCGTGGGGTCAGGCTTGGTTAGCATAGATAGCATGGAATGGTGTTGCCGGTGTGAGGTCATGCGCGTATGCAGATGTACGTGCAAGGTAGGGCGGGGCACCAACTCTTTGCTGGACACTGTCAACATGTTAGGCGTGCTCAGATGGTGTTGTAGGAAAGCCCATTTCGATCCCGCACCTGGGTTTCACCTGCGGCACCCATCCGCACCTGCTACGGCACCTACCTGGCCCGTACAGCTTCCTGGCGATGTGCTCTGGCCACCCCTGGAGGGTTCCTCCGGCACTGCCGTACGCGTGAAGCTCCTCCATTACCGACAATGCGTTGCGCGCCACATCGCGGACGTCCCGCACCTGGTGTCCCGCCAGGAATAATGCGAGGAAGGAAACATAAGCGACAGGGAGAGTCAAGCCCTCGACGAGACTGGTAGCGGTGGCGGTGGCGGTAGTCAGTCCAGGGAGGTCGCCAAGGATACATGAACACACGGCAAACACACATCACAGTAGTTCCCCCTGCTAGCTGCAGACCTTCCAACCGCGCGCAGCCCCCTCTCGCCATCACCGGCCGCCCCACCTACCTTGTCAAATTTGCACGACTCCAGCGCCCGGATCGCCCGGCCCGTGATGCTCTTCGCATCCCCGCGAGTCCAGCAGCCGTCATGCTCCATGAGAGGCCCCAGCAGCGCCGCAGTGGCGCGGAGCATGTCTGCGGCAGCCAGCCGCACCGGCCAGTCGGGGCGCGACAGGGCGCCCCCCACACCGCTGCCGGCGGTGCCCGTGGGGTTGCCGCCCATGGGTGGCGACGCGGGCTGACCCACCAGCGCTGAGAGGAGCGGCACGAAAGCCGCCGGGCCGCTCTGCAGGGTACCAACGGGTGGGAGGAGGTCTTGCATGCGAGGGGACTGTGTTAGAGAGGAAAACACAAACCCAAGCAGGACTAGATAGATGCTCGCTCTGAGCCATTCGCGTTGATTCTCGGAGTGATACAGGCGTGTATGTTTGTGTGGTGGCCCCGCGGCCACGATGTTGACTTGGTGCCGGTGTTTGGCGCCGGATGGCATGAAAGAGGGCTGGGATTTGGGATTCGGCCAGAACCAGTGTCACTGTGTCAGCCAGGGTCGGAGGACAGTCCCCAGGAGACGAAGACGCACCCATGTGCAGGACAAGTTGCTGTGGGGCTGCTGCCGCGCGGTATGCCAGTCTACTCCACGGCCGTCCGCTGCCCTCAGCCCCAAAACCTTCATCGCCAGCACACCAGTACTTCCAGGGTCAAGAGCACAAACCGCCGTTGCTCGGCCACCCTAGCCCGGTGCTTGTCCCTAGGGTCCCCCCCCTTACCCTCTCCCATTCTAAACGACCTGCCTTCATCAATCCGATGGGCTCGGCCGTGGCAGGATCCGACCGTGCCAAGGCGGCCAGCAGCGCAGCAGGTGCCTGGAAGGAGGGGCTATTGAGCTTCCGCACCAGCTCACGTGCCAGGGAAGCGTCCAAGGTGCCCAGGAAGGGTGCAGCCTGTGCCGGGGGCAAGGTAATAGAAAAACAAGCGGAGGAGACCGCGGGGAGGTGACAAGAGCTGTGCGCAAGTGGCGCAGCCATGCCGGCGTCTGCTTTGTTGCGCGACGGAAAAGGCGCCGGGTTGTGCTTGTTTTCAAGCCGGGCGCGACACGCAAAATTTGGCAAATGCGGCACAGGGACCTAGGCTCCTAGGACATGTGGGGCTAACTCGAACGCGATAATGTGCCGGTGCACCTGCCGAACGACTCTTGTGCGCCAGGCCCAGCCCAACGACCGAGGGCCCGGGCTCTGTACCGTATCATCTCCCCAAACAGTTACTTGCCCCAACGCCAAGCGCGCACTGAACTGCTAATACCCTCACGTCCACTTCACTCCCACAGGCTGCTAATAAACTGCAGGCCGTGCCAGCCACGCCTCCGCAACAGCGACACGAGCCCACAGCTCCCACACCGCAAACTCCGAGTCCACGGGAAGCCCGGCTACTAGCCGAACGCGTCGGGTCAGGACTCCTTGGTAGCTGCCTGCCAGGTAGCATACCTACCAGGCCAAGTGCCGCACAGGCGGCTGCGTTGAGTTCCTTTTTCTGCTCTGCGAGGCAGTCGAAGATGAGCTTCACCACAGGGTTATTCAAGCTGCCCTGCGCCCCGTTCGCCTCCACTTGCGCCAGCCCCTGGGCTACCAGCGCCAGCGCCTCGCTGCTGGCCTCCCGGACACCGCTGTCGGGGTCCTGGCAGGGAAGGGAAACAACGGGGTGAGACCAGGACGAGACGGAGCGATGGAACAGCACACGAGAAGCACTAATCCACGTGTGGTAAGGCCGGCTTGAGCAAACGGGCAATTTAGAAGCTAAAGATGCGAGGGCTTGTTTGTCGGCGGGTGCGTCCTCGGCTTGAGGATTGACTGAGGAGGGCGGCTCTGGGGGGCGCTGCCAAGGCCACACCGCAAGAGGGAAAACCCCCACCTCTTCAACCACATAATAGAGACGGGTAACGGGTACGTGGCAGCCGTCTGGGCCAAGTTGGGGGCGGCACGCTCTTTGCGGTTCGCCTGCTGCGTTGTTCGCCTGCTTCGCACCTGAAGTGACCTCCTCAGCTGGCCCAGCATCTTCCCTAGGTGGGGCTGCTGGAGAGCCTGCTCCCGCAGGGGACAGGCCTCGCTGGCGATGACACCGATGGCACGAGCACACTCCTGCGGGGTCCGTTGAAGAGCATATCTCGAAGATATACAACAGTTGGGGAATGTACGGGCCACAGCACGCTTTGTCACACACAAGTATGTAGGCGTACGGCACAGATGGACAGACAGACAGACAGACAGGCGGTGGATTATATGCGGACAGACGGACGCCGACTCGGCCTAAGGCCTCCGCTTACCCACTACGTGGGAGCTACGGCGATCTACTAGACTCCTTGAGCAGGGAAAGTTCAGGGTAAGTTCGTTGGGGGAATACGTTGTGCGACATGCGAAACGGAGCCCCTCTGTCTCCCCGAAACTGACCTTGCGGGCAAAGACCTTATGCTCTGAACCTGTTGAACACAGGCAGCTAATGATTATGAGCAGGCCTTCCTGGTCCATATTCTGCACGTACGGTTCAGGGGTGGAAAGCGGCGTGTCTGGCTGGCAACCCAGACACAATCACCGCAGCCCCGCCCAACATTTACCAGGACAATAGAAAGGAGATCCTCCGCAGCAGCCTTCTGTGTGTCCCTGTCATTCATCCTGCTGAGCGCCTGGATACCCGTGCCCAATACACCCACGTCAGCCCTCTCCAACGCGTGATTAGCGCCGTGGATAGAAGGTTGATATACCTGGATGATACGTTCCTTCTTGAGCATTTTGCTGGCTGACGGGCCTCCAGGCCCGGCGACCAAGCGAGGAGGCATTTTTGAGGCACGACGAAAGGACTGTGGAGGCTAATGCGAAAGTGGGTAGTGACTATCAATATCTATGACATTTTATGTTTATGCACAGCGATGTCACGCATGAAATGCTTGGTTATATAATCAGTTCCGCTCCGTCGGGGTCTGGTGCCCTGCTAAGCCGAAGAGCTGTTCTATGTGATCTGCTCGAAGGCCTGGCACGGTGCATAATGCATTATGAAGGACAGCAACCAGGCGGGATGTTTGGAGGAACGGTTGTTGGTTGCTCCTATGTACGGGCATCGCAAATGCACAAAAGACCGCGAAAGAGCTTGCCCTTGTTTCCGAACTTACCAAGGACCATTACCACCGGACTTTACGACCGAGTCCCCGTGCTTATCGACCCTCGCTTAATTGCAGCCGACAAGGGCGTCTTCCCGCCAATTAGCCATGAGTCGGCAAGATACAGGCGGTTTTGCCGACGCAGCGGAATGGACACCGGAGCTAGCGGAAACGCATTTTCTAGGCTTCCTTGACACTTATAAGGAGACAGATGAGGATTTGGAACCACACTATCTAAATGCTCTCCGCGAGCTGAAAGCCCAGGACAAGGGCACGCTTTACGTGCACATTGGCCACCTGAACGCATATGATCAGGGTCTTTGCTCCTACGTGATTGCTCAGTATAACCGTGTTGAGCCCACGCTTCGCAAGGCTCTCCACGCTTTCATCCGAAACCATGAGCCAGGCCTTGTCGACAGCACTGACTCCCGTGAATACTATGTAGCCTTCGTCAGCGCCTGGCCCCAGCGCATGCGTGACCTGCGTACCAGCAAGCTCGGACAACTCACCGCGTTCGCTGGCACTGTCACGCGGTCCAGCGAAGTGCGACCGGAGCTGCTCTTCGGCGCGTTTAAATGCTTGGAGTGCAACACCGTGGTCCGCGGCGTCCCGCAACAGTTCAAGTACTCACCCCCAATCCTCTGCACCAACCCTTCATGCGGCAACAAGTAAGTTCTCAGCATCTGCAGTGTCAGGCTTTGTTTCAACTGGCTGTAGTAGCACTGGCTATAGCAGCACTGGCTGTAGCAGCAGCATCCCCCGATAACAGCTGTACCAGCTGCAATCCTGAGTTCCCGTTCCGCCCGGTCAAGATCCCGTTGCAACCTCCTAATCCCCTAATCCAGGAACCACTGGTCACTTGTTCGCGAGCAATCCGTCTTTTGCGACTGGCAGCGCCTGAAGGTCCAGGAGGCCGTGGAGGAGGTAAGGGAAGGCAGTGGCCAGATTAAAGCTAAGCTAGCTGTCGTTCAGGACATGGAAAGCCGTCATGCGCAGCAAACACAGCTGCCACCAGATGGGCACGTAGCCCGCTGCAGCGTCCCCTTTCCCATCCCTCTCCACAGGCGTCTCACCCGCCGCACAGCAATGCAAAGGACTGCGTATTGCCCCCGCTGTCTACGTTCAATCCCATATAGGTGCCAGCTGGCAGCCTGCCGCGAACCCTGGACGTTATCATGCGGCACGAAGCGGTGGAGACGGCCAAGGCCGGTGACAAGATGGTGTTCACGGGCCAGCTAGTGGTGGTGCCGGACGTATCAGCCCTGGCAGCCCCCGGGGAGAGGGTGCAATTGAAGGAAGGTGGGTCTTGCAGCTGTGTACATGGCTTGGGTGCCGGCGCCGATAGGTGCAAAAACAAACATGCTTCCTTTAGTGCAGCTGTTGCTCCTTTGCTGCTGCTGTCACTGCTACAACCAGAGAGAAAAAAAACCCTAACATTGTAAGCAGTAGGTTGCGCACGGCTACAGCTCATGTCCATGTCCTCGAGTCCATGAACACGTGTTGTTACTACATGGATCGAATGGACCCTGAGGCGCCGCTCATTGCGCGCTCCGTGCAGGTGGCAGCCGGCGGGATGGCGGTGACGGCGTCGCGGGGCTCGGCAAAGGCGCGGGTGGCCGCGAGCTGACCTACCGAGTCATGTTCTTGGCATGTGCGGGGCAGGTGGGCAAGCAGCATTATCTTTGGGCTATGACTCACACATCCTGGGTTGCATGCCAGCATTTCGCCGGCGGACGAGGTATTTTACCCTGCGCTCAGGTTTTTTTTGTGCGCATTCAGCTACCTTTTTTCCCAATGCTCTAGCACGTCGGCATCAAAGCTGATGGCCGAAGACTATGGCAGATTCCTTAAGAGGCATGCGCCTCGTTCCTGCAAATGTGTGCATTGACTGCGATGCAATCTAGCTGGGCCATGTGCTGACTTCCTGCTGGTTGCTGCTCCCCCCGTCCACTCGCTCGTGGTTCGTCTTTTCCCCCCCGTCCAGCCCGCCGACGTGACGAAGGGCACGGTCAATATTCGCCCTGACGTGGACGAGAGCAGTGAGGCCATCATTGCCGAGTACCACGACGGCGGCGAGTCCATTCTAGCGATGTCGCGCGACCCCCACATTTACCAACAGCTGACTCGCAGCATCTGCCCCTCCGTATTCGGACACGACAATATCAAGCAAGCAGTGCTGCTGATGCTGTTCGGCGGCGTGCACAAGAAGACGTCTGAGGTGGGCAGAACTTAGGGTTTTCCCGGGTTTGATGGAGCGGCTTCGATCCCTGGCTATATCATCTTGCATCGTCGCTATCCTTAAAGCAAGGACGCTGCGGGCTGTTCAGCGACGAACGTTTGTGTCTAGTAAGCAGGGCCCCTGTTTCCCCTTGTGGCTTGCTCCCTGCGTGTTTTGTTCTATTTTTCTTGCAGGGCATCAACCTTCGTGGCGACATCAATGTCGCCATCGTCGGCGATCCATCCTGTGCCAAGTCGCAAATCCTGAAGTACGTGGCGAGCTTCCTGCCGCGTGCGGTTTACACCTCGGGCAAGGCCTCTTCGGCTGCGGGTCTGACCGCCTCCGTGGTCAAGGTGGGACAGGAGGGGCGTGTATGACTTGGGAGGGGAGCCATACCAAGACAACGCTGTTGCAGCAGAGTGGCCTCTTTCCAACGGCTGTGCTGCACATTAAAAATCGGACCGGAGTTCAAAGCCTGGGCATCGGGCCTTTTCGCATCAGGCGTGTCGCGGCGGTTTTGGTAATTCTTGGTTGGAAGGCTATTGCCCGCACCAGCGGCGGGGCCACCTGCGCGATGGCAACCTCCCCTAGATTGATCAGCTCCGACTTCGCTTTCGATGCAGGAGCCGGAGAACAACGAGTTTGCAATTGAGGCGGGCGCGCTGATGCTAGCGGACAACGGCATTTGCTGTATCGACGAGTTCGACAAGATGGACGTGAAGGACCAGGTCGCCATTCACGAGGCCATGGAGCAACAGACTATTTCCATCGCCAAGGCCGGCATCCAGGTGCGCTGGTCAGGGCCTCCGCACGAGGACCAGGGAGTTCCTTACTGGGCTGCTTTTAGGTTGGGGTTATTCGGGGTCATACACAGGAACAGGAGTCGCATTTTTGGTCGTCAGCATGAGTGTGTATACGTCCACAGAGGCGTTTCACTCAGTGACCACCGGCGCCCGGAAACTGATTTGCGGTGGAGTCCCGTTCATAAAGGCCCGCGGAACGGGGTCCATCTTCATCCACTTGACGGTATGTAAGTCTCTATGCCAAGGGAAGTACAGTTGGATAGCGCTGCAGGCATATCTCATTCATCCGGACATGTATCACATTCCTGCGGACCCGCAGGCAACGCTAAACGCACGGGCATCCATCCTGGCGGCTGCCAACCCCATGGGAGGCCGGTACGACAAGTCCAAACCCTTGAAGTACAACGTGGCGCTGCCACCCGCCATCTTATCCAGGTCAGCTTGAATGATCGCAAACGGATTTTAGTATAGCAAAAATAGCAGAATGTCACTTGATCTATAGCATTGGGTAGCCGTCCTGAAACGCCCTTGGCTTAGCTTGGCATGTGTTTCCGCATGAGCAGCAGCAGTCGTGATTCCGGAATGGCCCCCGCGGAGGCGCAGCGTTGATCACCTGTGTAATGCGTTTTGACGTCGGAAGTCCCGGAATTATGCTGACCGTTGTTGGGGTAAGTGAGCCACTGTCGCCCAGCACGACCGAACGGCATCTTGTCTTGAGCTTGCCAGGTCCACGTGGCGACGTTGACGCTGGGCATGAAGAGAATGTTTTCGTTCCCCTCAGACACATGGTGCGCGTGGCCGCTGCTGCTCTAAATAAAAGATGGAACCCTACTACGCAGGTTTGACCTGCTCCATGTGATGGTGGACGACACCACAGAGGCGACCGATGCACGTATTGCAACGCACATCGTAAACGTGCACCGCTACCAGCAGAACGCCTTTGACGTGCCGTACGACACCGAAAGTCTGCAGCACTACATCCGCTATGCCCGCTCTATCAAGCCGGAGATCACGACCGAGGTAATTACTTGGTTCTTTAGAACTTGAGGCTCCGATAGCTTGCCAAGGCTTTGTTCTTATTAAGCAGTCTTGCGATGCGGAGTTTCACATCAATTCAATGCATGGGTTCTTTCGGACGCCTCGTCCTCCAAGCCTCAGCCTGGGCATATACCTTACATAGCGACAAACTGGTTTTGCACTTCCCCATTTAAGGATGGATTCTTATCGTACCGTGCCCGGCATACGCTGCGGCTCCTTTGCCAGGCGCGTGTGGAGCTCGTACGGTCGTACAAGGAGCTGCGCGCCGACGACGCAGCTCCCGGCACGCAGTCATCGTACCGTATTACTGTGCGCCAGCTGGAGGCGCTCATTCGCCTCTCGGAGGCCATGGCCCGGGTGTACTGCGACAAGGAGATAAAGCCGCAATACGTCCGCGAGGTAGGCGATGCAACCTCCAAGAAGTGTACAGGCAAACAAAATAAAACGCGAACGCATTAACATAACACCATTCAGGTGTGCACGGGTAAAGTCGTTTTCTATTTCTGGCCGACAACATAGCTGAGGTAGAACTGAGACACTATAAACTGGTGTCGCACCTTTGAATGCTGCTGATGCTCTCCAGGCCAAGCGGTTGTTGCGCGCGTCCATCCTTAAGATTGAGCAGTCGGACACGCTCCTGGAGGACGATCTGCCGCTACCAGGTCTGCAGAGGCAGCGCGAGGATGCGGCTGAGGCACAGATCGAGCGCGGGGAGGTGCCAACCGAGGAAGACCTCACCGGCAATGACGAGAACGTGCCGCCAGGAGGAGCGATCGGCGGAAAGCGCGGGTGAGAGAGAGGATGGAGTTGTCTGCTGTACAGAGCTCAGCCGGCTCATCTCGTCAAGGCGAAGGGTCGCTTAAGGGGGTAACCGCACTAAAAACGATTCACCGTCCATGGCCCACCCGGCTTTTACGGACACCCCCGCACTTGTGCGGAATTTGTAACTTGTAACTTGCTTACGGGTCCCTTCTGGGATCTGCCATCCCTGCGAACAGGGCTGATGCACCGGTCGAGGATCGTCAAGCCAAGCGCCTGCGAGCGGAGCCGGCGTCAGGCTCCGCGGTCACAGAAGCCACGCAAGGTGATGGAGCGGGTGCCGCGGCGCTCCCTGTCAAGGAGCCGGTTCGCGTGTCGGCACAGAAGTTCAACTATGTCAAGGTGAGGGCAGTCGCTGGCCGTGTGGATCAAAGCGAGCTTTCTAGGATTGTCGTGGCTCCTGGACCCATATAATCCTGGGGGAGAGTGGACATAGTACCATGTAAAAGCCATGTATGGTTCAGCTTCTACAGGGGTGTTCGTATTGCTATCACTCTTCGTCACTGCTCCCGGCAGAGTATGCTGGCGAAGAAGATGATGGAGGTTCGGGACCAGTACGTGAGGCTGCTGCCAGCGTACAAGCCTGGGGAGGGCACTGAGACGTCCGAGGACGGGTTGGCGCCCTTGCCAGAGAGCGGCATTCGCCAGGAGGAGCTGCTGCAGTGGTACCTTGATACGGAGGCGCTCAAGTGAGTATATGGCGGCGGCGCGTCTGCTCCAGATCAGTTTTGTTTGGAGGGTGACTATGGCTAAAGTGCGACTAGAACGGAGATCAGCCTTCCAAGTGGTGCTGAGCAGGCGTATTGGTTAAGACCTGGTTTCCTAGCGAAAGCCCGATCTTACACGCCTATTGCAGAGGTTAATAGGTAAAAGCCTAATAGGTAAAACACGGGTTACAGGGATATTCTAGGGCAAAATATTAAGGTCCGTTCACGAAAGTCCGTCAGTATGCACGTATGGGCAGCCGTTCCGCCATACATGCAAGTGAACTTCCGTGCCCGTACAACGCGACCCCGCCGCATAATCACCCGGTGGTAGCAGGAACTGTTAATCACACTTCCGTGGACGTTAACCAGTTCCACCCCTGCAGGCGGACGACTGGGAGAGCTTTTCGTAAAGAACAGTACCGATTCTCTTGTTGGTTTTTCTCTGTGTATGCAGGGGCAAGGTTCCGAACCAGGCCGCAGCGCTACAGGAGCTCGAGGTCGTGTCGAAAATCATCAACCACCTTATCCGAAAGGGAGACACACTGGCTGTCCTAAGTCGCCCGGCACGTCAGGCCGGCGAGGACGATGCCTCCTACTTGCAGCGCATGCAGACGGAACGTGTGCTGCAGTTGCACGATAACTATGCCCCAGAGGATGAGTGAGCTTCGCATCCTGGCCAGGGAGCCTGATTGAGCGTTGCCTGCTGGGGTTACGAGGGGTTACTTGGAGAGCAAACTGGCTTATGGGTGCCTTGACGTTCCAAATTGCTGCGTGGACATGTTGAATATGTGTGGTACTTACACTACAGTTCTATAATCACTATTTATGATGCGTTCGCGTGTCCTATCCGGGAGGCTGTGGGGTCCGGGTTCCGGCGTTGGAGTTGTGGTATCAGGAGGGGTTGAGTGCTTTGGCAATTGCCATCAACTGTAACTTATCTATTGTACGAGGAGAAACAGTGAATGAGAATATCGGATTTGCACACACTTAACCATGGAACTCAAGATCAGATATATTCGGACCTTGCTCCCTGGTAGAGTTCTAAGGGATAAGGAAACACCCTTTCATAACATATGCAACAAGCTGAATTGGTTGATAATTTAGACGTCAGGGGTCTCATGATCGTAGAATTGGATCGCATGAAATAATTCCTTGAAATGCAGGCATTCCGAATTTAGTCAAACACATATAGTTTACTGCAGCATACCATATACTTTATACTGTACAACTGCTATCGCGCTGTGGCACCTAAAGGCATTCTTAGGAGTACCTGCGACTGCGTACCTTCCGTTATACCCAATTTCCTGAAACGTGTCCATTTCAAATTCTGAGAGTTGTACGCCATGAGTGACTCAGAAGATGATATTCCTCTGGCTAAGCGCCTGGCGGCCCCGCCGGCCAAATCCACTCCTAAACTAGTTCCCAAGCCAGCACCCAAACCTGCAGCGCCTCAACAGCAAAATAGGTCGCGAGCAAATGGAGCAAGCAAAAAGAAACCTGAGACGGAGGACGAAGACGAGGACGATGAGGAGAGCGAGGAGGTAGGCGATGCATTTGACAGTGGGGAAATTTGTCTTGTGCCTCACGGCACCGGGGTGGCCGTGCAGGCCTCCAGCAGCGAGGAGAGTGACGAGGAGGACAGCGAAAGCGACGTACTGTTGGCGAAACGCCGTAAGAGTAAGTCGCCCGGCGCAGCGAGTACTGGCGCGAAGCGTAAGCGGGCGAACTCGCACAAGGAGAGTGACAACGCCAAACGGTCAAAGCGGGAGCCGGGCAGCAGCAAATCAGGGCAGGTTATGTGGAAGACGCTGCGGCACAGTGGTGTGCTGTTCCCACCTGAATACGAGGTAGGCATGCATATAGCACTGTTGCCGGGCAGCAGCGTGGCAGTAACGTTGACCGACGGATGGGATACCAGGTGGAGCCAGACCCAATCGTCTCGAGAGTTTGCTCATGTGAATGAAGCCTTTCCTTTAAGGAACACCAAGGTATCCAACCCTGTTCCTACAGGAACGCCATAAAACGTGCTTAGCCGCATCCACTTCGCCTGCGTCCATTGGGTAGCGTAATGCTTACCATCTTCCTTTTCGGAAGTTTTCAGCACATGTCTTGTGAAAACGGCGTAGGTGGTCAATTGTCAGATGCATTCAACCCTGAGCACTTTGACCCGTTCCCTTCACTCCACAGCCGCATGGGGTTAAAATGCTGTACGACGGGAAGCCCCTGGACTTGACGCCGGAGCAGGAGGAGGTGGCCACCATGTTTGCGGTGATGAAAGACACCGATTACATGAAGAAGCCGATCTTCCTGAAGAACTTCTGGGAAGGTTTTAAAGAGGTGTTGGGCAAAAACCATGTCATCAAAAGCCTTGACAAGTGCGATTTTACGCCAATCTTTGACTGGCACATGGCGCAGCGAGAGGCGAAAAAGAACATGTCCAAGGAGGTGCGTTGCGCCAAGACATGGGTACGAAGTCCAGCTGGATAGGGCTCCCAGGGTATTCGGGTGTGGGTTGGCAAGGTCGACGCGGATGTTGGCCACCACCGCACCGCTGCAGCGATAGCGCACTTCCCTGCCTGTTTGAACGTATTGGATGATTGATTGCGGGGACATGCGGACACGGCCTGATGAGCCACACCGTGGACTGTCCTTTCAGGAGAAGGACCGGTTAAAAAAAGAGAAGGATGAGAAGGAGGCCAAGTACAAAGTGGCGTACGTGGACGGCCGCTGCGAACCGGTGAGTGCGGCTGCTGTGGCAGTTTGCGTGGCGTAGTTTGCGTAAGGTCGCTGTAATGGCATGACCGACAGATTATCATCGCCTGTACTGTGCCCTCGCTGGGCTTTAAGGCGAAAGCGCATGGCGTTTCCCTGCAACCACAGCCACTTGTTCCCTGCAACCACAGCTGTCACATGTTGCTTGAAAGCGCAACCTTCGGCCTCCCTGCTATTGGGTCGGGCGTCGTCCGCAACGCCACAGGTCGGCAACTTCCGCGTCGAGCCTCCTGGACTCTTCCGCGGTCGCGGAGAGCACCCAAAGATGGGCAAGATTAAGCGGCGTGTATATCCCCGGGATATCACTATCAACATCGGCGAGGGCGAAGCTATCCCTGAGCATCCATACCCCGGACAGAAGTGGAAAGAGATCAAGCACGACCATACAGTGACGTGGCTGGCGTACTGGAAGGATACCATCTCCTCAAAAGACTACAAGTGCGTGGCTTCTAGATGTGCTAATCAGTAGTACCAGGGTGATGCGCTGATGTCCAGGGATGTTGGGCTGCTGAAATTTGAGGGTAGGATTGGCCAAAACAGTTGCATGGGCCAATCTTAAAGGGAAGGGATGCAGGCAAGGGTGTTCTCCGTGTCATGTTAAAGTTCTGCATCCCTTCACTGTCAGGTACGTCTTCCTGGGGGCCACGTCGACCTTCAAGGCCGACAGCGACCTCGCCAAGTACGAAAAGGCGCGGAAACTCAAAGATTTGATTGTGGACATCCGCAAAAACTATGAGCGCGACTGGGAGAGCTCAGACCATAGGAAGCGGCAAATGGGCGTTGCTCTTTACTTCATTGACAAGCTGGCACTTCGTGCGGGCCACGAGAAGGACGACGATGAGGCTGACACGGTCGGCTGCTGCACGCTGAAGGCAAGGAGCTAATGTGCAGGTGTCATGTTCATGGACCCCCGTTGCGAACAGCTTCCTATAGGCAGAGTTCCCATGGGGCATAGGAGGACCTTTAGGCCAATGGCTCCTTCAAATGCCTTTTGTGCATACCTGATAACTTGTATGCATGTTTGGTAGCTTTTGCCAGCCCGATAAGGTACGTTTGCCATCCACAAGGGGTCTCCTGGGTCCGCATAGGATGTTGGCAAGGCGCTTTGGTGCTGAAACACTCGTGGGGAATTCCTGGGCCCAGGTGGAGAATATTGATCTGGAGCCGGGCAACAAGGTGAAGTTCGATTTCCTGGGTAAGGACTCGATCCGCTACGAGAACGTTGTGGAGGTCCACCCCACGGTCTACAAGAACCTTGAGAAGTTTCGGAAAATTGACTCAACCGGCAAGAGTAAGTAAATAGGTGCAGGGCTCATATGGCAGCAACTTGGGAGTGATGTGCTGGACGGATATTAAGGCTCCTCATGAAGGATAGGTTTGGATAGGAGCAGGGTTGTGGGCAGCATATAGTTGTTAATGGATGTGATGCCAGAGGGTTGACCCCATCTTTTGAACAAAGGTGCATGCAGGCGGGGTGCGGCCAAATCTTCGACGGCCGACCCCTTCAGACCGAAAACGGGGCTTGTGTCTCAGCCTGTGTAATGGCGTTGATGCCGGGGGGCCACTAAAGTTGCATCTATGTTCCCAGGCCCTGTGCAGCTGTGTAGCTCGCCCCCACATCACCGTTGACATATCCACGCAAGGAATGCGACATGTTGAGCGCTCTTCCTTGCCGTTGCCTGCAGAAAAGAAGCCTGGCGATCAGCTTTTCGAGATGTTCGACGCGCAAGACTTAAACAAAGAGCTGAAGAACATTATGGATGGCCTCTCGGTAAAGGTCTTCCGTACGTACAACGCGTCGATTACGTTGGACCGGCTCCTCGCTGAGTTGGAAGCATCGAAAAAAGACGCGGCTGCCCAGTCTGTGGACGAGAAAAAAGCAGATTACGACAGCGCCAACAAGGAGGTAGGTGCTAATGCTGGCAGGACAGCCTTGAGGCGGAAGGACTGAAACACCGATTGGCCCCGATTGGCCCCGGGTGTCGAGAGTCATTTAAATGAGAAATAGCGGCTAGGCAATGTTCTCGGTAATGCGTGAGGAGCCCGTCCGAATTCGCGTTGCAGGTGGCCATTCTCTGTAACCATCAGCGCTCAGTGCCCAAGACACATACGAACCAGATGGAGAAGATCCAGGAGAAGCTGCAGGCTTTGAACACGGAGCTCAAGGAGCTCGAGGACGAGCTTGCCGCCGTCCAGAAGGGAAAGAGCGAGGGCAAGAAGGCCAGCGCCGAATCGTGAGTATTAACGTGTTGGGGTCGGTTTCCCCTTCGTTGGCTAGCACTGCAAGTTAGGATACGAATCCGTTGGGATGGATGGATCGCGGGGCTTGTGTCGTACATGAAGAGTCTGTTGACCATGTTGCCTGCTGTCCCCGTATGCCGATTGCAGATTGCTTTCTAAAATTGAAAAGAAGAAACAGGCAATCTTCAAGGTGGAGCTGCTGGCACGGTCTAAGGAGGACCTGAAAACGGTGGCGCTCGGAACGTCGAAAATCAACTACATGGACCCGCGCATAACGGTCGCGTGGTGCAAGCGTAATGATGTGCCGATTGAGAAAATCTTCAACAAAAGCTTGCTTGGCAAGTTCAATTGGGCTATGGACGTCGAGCCGTCCTTCCGATTCTAATGGCTAGCGGGTCTGGGTAGGTCTCGACTGGACGAGCGGCGGGCGTGGTGGGTATAAGTGTCCGTGTTCCCTGTTCCCTTCGGGGCCGGAGAGTTGTGATCAGATGCGAAAGATTGGCATATCTTACTAAGCGAGGCAAACTGAGCGTTGGGTGAGCTCTAGAGTGAACGTCTGAGTCAGGCTAACTTCAGAAGTCACGGTTGCAAGGGGGCGTATGCGGCCTGTAGAGGCCCAAGTCCTCAATTGACGATGATCATGATGATGGGTGCGAAACCATCCAATTTTGGTTAGCTTCTTTCTTGTCATTGTCCGGTACGGGAGCATGACTGGATTTCAGAGCCACTGGTTTCCGGTTTCTACAGCGCAAATAACTACTTTGTATAGCGCTCAGCAAGTTTCCTATTTCATCGGTCACCGGAACGTTTTGTGACAACCATACGGAAAGTGAAGGTAGCAGTCACGAGTAGGTGGCCCAAACGCGTATTAAACAAGTCAAATTTATTAAGCTACTTTATCATCAAAGTTTCCCTTATATAAATTTTAAGTGTTACAACAAAAGATTGGGCCACTCATTCTTGACTGGTTTCAGAAATGTTATAACATAGTACTCTATGTTAAGCGAGGTGTAGTTGCCACAAGATTTTCCTTGCACTGTGTTGGTATTACGTCTCGCCGGCTGAGAGTCTTTGGTTGGGAGGGCTACGCGGGAGAAGCGGGGCCCGAACAGGGCACGGCAGGGCTAGCTATGAGGCAATTCCTCAGAGGACTCAGGGGCGGAACTGAATCGCGTTCACAAGAGAACGGAAGCGTTGAGAATGCTGCCACGGCCGAAGTGGTTGGTGGCGAGCCAAGGTACGCGCGTCTCTTTGGTAGTGTCAAATGTAAGCTGTAATGTTGACAGACTGTCTGTGCTTTTTCAGCCGGCAGGCTGCAAGTGCTGGCTCTGGGCAACCGGAGACGGAGCAGAAACCTCAAGCACCATCCAGCTTTTATTGCCCTATCTCTATGGAGCTCATGGCAGACCCAGTAATGGTGGCGACGGGGCATACTTATGACCGCCAATGCATTGAGAAGTGGCTGGCGCAAGGCAACCGAACGTGCCCTGTCACCGGCATGCGATTGAGGCACTTGGAACTTACACCTAATTACGCCTTGAGAACAGCAATTCAGGTTAGCGGTGGCTGTTAAAATCTGACAGCCTTGGTTAAGGCATGCGTTGCCATAGTGGTTGATTTACCTCGCAGGAATGGGCTTCGTCGCATGGCATCAACGTGAACGCTGGAGGGAGCAGGCTGAATGCACCTTATCGTTACGAGGATGAACCTCGCAATATATTGCAGGTATGTCGGATAACCCGGATCCTGTGCAGGGGCAAGGGATGGGGGGAAAGGACAGCCACGCACCGCCACACAGCACCCGTGCCTGGCCTGCGGACCGCAACCAGGTAGTGGCCATGGATTGCAACATCACGGTTACATCTCCTTCGGCACCAGTTTCATCAACCTTCACACGGGCATGAGGAGCCGGGTTCACGGCTTCGAGCCCATGCGGGCAAGCAAAGCCCTTGCACGCTAAGCCATGAGGGCAAACCGCACATCGTCCCCCAGTTTGCAAGTCTCATGTAATGTGCGTGTATATGGCTGGTGACGCGCGCAGCTCCCGGTACTGCAGAAGTTGACTCCCATATCTCCATTAAACTAGGGGCACGAGGAGATCGTCTGGGCTGTGGAAGTGTGCGGCCGGCGGCTTTTCTCTGCATCGGCAGACAAGACTATACGGGTGTGGGACATTGAGTCGCGGCGGTGTGAGCAAGTGATGGAGGACCATACACGGCCGGTACTCTCGTTGTCGGTCGCGAACGGGAAGCTGTTTTCCGGGTCGTACGATTATACCATCAAGGTGAGTTCCCGAACGACTTGATAGCAAATCGTATTGCCAGTAGTCACAGAAGATTCAGGTACAGATTAGGCGTCTGCCACGTACGATGCATGACGCCTAGTGGGAGTATATGCCTTGTTTTGAGCATTGCATTGTGTGCGATTGCTTTGTTGCTTGGATGTGCGAGTGCATGAAGGCTTAAATTGCCGCATGTTGTACTTGCCTAATTCCCTGATCTTTCAGGTGTGGGACCTGCAGACGTTGCAGAAGATACGGACACTGACGGGTCATAACGACGCAGTGCGGGCTCTGGCGCTGGCGGATGGAAAGCTCTTCTCGGGCTCGTACGATAGTACTGTACGAGTATGGGATGAAAATACCTTGCAGTGCTTGGAAGTTCTCAAGGGCCACACTGGTCCTGTCCGTACGCTCGTCCACTGTCGGAACAACATGTTTTCCGGTTCGTACGACCGGACGGTCAAGGTATGCCGGGTGCAGGAGGTGGTTCGCTTGCGCGTACGCGCATGGACTGGTGCGCTCTGCTGCAGGCCGTTCCTTGCGACAGGATGGTTTGCTGTGGCCCTTCTCTTTCTAGTTGTTATACCTAGTCCTTAAAGGGCGCAGCATGCGCACCATTATGACTGAGGCGCCACCCCTGGCATTGGCCAGGTACCTCTCGGAAATTTGGGAGGCCAGGCACGTCGCGCTGAGGCGCTTCGCCCTGAAGCGGACGAGGGAGAACGAAGATGACCTCCCGCGTACCCGCATCAATACCAATACAACGTCCATGGCCCCCCCGGCTTTTACGGACACACCCGCACTTGTGTGCGGAACTTGTAACTTGTAACTCTAGTTGTTATGGTTTGCTCACACGGATGAGGGTGGTGCAGCTTTCGGAGCGGTCACGCTGTAGTGCAGCAAAAGGGAAACCGCGGGGGTTCCCCTTTAGGGGAAGACTTTGGTTCATCCCCTTTAAAGCACCGCGGGTTACGAGGTTTCTTATGGTGTTTTGCAGGTGTGGGATTGCGAGACCTTGCAGTGTAAGGCAACGCTGACCGGCCACTCGGGAGCTGTGAGAGCGCTGGTGGCGTCGTCGGATAAGGTGTTCTCCGGCTCTGACGACACAACGATTAAAGTAAGGTGTTAACCGGTGTGACGGGTGTCCTGAACCTCACGACAAAGGAGCTACCCCTAGGCGCCGCATTCTAGCTTTGGGGACGTGTAGCTGCTGACGAGCCTGCCCATGGTTTTATGGTTGTGAGGAACTACCTTAGCAAATCGGAAGCATGTGTCCGCAGAGCGCGAAAAGGAAGGGCACTATTTGCATAGAAAGGGTGGGAATGAAGCGAATTGCTAAGCCTACGAATGGTTGTGGGTGCAATTGTAGGTTTGGGATGCGGAGACGCTTCAATGCTTGAAGACTTTGGAGGGACACGACGATAACGTTCGCGTGCTGGCCGTCGGCGATCGGCACATGTACAGCGGTTCCTGGGACAAGACCATCCGTGTCTGGTCCCTGAGCACCCTCGAATGCGTCAGGATGCTTGAAGGGCACACGGAGGCTGTGCTGGCGTTGGCTGTCGGCAACAATGTCTTAGTTTCGGGTTCATACGACACCACGGTGCGCTTTTGGGATGCAAACAGCAACTACCGATGCGTACGAAAGTGCGATGGCCATGATGACGCTGTACGTGTCCTAGCAGCGGCAGATGGTCGTGTCTTTTCAGGCTCATACGATGGAACGATTGGCATCTGGTAACAGCATTGCAGTCTCGGCTGACGGCAAGCGTTGCACGGATCCTAACGTAGAGGTCTACAGTGGAGGTTTGTGCGCAGGGGTTCTTGGAGTTGCAGGGGACAGCCGCCATCGGTCTGGGATGATGGCGGATGCACCGGGTTGAGGTTGAGGTGTAACGGTTAGGAATCTGCGTGGCCACGTCGCTGTCACAGTGTAGCCTCTGCCGCCAGCAGGAATGGACGCGCTGCAGTGAGGCGCATTTGTGGCTTGACTTGCAGGTGGACAGCTGCTACAAACCAGATCTTACAAGTGCTAGTTTGCCGTTGCGCAAGTTAGGGTCAGTAAGTTTTGCGTGTAGTGATACTCGTTTTGCCGGGCACCTCATGGACGCTGCGAATGTGAAGGGGGCGTCCCCGTGAGGATGCCACGGCACTGTCTCTGCAAGCTGCTTAGCTTTCAACTTTGTGTGGTCTTCTGCCGGTTGTCCGTTGTCTAGTATATAAAGACATCGGTTGGCATCAGGACAGGCATCAAGTGAGTCTGGGCACGGTCTACGCAGGATGCCCTTGCGTTTGCATCCCTGTTTCCTGCACGGGTAAATGACGCTTATTTTTCATGGCAAGCCATTATCATGATGGGAGCTCATCAGATGCATGCAAAGCGTGAATGTGCTTGTCAACGCACCGCGTGGTATTTTAAAATTTTGGTTGCACGAGGGTTTGCACATTGGGCCGCCAATGACCGGGGCACTCCCAAGTCTGGTATGTGGATATCTTACCAGGCCGTATGTTTGGGTTTTCTCCTGTGCGCCTTTCAGCAATCGTTCAATTTCTGCACGAGGCAGCTATGTTGTGGAGGATCCAGCCTTCATGGCAGGCCTTGAATTCATATAGGCCGCTGAACACGAGGGGTTCCTCAGGTGTACGATAACTGACGCGGCAGCCGACGTAAAATAGTAGCCTGACTATTGTGCACAATTCCTAGTCAGCTTTCGCATTGGCGCCAATGAAGACGCACTGTAATTAGGCGCGACTCTTTCCGCCGACGGAAGGGTACACCGTTTGCTTGAGGCGATCGAGGGGTGGAGAGAAGTGCATGCGCTTGCTTAGCTGGGCGGCAAATGGAAGCGCCGCTCTGTTTGCTGCTGTTTGTTGCTTGACGAATGACAATTGGTGGTGGGCAGCTCACTTTAGGGAGGGTTAACTCCTTCCAATACGAGATTTCGTTGCACTTGAGGAAAGAGTAGATGGCAGGAAAGGCACGATGGCCGGTATGGTAGGAAAGGCACGATGGCCGGTTCTGGCGAGAGGCTAAGTCCACCTTAGCGCTATGCGCACTCACCGCAAACCGCTGTTGTCCAGGGCGGAAAGGCTGCCCGGAGCATGTTTGAATAATCTGCAAGTAGCCATGAGGTAGCAAGGCATGCTGTCCGGCACGTGTTGTTTTTAGTCCACGAGACGCCCCCTTCTTCCTCTGCAGCCACCCCTTAAAAGGAAAGTACAGCTGTCCGCCCCACCTTGACCTAACACCAGACCGGTGCCAATTGGGGTTAACGGCTCCCCGGGAGTTGGCATGTGTGTGATTAACGGGAGGTAGCTGGCCGCAGCGACGTTCCATGACCAACGGCATGAAATACGGTTACCAACCGACCGAAACGGTTTCCACAGGGTAGGCTCACTGGCGTGTTGTGATTAGTGGTCTGATTAGTGGTTGCATAGCGAACTAAATGAGAACCAAACTTATGTATATGTCATGGCTTGAATTTCTGCTCAACGAGAGAAATATCGTAGAAGTGTTCCCATCGTAGACATGCAGATGCTATGACTGCTGCCCCGTATGCCACGTCAGTAATCAGCTACATACACAGCTGATCCGCCATGCATGCCGCTTCTCCCCTTGGGGCATCTGATCCTAGCCGCCTGAGATGGGCATTCGATTGCGCTACCTGCAACCCACTCCAAAGACGCTCAATCTTAAGCACATCACTAGGTCTGTCAGTGTCAGCAATTTGGCGATCCGGGACCCTGTCGCCATACAACCTGGCCAACGGGAGCGCCGTGTCAGCTCAAGTCGGGTCAATGTAGATGGTAGATGGGACAAGCAGGGCTCAGTGGTTGCGTGTTCACAGCAGTCGTACAGGCTGTTGTCAAACGCACGCAGGAACGGCAGTCGGAAAGATAGGAATGAAGACTTCGGTGGCCTCGGATGACATCCCAGCATGAAAAGCGGTGGGATGGGTGGATCTGCTTGGCAGTGTTGTTTGAGGGCAGTTAGCAGTTAAGACAGTGGAGACGCCAAAGGCGGCTGCCTACCAGCCTACCGGCACCCAGGTAAACGAAGCGAACATGTAAAACGTTGTGTGATGGATGTGGGTCCGTGGAGAGGACACCGTCCGGCCACCGCTACCCTGGCTAAGGGCTAGCAGAAAGCGGGCAGGAAACAAAGTGCTCGCCGTCGGTCGGGATTGGTGCAGAAGAGATGGGCAGGGATGCCCTTAACAGCAGAACAATGCTAGCCGCCATCGCAAAGGCTCCAGGGGACCGGCGTTCCAGCCTTTAGAGGAGACATCTTAGCAGATGTCCGAATATCGCCCAGGGTGGTAACGACGCAAGGCCCATCTGAGCATCCCAGGTTACGCCTTTGCTGCGTTACAAGGGGTGTACGCTTCGCCATAATTCTGGGATGTGAAATTTACAATCAGGGAACCCCCCTGATGGAAAGGTTACTGGTGATATGTTATCCTCATTGGCCTGAAACCTTAGCGCCCCATTTGCACCGCTGGTAGCCGGCCAATAAATTGGCGTCGGGACTTAGCCTCATGGGATACGCCAACCGGACGTGCGATTTAGTTCGGCCCAGGTATGCACATAGGTCTTGCCCTCCTTGTCCACATGGCCGAACGCCAATCTGCCTGCCGGGGCAAGCTCAGCAGAACATTGGGAGACGAGGCATAACAGGACCCATTCTTCGGAATGAGCGTCCAGGACAATGCTGAGGCCTCCAAGAAAAGAGCTCGACAGGACACGAAGCTGAAAGGATGCCGCTGGATTTTTTCGCCCAAGCTTCGCTGCTCAAATTTCACCACTTGAACAAACCACAAGGACATTGGCATAATGCTATTTGGGTTTTGGTTCTGGGTTAGGCTTCGATTGGAGAAGTAGCCGTTGCCGGGCCAGATAGTGTGTTTCGGTACCAGGCACGCGTACTTTCTCACCTGGCGTCAGATGCTTAGGTGCTGATTGCTTTAACACTGATTTTATATCATTTCAAAGTAAGGAGTTTCCAGCATTGCCATGAACTACCATGCGAAAATTTAATGGTAGGCAACCGGTGCAGAAAGCACAATCCGCTATAGAAATATGCAACAGTGTAATACTCTCGCATGCAAAAGCACCGGTGAAGTCTTAGGTCGAGAAACCTTAATCCAGACGTGTCTGCAGAAACAGTCATGCGCCGTACACTCGTACAGTGCACTCGAAGTGAAAACATTTTGCCGACCGAAAAGACCTGTATGCTTTATCTCTTGGGGATTAACTGCTTTGTGCACTGTGTTAATTTTACCTGACGAGCAAGGGAACCTAACCCCGAAACTGATAGGATGGGGCGTCTTGTCGCCCAGATTCCAAACGAGGACCCTGAGCGTCTCAAGCGTGTCCTTGATGCAAAATGGCGGACTATCGGGGTAGGTACACGAACCAGTGCACGAAGGTTGGCACCGATGTGCTGAGACAGCGAGGTACTTTTTGCTTCATGTAGGTCGACAAGGAGGCTCTAGAAAAACAGGCCCAAGAGAGACGCGACATGGAGCAAGCGGAGAAAGAACGCGACGAGTAAGTATCGTTCGCTGGTACCGCGAATGCCGCGTCCCAAAGCTTTATGCTGGCAGTACCAATAGTTCTAATGCATTTTATATATAAACATGGCAATTGCGCTCCTTGCTGGTCGCTCCTGCCCTTGGGTTGCATGCGTGCTACACGGAAGGAAATACACCCATATTGTTTTCATGTGTATATCAGCTTCTGGGTTGCCATTAATTGCATTATGTTTCTGCCTGTGCAGGGCCTTTGCGCGGTTGACACAGTATTTCAACGACCAGCTCACATTAATGCAGCAGGAGGCCGACCAGATTCGGAAAGCGTACAACAAGGACACAGAGGCTTTTCGGCAGCAGCAGCAACTGCAGCATACACGCCGTGAATGGGACATAAATCGGCCAGATGCCAAGCAGCTGGACATGCCTGCTCGAATTGGCGATGACGACGCGCGCCTGGGCCCCTCGTCAATACAGAAGTTTGACGGGGAGGACCTCACGGTGAGGGCTTGGGTTTCAATAAGTGCCATCCTGGACTGCATGCCTAATGGGGACGCAGGAGTGCGGGGTGATACCATATGTGCGACGTGGGACAAGCAGCAGGCCTGTAACTGTACAGGGTTGTTTGCTTGCTTTCAATCTTGGGCTGCAGCGTGTCTAACTGTGTATGGCGCCAACCTAACTACGCCGTAAGATCAGGATACCATGCACATCACCCCCTTTTTCAGCCCAGGCAGATGCACCAGCCAGGATCTGCATACAAGATTGCAAACCACTCTTGCCACTTGACATGCAACCTTCCCACAGGCGGGAGACCGCAAGAAGGCCCAAATCGAGCAATGCGTTGACTGGTGGGCAGAGCAGACCGCCATTAAGGAGGCGTTACGCGCTGCGGAAAAAGAGGCCGAGACGGCGCACGCTGAGTTGGTTAAGTACCAGGACATGCTGCAACAGGCTGCCAAGAACGAGGAGGATGCGGTTCGCCGCGACCTTGCACGCGCAACAGCCGACTACAACAAGCGGCAGGCTGAGGAAAAGAAGTTGCGGGATATCGCCGCTAAGCAGGCCGAGCTGGCGGCCAACATGGCTGAGATGGAGGCCACGATTACATCCAGCTTCATGACGGAGGTGTGTCACATGAGGGTCGCCGCTTCAGAAAGATGGTGGAGGGTTGTATATTCAGTTGTTAGATATGGAGAGGGTTGCACATCTTTTGGCTATCCGCAAAAGACAAGGACACAGTGTCTGTATTTCTTAGTCACGGGCGGCCAGGAGTGGCGTGCATCGTATAGGTGGGCTTGGAAAGGCGCGTCGTCATCTTCTTGGTTAGCAATTGTTCGGCAGCGCCCAGCCTTGCCCCTTTGTTGCGCCAACTGGAGACAAGCAGCATGGTGACTGAGTGCATGATGTCTGTGCAGGACCCCAACATGGCTGCGTCTGCCATGTCACCTTTCCGGGTTCGTAAGGACCACTACAAGGGTATGACGGAGACGGAGAAGAAGGCCATCTTGGACGCACAGCTCGCGCAGATGGAGGAGAAGAAAGCGCGCCGAGCCCAGGAGCAGCTGGAGAACATGACTTATGCGCGGACACAGCAGGATATCCAGCGTGCTCTCCAAGAGCAGGTGCGTGCGAGGCACAGCGGTGTAGTAAGCATGGGATAGGGGTAATGAGAGCTGGATGCGTGAGCAGCACCGGTGTCACAGAAATAAGCTCTGCTTTGTATCTACAGAGGCTTATCCATCTGCAGAAGTCAATGCAGTCAAGTAATAGCTTCCTGCATGCACTGCTCCTGATGGGCGTCACATTTGCCGGGTGCCCTGGTGCATATGCTTTGTGGGGTGCAGGCGCAACGTGTCGAGGAGTTCAAGAAGGCTCAGCTGGCTCGGGCTACCGACATCCTGAAGAAGCAAACGGCAGAGAAGCAGGAGAGGGATAAGTACCTCAGCACCTTGTACAGAAATGCAATCGCGCCGGAGTTCTTCACACAATTTGGCACGTCACACCGCTGATAGCTCGCACATCATGGCCAACAGCCTGGGATGTGTATGCGTATGTACATGTGTGTGTATTATAGATAGCAGTGGCAGGCTGGGCTTGGTATGGTCCGGGAGTGATGGCAAGGTGCTTGACGAGTATCCCGACGTGCTGTGTCGTCTTCAGATAGTTAAGCCGTATGTTGTAAGATTTGCATACGGATTGTGCATAGTAGACAGTTATGAACGAGATTCAAGCCTTTCCATGCCGTTCCGTCGTGCTTCCGGAAATTTGGCGACATGTATGGGACTTATAATGTAAGCGTCGCGCGGCAGTACAATGGAAGCCAACTAAAAGATTGTAACTCGTGATTAATGTTGGGAACCACTTAGATTGTTCCGTCCATCGGAATTCTCAAGCGCCGTACGGCAGCTTCGGGAAGGTTTCCCTGTAAGGTTCATGATTTCCATTTCTGGGCATGTCATAACATTTATAGACATTTTGTTAATTAAGTAGCCCACTGCTGTTACGAATGGCGGCTCGGCGTCTCATTCCGCTGTTGGATCGGGTGCTAGTGGAGAAAGTGCAAGCAGCCACCAAGACAGCGGGAGGCGTCTTGTTGCCAGAGAGTGCAGTCCAAAAGGTGGGCGTCATTATGCGTGAATATAATGTTTTGAGCGTCGGCGCATTGGCACCACGTTGCGACCTGCGCTTTTCAGGTGAATGAGGGACTTGTACTCGCAATTGGACCCGGCCGACGCAATAAGGATGGAGAGTTGATACCTGTTAGCGTCCGGGAAGGTGACCGTGTCCTGCTCCCTGAGTACGGAGGAAGCCAGATAAAGCTCGCGGATAAGGAGTAAGTGCATATGCCTTCCATATCTGGGTCTTCTCTCGGCAGCAACCTTTTCGCAAAAACTTAACGAAGTTCTGATCCTTTGCTGGACAGGATGTACCTTTATCGAGATGAGGAACTGTTGGGTATTTTGAAGGACTAAGGCTACAACGCGCTGTGCTAATCCAGCATTAATCTACACAATTTGATCTCTTGGACTCATAGGTCTCTGGGAGCTTACGCGGGCCCCGCCCTGGGCAGGCTTCGTGAGGGGCCCCTAAGCAGCGTAGCCTATCGCATGGCTTTGTTTTACGAAGCACGAGGGAATTCAGTTGGTGGTTGCGGTGGTGGCAGCAGATGCACAAGTTTGGGCATCACTATGACTTGGTTAGCTCTGAGGAAATTGGTGTTAGGAACCCTGGGCGGATGGGCAGGTGGGAGGGGAGGGTTTAGTCGCGCTGCCCTTCCTAGGAGCCCTTGAAATCTCTATGGATTGGTGCCATGTGCATGTGTGTTGAGCTTCTTGGTGTCTTGCGATAAGGTGTCAAGGGCCTGGCTGTATGGTGAACATACCCTCGTTGTCGGACCGGAGTCGTGAAGCGGGGGGCAGCAATTCAGGATGTTGTGTTGATGTTGCTTACGGGAAAGTAATCGCTGTATCCACGCCGCAAGTATCTCACGCCACAAAACAACGCAGGACCTAGATTATTATCGATTTACAAGCCTTCAATGAAAAATGGATGTATCGATTGCCATTTTTGTGAGCACTTTCATCGGAATGAGATTATGCTGTACCATCAGCCGCACGACAGCACTAGCAACGCCATTAGGAACATGGAGTTTAACGGTTACTTACTATACTCTCATAAATTTAAAACATTTAGTTCGTGTAACTATGAAGCGGCCGGCGGCTTGCTTGTCAGGTTCTGAAGGGGCCCATCCTCTTCTCAGACCACCTATAGAAGCAGTCCACCAGCTCTCAGATGAAGGCGCGGCTCGAGTTGAAGATGATAATGAACTTTCGCCTGGATTGGATTGTTGTGGTGTTTGCGCTGGCCCCTTGACACGGGTTGTCTCCTGCACAGTATGTGACAGCGGTACGTTAATCTACCTGACAACGAGGGTGGGAAGGTCGCCAGACAATCACATGCAAGCCGGGTGTAGAGCAAATTCCTACTAATGCCACAAATTTCTTCTCCCTCAACACAAACTTGTTGGACATCCCTTCCCTCCATCCATCGCCGTGTGCCACGTGCAGTTCAGTACTGTTGCCCGCAGCACCTAGTTGACGATATACCTAATCATGCAGCCGTGTGCGAGGTCCTTCGTTGCATGCGTCATGCTGATCGCCTTGTTGAGCGAGAAACAGAACAGGCAGCGGAACAGGCTGCGACGTCCCCTGGCGAGGTTACCGCTTCACAAGCACTCCTGCCGCAGCCCCAGTCCACGTTGGACGGGTATCAACCACCGCAGCACAGCCAGCATGGCTGGCAACATATCGTTCCCGATAAGTTCCTGCGTGTCTATCCCCTATCCGAGGAACAAGGAGTAGGCGGCGAGAGCCTAACCGCACGGAAACGGTGAGCAAGTTCCTCTGCGCGGATAACTCGCTGCATCCGTGACTTCGCGCACCATGACTGCATATGTCGTGGCCCACCTTCACCTTTTGGCTGGTTGAAACACAGCTGGCACGCCGTTGCGGTTCAGTTCAGCTTGTGATTCGCCATGGTTTAGTTCAGCCGTTGGAGCGTTGAAGTCATGTCGAGTGCTTGGGAGCCATTCGTTTGTGTCGCTAGAATGACACTGCCTGGGCCGTAGCAACGCGCCTTGTGATACAGATTGCATTAATGATTAGTGTCTCGCGCTTGGCTGCGCCATCGCTGTCAGGCCACGCCAATCCGACAGGATCAGCGAAGCTAGCGCCGTGCAGCATGACATCAATCGGTATGCACAGGATGGTCCTGAAGAGCCGGTCCCTTCCGAGCCAGACGGCAAGGCAGATGACGAAGCCCAGCTACTGCTGGCGGCAGAGCTTGCAGAGCGCACAGCGGTTCTCAGCTACGCGTACACAGCGGCCCATGCCTTGCAAACCGTGCCGGCAGCTCATAGTGCTGCACGCCGAGCCGAAGCTGAGCATCGCCCCTTGGAGCTGCTAGTCCTCGGTGCAGCTGCGGATGCGGAACTGGGCGACCTAGCTTCGTGGCAGGTGAGCTCGGCAGGACAGCTGTGATCACCGGCAATTATGGCCCCAATGCAACTGCCAGGTGACTCGTCAACCGATATGGGGGCCACCTGATTTATGTGCCAGGTGGTTGCCGCCGCGTTGGACCAAGACGTGCGGATCAAATTCGTCGGGCCCGAGGTGCCTGATCACCTTGCCGGGACCGCGGCACAGCATGGCCGCGTAGCCATGCGCTTCCTGCAGGTGAGAGGGGTGGGCCGCCAGCCAAAATTCGCAGATCTGTCAGCTCCGTTGAGTCAATGCGCTGAGTATGGCGCCGCTTGATGGGTGGCAGCGTCTCCGGGTTCTTGGTTGTTGCACTAGTCGCGCCTCTCCTGCCGGTGGCGGGACTGCACGCTGCTTCTTCATGGACCTCCCGCGTACCCGCATCAATACCAATACAACGTCCATGGGCCCCCCGGCTTTTACGGACACACCCGCACTTGTGTGCGGAACTTGTAACTTGTATTACACATCTAGGCGCATGTGCTGGGTACCTGCAGGGTACGTACATGCAGCGCGCAGAAGAAGCACCTGACGTCTGCTTTGCATTTAACCCGGGCTTCACGTGTCCCGACTACGACTGGTCTGAGACCGTCAAAACTCTGACCAGGTGGGTAACCCCGGTGTCAAAAACCCTTTGCTTGACCTCGAGCACTCGTCATGCTTCACACTTATCACACACTACGACGAAGTTTACCAATCAGCAGCAAACGTAGGGTTGCACAGTCTGACACCTGTAAAGCACCCTCGAGAGAGGGCGTCATCAAAGCCATATACTTGTACGTCACATGCACCAGCAGGACTAGTGGACATGGGAAATAAGCGAACCCTTGCTGTGCATCTGCTCGGATCGGCTCTGCTCTATGCAATGTCGTGAAATCGCTAATCTGACAACTGCTCATTGGTGGGCCCTGCTCGGCCTTATATGCACAGGTCGAAGCGCTCTCCTGGCAGTGGGTCCTCCAGCGGAGCGCGGAGGTCTGGGGTTCCCGTCCAGCCCTGCATGTTGGTTGCAACCAACACTAGCATGGAGGCGCAGATGGAAGCTGAGTGGCTTCAGGAGTATGGCTGGCATTCAGAGGACTCGGCGTTACCAAACCCATACACCTCGCTCAAGCTGCTCCAGAGCGGCACACTTGCAAACGACCTATACCGTAAAAATGCTTGGCTGGTGGTCTACGAGCACCGGCCTACGCAACCACGGTTGGTCCGTGGCGGTCGCTCAGGCAAGCGTAGCGCCAAGGCAGCGGCGAAGCGCGCAGCAAAGGCGCTGTACAGCGCCATGGTTGCCCCCGTCGCGCGCCTTCTGCGCAAGCGCTGAGCTTCTACGGCTTGAAACCCAGCGGCTGAAACTGTTTGCTGCAAGGCCACCCTGGTGTGGGCAGTCGTTGATTGCCGTCACCGCTGTCGACTCGGTTGAGGGCTGTAGGCGTGACTCATGTCCACATTCGGGTGGTCCTGAGCACGTTGTGTTATTTTGCAGGAGTGGTGCGTGTACGGGCGCGATAGGCTAGTGCAGAGCCCTTGATAGGGCGCTGGGCCTCATGACTATCCCGATCAAGGATGCACGGGGTGACTTGTAAGGAGTTGAGACTTGGCCTGAAACATGCTGTAGACTTCCCCCCGCGCACACCTATGCCTGGGCATGGTTTCTTGTCTTGGGACAGTATAGGAGACCGCCACAGAGTTGTGCCCTGTTGTGTTGCCTCAATTGCTTAAACATGTGCCATCATAGCATTTTTGAGACAATGAGGCAGTCCTGAAATGGATTAGTACATTCAAGCCTCCCGAAAAGTGTTGCTGTTATCGGTGTCGAAGTCTTATAACCTTAACGGACTGGCTCGGATGCTGCATCCACGCTGAGGCTGTGTCTCATATTACGGAACATCGCGGCCCAATATTTGCAGCTGCCTGCTTATCTTTCCCGTTACCCCCACTCGCTTCAGCGTCGCCATTACAGGCAAGCCAGCGGCGCTAGGTGGGCGAACGTTGGTTGGCAAAGTATGGCCGAATGTTACGACCAGCGCTACGTCAAACTATAAGGCACAACCAAGAACTAAATTGTCCGCATGTCGCTGCGTAAGCTAAGACATGTCGTACGGCCTTCGAGAAAACTTTCGCACAGCAAACCAGTGTTGCACCGTCTTGCTCCATTTTAGCAGATTAGAAGCTATAGTACTGCGGATAAACGTTATTCTTACAGCGCGTTTGACCGGACTGAATGGAGAAAGAAAGGGAAAGAGAACGGGATGATGAGAAGGAGTTCGATAGGTGGAAGAAAGAATTCTCACAGATCCCGGAGGTGCGGTCCCTGCACAAGTCCTATTTGCAATGTCATTGTCATGGACCGACCAACTAAGCTGAGCTAGATGCTTCCTCACTTCAGATCATTCTTAGAGAGTATTGGGAGGCTTTCAAGTAAGTACGCTGTTTTAGAACTGTGGACACGGCTCGCGCCTAATATGGGTTTGCTCTTGTGCACTCACAGGCTCTTCGACAAAGATGGGAACTGTAAGATACGGATGGATTCAACCCCGGCGCCATAATCTCATGTCTGACGTACGAGCTTTGCTGAGGTTCCACGCAGATTTAATTATCAAGGAGGAGCTTGCAACGGTAATGCGGGGGCTTGGGCAAACCCCAACGGAGGAAGAGCTCAGCATCATGATGACTGAGGTGGATAAAGATGGTACGAAAGCATCACCGCTTATATACATTGTCTAGTCCTGGAATTGCTGCCGGGGCGGGATTGTGAGGTTCATGTCGTACTACGGGGGGAATATAACGCCGATGGGTTACTCAATCCCCAGGAAGCGGTTACGTGGACTTCGGCGAGTTCGTCGGCCTCATGAGCAAGCAGCCTTCGCCTGCGGATCCGGAGGAAGACTTGCGGAGGGCATTCCGCATGTAAGTGTTGAGCTTATATCCGGGGGACCGCAGGAAAGACCACCGATGATGGTGTTCTGGGCGTTGCATAATGAAGTACGACGTATGTCCAAATCCTGCGGCATAAAGCGCCTTGTACCAGGCCTGCATAATGTTGACAGCTGCTTCGGGTCCCGTCGGAGCAAAGAACGGAAGGCCGAAGGCTCGGACATGGAACAAAAAGGGGGTGGCCCAGAAGGCCTCTCAGGGGCATGTATGGCAGAGGGTAAATGGCCAAATGTCAACCTTGTTACGGGTTGGGTCAGCCCACCTCAATTCGTAATTGACCATAGTAGGGCGTCACCTACTGACATCTTTCTGCGTTTGAGCCGCAGGTTTGACCGCGACGGGAATGGTCAGATTAACGCGGCCGAGGTAAGGGCTGCTATGCCTGGAATTTCGACTTGTGGCGAGTTGTGAGATTTGCATATGCTTTTCTGCAGCTCAAGCACATCATGACCAATATCGGCGAAACTCTGACGGAGGAGCAGGTGGGTGCCCTTCCGGCCTACACGTGGGTAGGGAACCCTTGGCAAACCGCCCTCCGCACAGCGCCTAGCATGGCTAGATGACGGGTCGATGAATCCGACGCCCGCGTGTTCAGGTTGACGACATGATCCAGGAGGCGGACATCGACCAGGACGGCATGGTAAGAGCACACGCCGGCGGATCCAGCCATACCTCTTGAGACCAGCAGACACATGAACACGCATCCTCTTTCTTTGCATGCAGATCAACTACGAGGTGATACACACTGGGTGTATGTATTCGTGCAACTTGGCTGGTCGCAATGCAGGTGTTTCGGCGACACAGCAGTGACGGTAACGGAATCCCCTACCACCAGTGGCTGGTGACATCACTGATTGCACGCGTTCACTGATTTCATGCCCATTACCCTATGACACGCAGGAGTTCATCCGCATGATGGCGACTAAGTGAACGGGGGAGCATCCTGGAACGTCTCCTGGAATGGGAATAAACTTGTGAAAGCTGTGGTGGACATTTGCGTGACGGAGGGTGCGAATAATTAACCTGTATTTGGCTATCGACAGGACCGTCTGTGTATTATATTGCTGGATGTTGATGGGGCTTCAATGGACTTCGCTACGCGATTACAATATATCTCATGCGCTGGGTGCGTGGGAGATACGTGTTGGCCATGGGTGTTGGTGCTGTTGGTTTGCCTGATCGAAATTTTGCAGTGTCATGCCCATTGACGGTGGTCTCTCTCGTTGCCCAACAGTAGCCATCGGCGCAAGGAATGGTTGTGCCGAAGTCATTTTTGGCATGTAAGCCAGGCTAAACCACAACCATATATGTTGGTCTCGCAAGATCTCCAGACTTGGCAATCTCACGTGACAGCCTCAACGCAAATACGCAACCTCGTCAGGTCACCATAACGCCCCCTTAGACGGTCAATTTCAGAAGAGCGAGTCCGCGGCATCGAATGTATAATCTGCCATTCACGCACTATATGTCATATGGAAAACAACTTCAGTTGATGGAAAGCTATATCACCGGCGGTTGTTCCCGCTGCTGCCATATCGTGCACGTACATCGTCTTCATTCCCGCGGCGTTCTCGCGCCGCTGACTCCTTGAACACGTCCCGTGCATCGCGGCCGCCATCGCGGCGATCCCTGCTTCTGCTCCTGCTGTGGCTAACGCGTCGGGCTTCCCTGCGGTCGTCGGACATCCGTCCACGCCCCCGATCCTTGTCATAGCTTCTGTCCCGGTCGTAGTCGCGGTCTTCATCCCTGCCCCGGTCGCGGCCCATGTCCCGTTCACGGGTGTCACGCCTGTCCCGGTCATAACCGCGGTCCCGCCAGTCTGCACTGCCACGACCGTCACGGTCTCGGTTGTAGTCCCGCCGCGCGGGCGGCAGCTCACGGCGATCACGATCCCGTGGCGGGTCAGGTGATGCCGATCCGCGAGCCCTGCCACTGGCTGTATTATCACGCATCGTGGCCGATGGATCGCGGCCGCGACCCTCCTCGCGTGCACCGGAGCGGTTCGGGGCTCTTTGCCCAAATGCCACGGACAGGGACGCTTTGACTGAGGCTGGCCGGCGGTTGCCCGCGTCGTCGACACCACGGCGGTCTGCACCGCCAGCGCCACCGTTCCCTTTCGCTGTAGTGGGCAGATTACGCGACTTGAGCTCCTCGTTAATAACGTCCTGGACTGGCTTTGGGATGCGTGGAAAAATGGTCTCGAAGTAGTACTGCGAAAAGTCCAAACGCCATGGTAACGAATTGTGTCAGGTCCTTCTCGTACATTGTTAGCTAACCAACAGAGCTACAAGGCAGCAGGTCTCCAAAGCAAATATGCGGCGTTAACAGGCACGTGACACGCAGCCATAGCAACTTGGGTTGCGCTAAGGATGGCTAGCAGCTGCCATACACAGAGCCGATACCCTTTTAGAACTTCAAAGAATTTCACGCAACGCGGTGGACCGCACCCTACCGACGGCAGGGGTGTTCAATATGTCCTGGATGCGAATCCTCCGGGCATCACGTTGTTGGGCCGCTGCCAGTTATCCAAGGCTTCCCCCGACGCCGTCCCTGTGCATGACACCACACTAGGGGCGCAGAACCAGGGGCTCAGTCTCGGAGCGGCTGCTCCCCGCATGTAAAGCACCCTACCTGGGACAACAAGAGGTCTCGTACGTAGTCGCCCATAGTCACCTCCTTCTGTTCCGGTCCGCTAGGGGCGAGCATCTGCACGTGAGGAATATCCTTACGTAAAAGGTATGCCTACATACGTCGCACAACAGATTTGCCGTTGCCACTATACCTGCCTTCAATAGCTTCATTGGCAGACGATTCGCACCCAGCATTGCCTGCTTCCAGCAACCCTTCTTACCTCTTGGTCCTTCACGTACGGTCCACACCAGCTCCAAAGCGTCTTTGGGTCCGCAACGTAGCGCAGGTACAGGAAGCCAACCTGCCGGCAAAAGCGAAGCAGAGGAAAAGCTCCCGTAAGGCCATGGTAAATATGCACAAAAGACCTGGGCAAAAGAGGCTGCTTTTATCACTCAGACTGCCATTGCAAACCATGCTCAAACCCGCACCCAAACCTTAAAGGTCTCCATAGCCAGAATGGCCCCCTCCCCTTACCCCCCCCCACCGAGTTACGTACGCTTCAAGCTGTTTAAGACCTCACCGCGCGGATGTACGGCGAATCGCGGTGATCCAGCATATCCTTAATCTGCTTCGGGTTCAGCTTTAACGTGAAAAGCCGGTGGAGGAGGCAGAAGGCCGACGAGGCACCCCGTGCATTCCCGCTCATCCAGGGCTCCACATGATCAACATTCTCATAAATTTCGTCGACAATGTCCGACCAGTTGTTCAAAGAAGTGCATGTCTGTCGGTAGTAGTCAGATCCTAAAATGTTCTGGCGTAGAACATTCTCCAGATTGTATGTAGTGCTAGACCCGTATAGTTCCATGGTCAAGCTCCAAATAAACTGATTAAACTTAACGTTCAAGGAAGCCTGGACTTGGCCCAGCAGCCAACACCCAACGAACAGTCGACCCCGCCTTTATCTAGTCATTCCTGGTTATTTCACAACGTGGTGAGCAACTTGCTTTATTGCAGGTTTGTATTGAAATTAAGGAACTGTTGTAACAACCGAGCAGCGAAATTCGCATTAAATGCCTTAAAAAAGTTGCTCTTTGATGATGAAAGTAATTTTCCACAGAGCACGCTTTCCTTGTATTTGCATATATGACTGCTGTGCCTCAGTGTGTTCTCTTTACAAACCAGTTCCCGCCGTACATAAGCACTTGCTGCCACTTACTGCATGGAGCATGATGAAATGGTCAACCTTCTCAACTATGGATTTCATGATAACTGATTTCCAATCGGTCTTAGATAAGTACCCAGGACAACGCATACTGGCATGAAGCTTTGAGGTCACTTGCTGTATGCGAAGCGGAAGTGGAACTCCTGCATTAGACCCCGAGGAGGTCGTTGCTCGCTCTGGAAAGTCGCTATGTGGGCTGCACAGCCAGCCCCTGAGAGAGGCATCAGTCCATCTTTCATAATCGGCCTGGTATGTGGGTTAGTGCGATATGCGTGCATGTACTGGCACGCATCATTGGGTTTTAGCTGGAGATACCATGGGAGCGCGGGACTGCCGCATAACTCTTGATGTACCTATGTCCAGGTGTTGCTGCTTTTCATCATGACCGCGGATTTGTCCTCATGGGGTTCAGGCAGCGCATCGGGACCGCAGCAAGTACGCTTAGGGCAACAGCATGCTCATGCACAGGCGCAGGAAGTGAGGGATAAGGTGCGGCTTATGGTTTTAGGACCCTGGGGTCAGGCTGTATGACTACAGAGGGGTTCTAATCAAGAGGTTCCATAGCGTCACACGGGAGAAGCCCTTTGCTTGGTAGTGCACCAGCAGTCCGTGCTACATTGGTGAATTTCCTGTAAAGCCCCGCAATTGATTAGCACGGGACGCCTACGTGTGCACAGTCTTTTGCGATGCGAGACCCTCATGGCTATGTAAGGCATTTTCGGTGTAGCACGCGCGGCGTCACCGCGTCCACCGTTTATATTACTGTCGTCTTTATACTGGCTGAGCGATATACCAGATGTAATCACGGCTCCACCACTGCGTGCGTCGCTTACAGGGGTTGCATATACAGTGCATGGTGTCATTGCCCGTGCGAAGCCGTTAAGCCACAGACATCGTCCATCATAAATTCATATCGCCTCAACCTTTCTCGCCCCCTTACGACCTGTTTTCGTTTCTGATACTTGCAACAGTTAATGTACGAGCTGACAGTGTCGAACGAGCGTTTAGAGGTGAGTGCTAGGGGCTAACAAGTTAGTGGGGAGCCCAACATACACGCTCACGGCGTGGCTCAACAATTGCGGCAAAAAATGCTGTAGTAACTAGTCCAAGAGCTTGGCAGGAGATCGTATAGTTATGGCGCATGTATCAAGTGCTACCATCAATGTACACTGTGCACCTGCAGGCTCTTCATGCGAGGCACCTAGCCCGGCGCCGCCGCCGGCGCGCCGTTGGGGTCCGTTGTTTGAAGCTTTACTTGCAATTCGTGCCACGCTTTCCAAATTTCCCTGTGCAGAAGGAGAACCGACAGCTGCACCTCCAGCTCCTAGTGCTTCGACGGATGCTGCGTGCGTGTCGAGGCAATCGCACGTCTAATGTAGGCACGAGCGAACTAATACGAGTCGCACAATCCGAGCTGGATTTGGTAACGGAAGGGGGACAAGGACAGAGTCGAGCCAGCAATTCGGACGAAACGGCCACGCGGGGTCTAGAAGACCAACAAAGAGCAAGTACAATTTAAGTAGCACGCAAGCACCTCACAAGCAGTCATTCTGATGGCTTGCTTCCATACCAATGGAATTACAAGCTCGTTACGGTAGCTCCAACAACGAATCGGATTGCCTCCAATGAAGGAATGAAGCACAGACCAGAAGCCTTTAACAACGTATGAAAAATACACATCCTCCTGTAACTCGAGAATGCCTAGCCAGTCGGCTCTTTTTCATATATTGCCAATAACACGCACCGTCCATACTAAGGTATTACTGCAGGCAGCCACACAGGACAATGACCTACTCGTCTGCATCCACTATCTGCAGCCACCCCAACCTGTCATAAGCCAAGAGCATGACAACGCTTAGTGGTGGTGCGCGCCATGCTTCCAGTCATCGCTGTAGTACCGGTTCCCAGTGTACTTGCAAACAGCGGGGTTCTCGTAGCTGGTGCCCTTAAGCGTGATGTATTCGACCTGCGCAGCGTCGGCCAACGACTCAAGTCAGCACAAGAACCCGCTCCCTGTAATATTGCTATTTTTCTTGCGCTTTCCCAACACAGAAAACACAGTCTTATGCAACCCCTGCGTAACAGCATGCCCGCTGGACACCGTTGTCAATATCAGGGTCACAAGTTCGCAGGAAAACGATGCGTGGCGATGATTGATGTGGAGGTCAGATTTCCCACTGCTATGGAAATCCGTGCGCAAGCATGGCAACCTATGCGGACTTCCTTGCATATACCCCCCATGCCATTATACGTACCGGACATCCCAGAGCCGGATCGTCACCTACAGCAGAAGGGCATAGCAACGTGTTGTTGAGACACCACCTTCGGGCCCTCTGCCTATGGTTTCTGGTCTGGGCTTAGCAGACAACACAGGAAAGCTGCGCATCTTTACTCCCTTGGCCTTTGCTGCCTGCTATCAATGCCCCGGTCGGTAACGAATCATCACAAGGCGTTTCAGTTGCTCGTGCCACGGTCCCGATCCCGGTGAGGTGCTAACACGTAACTCGGACTGATGAGAACTTACTGCCGTACGAGGCCACGACCAAACCCTTGACCTTGATAGGCTCTACTTCGTTGATATACTCCATCGGTGACTTCCCTCCCTACAGAACACATCCAATTGGGACCTTATCACCAGAGACACCGCTTACACACGACACCAATTGAAACTTCCTGCGGTTACAACTAAAACAAACTTGCCGGCAACGTCTGCAAGGTCAGCCTAAAAAACATGGCCTTGCGCCTCCCCCATTTGTTGTGCTCCATGCTGCTTAGCGCAGCACCTTGACGTGTCAGCCAGACCCTAGAGGAAGCATCTTGCCGACACACCTGGAGCCACTTGTCCGTGTGGTTTTTGATGCCGTCTCCGAGTCCCAAGCCACTCGTCGCACGCAAATCACCCTTCGGGACGATTCCGCCAATTGTCTCAGGAATGTCCTTCAATGTGGCTATAGGCACTGTAGCATGCTTCCAATCAACCGTTGCAAGAGGAGTAGCCTTTGTAGCAAAAGAGCCACAAAAAGTTTTGCCGATGAGGCGACGGGCAAAAAGGGAAGTTCCTTGGAGTGCCATTTAACAGAAAGCACAAATAAGGATAACACTACAGCCCGACTACCACAGCAAATCTTTTAGGGTGAGCTGAGCACAAGAAGCCAGAGTGTCGTACATGCTCACTATATGGGTGTTAAAAGTTTTACAGGAAAAGTTCAATAACAAGATAACATGGATGAACTCTCACAGATATGCCTCTACTATGAGGAGCTTGCTTTGTCCTGTTTTGGGCCATACGGCAGGTCAGGTGACCATGGCGCGTGCAACAAGTAGGGAACGATTACCTACCAACAGATAATTGCTTTGCAGGTTGAAGGCGCTAGCTGCAGCGCAACACACACCATCCAGCGTTGTGACCTCTATAAGCGGCCACTTGCTCCAAGGTCGGTTGTACGACATTGTTGGACCGGCTTGCAGTTACCCGGGCGACAATGTTGGGGCTTTACATGTCGGATTCCCGTCAATCCTAACGCATGTACCGGGGTGAACCTATGGGAACTGTAGGTATCAGGCCTTCGCATCCCTTGGGAGAATTACTTGCTGCCGGTACGGCGCAGGCGCAACACGCCCAGTACGGTGATGGTGGGTTAGCTTGCTTGTACCTCTCTGCTAGGTGGGTGAACGGCTGAAGTATATTGCACTTTTGCCGCTGGCAATAATCGTGACTCTTATGAGATTCTTGTTGTACGCTATTGCCGCTCACAGGATTATACGGGCTGTCCTGGACGGGTCACCTTGCAGGGCCGAGTTGTATGAGGCTGTTTGCTTGCTAGAAGCGCTGGGAAACAGGTCCGTCACTTGCACTCGTGCAAGTGCCAATGGGGGGTTCAAACCGCGCGTGGCCGTACCTTGGTTCTAGGCTGATGCCATCGGATTGTCCTTTCGTTTTTGTGGTAAATACCCTACACGGCACAGGGAAGATGACACTCGTAAGACCGTTGTTTGCTTGGCTGCAGATTACAAGTTTTCCTGTCTCCCAGCATGAACGCCTCGTTCAAGGATGCCAGGATGAGTACACCTTTTGTGCCATGCGAAACGCTACAGCACTATCTTGCCCTCTGCCGTGGTGTTCTTTTCCCTAAACTGGTAAGTATGCTTACTAGCTGTGGCCCCCTTGTCGCGCCAAATCAGGAGCCTCCGTTTTGTCGTACACTATCATGCCCTTATTTATTTCGCATCGACTCTGGCTATGCTCAATTGATCTTTCGTCTTGTGTTGCCGTTCGCGAAGTCGATGCCCCGTTGTTGTCTCCTGGCTGCAGGCATGCCTTTTTGATGCTGGTGACATAGAGCACCTTGCTGCCTTGACGGTCGAGGCCTTCGTCTCGTCACTGAGTGACGACCGCACCGCCCAGCTGCCCGCAGCGTCATCCTCATGCGTGTCTTTTCAGACAGTCCGCGGGGACGACGTGCGAGATAGCTGTGTGTTGCCGGGCGTCGTGATCCCCGCTGGAGATGTAACGGTGGAGAGCCTCAATGTACTACGCGGGTTACTTGATAGACAAGGGAATGTAATGCATGGCAAGATGAACTACACCACCGGCGACGTTGGGATTCTGCTTTTTCGCGAAGCCCTGGACGTACGGGGCAACCAGCTTGATTTGCGCAATGCAGCAGCTTCAACAGGACCGAGCAGGTTGTTGACGTCTGAGCTGGAGCCCTGGGGTCCACCTGGTAGGGTGATAGGATAAAGTGGGCGCTTGTGGCTTGTTGGAAGGGCGCTTGTGGCTTGTTGAAGTGCCACTCAACGTTTTGCCGCAGGTGAAGCTGAGGTTCAGGAGCTCTTGCACATCCTTTCTGCGCTGGAAGAACGGTTGGGACAGTCCACCAACACGCATATCGTAGCAAGCCAGAAGGTGAGACGCAATTCACAGGCAGAGTGATATGTATGGATTCAGGTTCCAAATGTCACCCCAAAACGCTTACAGCACGCCGTTTGTTGCTTGGGGTCTGCTTGGACATCAGAAAGCGTCCAATCCATTGCAGCTCAAGCATTGGAAAAATATGAATGTTTATGTGCATCGACGCTTTCCATGACCAGCGGGGTTGTGCTTCCAACAGCTCATTCATGCGCATGCATTCATGACAAGATTTATGCGAAGCGCGAGGCGAGGCAAGCGGTCTCAAGGCGCGTAGACGTCCCGGCAGCAAGAGTTGTAGCTTAAGGAGTCCAGACGCTTCGATAGGTTGTTGCTGATTGTTGCCGACGGCAATGCCTTATAGAGCCAAAACTGACCCGATGTAAATTGCCTTTCATGGGGCCACGAAATGCAGTACAGATCTGACTTGCGGCCAGACTGCTACCGGGACAAAGATTTTGTATGTGTTTCATGGTTGGTCTCCTCCCTACTGATTCTGCAGGGAATTCATCCTATTGTGCACGACTGGCTAGTCAGCAGAGGCGTTGCTTCCATGCAAAGACTTGGTGCTGTCCGTACTACAGCGCTTGCTGCGATTGCTGGGTGTGTACCGCTGGAGACTTTGCTGGATTGCCATGATTCGCTACGCAAGGATGGGTGCATAGGGGCAGCCATCATGGTACGTTACGCTCTAAGCTTTCGCAAATCACGTGTCATGGGGTTGCTAACTTTTTGGTCTATGCAGGAAATGAATGGCCACCAAACGCTCCAATTCTTGCGTAAAGACACAGTCGGGTACTCAAATCCGGTCACCGTCATGCTGAGCTGCCCGTCGGAAGTAACATCAGACCATCTGAAAATGGCCGCTGAGTCCGCGCTCCGGCTGCTACGGGTAACCATTGAGCAGGTACTGAATCGGGCCCACGTGCTGCTACTGGAACTGAGCCTAACACTGGAGTGCTGCTATTGGACTGGGGCATGTGGACATTCTACACATTTTTGACGTGAACTGTATGCCCTTACCGTGCAGGAACGCATGGGCATACCAGGGAAGGGGATAATTGAAAACGTTATCGCAGGGGAGGTTGAGTCGTGGTCAGCTGGGTTATTAGGCAAGTCCGCAAGACAGGTGAGCGTGCCGCAGTGTCCACCTGTGTGCCATGAACTTTACTAAAGCAACTTTGCCTTTTGCAGGCGGCCCTCGTCTCCAGCGTAGCCTTCGCGCTTCGACAACTCAGCCAGGCTGCAACTCACAGGTTCGCCAACAGTGCTACGCTTGCCTTTGAAGGGACTACCCAAAGACAAAACTCCAACAACAACGAGGAATCCTCAATCTTGGATTCTCTGCCATGCAAATTGGCCTGCCTGCAGCGCGCCATTTCGACAGCAATTTTGCTTCTCAAATTGGCACACGGTCAGCACAATTACAATCGAATCGGAGAACTATTACAAGGCTAAGCATACACCGTATGCTGCAACATGATGGACCTGTACAAATGTTTCTGCGAGTAAAGCACACACTTCTACCCGTAGTCGCCATAAACAATGATGCCGCGAGGTACATGCCGCAAATCCTGGAATGGGCCCCCAACAGTCCCAAGATTGTTTGGATTCCCGCCGACAAGCTCTGCTCGTCAAGCGTAACATTGCCCTGAACAGAACGCTGTAATTCTATACAACCCCGTCCTACTCACAGAAATCCCCCGATCCCTCAACCGCAAAACAAGATTGCCCAGTGCACTGATGCATCTCAGTAATACGTGTCCCAGAGCATCACATTGCTGAAGCCAGTCGCTCCTTACGGCTTCTTGCCAACGCTAGCCTCCTGCGGCTTCTCGACGCTCGACGTCATCATCTTGACGAATTCCTACAGAACACAGAAGAAGTCGTTTAGAAAAGGGAAAACATTTATCCTGATACATGCTGCCGTACATGCATACCCCGCCCCCGCTATGATTAATCATGTGCCGGAACAACTGGCATACCAAAACCCCTGCCAGTAGCATCAGCAACGACATGTTGTCTCCATGAAACGCTAAGCCAGGTCCCGAATTGTCCAGGGTTGAATTTGTCCGCGCTCACCTCATAGTTGACCTGTAGGGGCACGGAAATCGTGTAGTTTAGACACATCGTGACGTGCAAAATCAAAATGAAGAAAATATTGCACAATGTGTTGTTCAAATTTATGTCGCTTACCTGACCATCACCGTCACAGTCAGCCTCCCGAATCATCTCGTCGACCTCCTCATCGGACAGCTTCTCGCCCAGGTTCGTCATAACATGCCTCAACTGTAGGAGCCGTATTAAAGACAAAGGTGAACTGTAAATGTGCGAAACGCGTGGTGTCCGTTTCCCCACATGTGCTATCCATACGCACCTCAGCGGCTGAGATGAATCCGTTGCCATCCTTATCGAATACCTTAAAGGCTTCCCTGAGCTCATCCTCATGGTCGTGGTCCTGCGCGACAGTCCAAAGTGGAACGAATAGTCACAGCACGCCTCCAAACGCCCAACGGGGTACCTTCATGCTCTTGCCTTCATCTTCCGCGCCATTAGCATAAGAAACTCCGGAAAGTCAATGGTACCATTACCATCCGCGTCGACCTCGCTGATCATGTCCTGCAGCTCCGCCTCTGTCGGGTTCTGGCCGAGAGAGCGCATCACCGTGCCCAGCTCTTTCGTGGTAATTGTCCCTGTCGAAGGAAGCATAGGCCAATCCAGGCGCACAAGATTTCTAAGCCAGGGCACAAGGGGATCGCCAAGCGAAGGGCCGCGGAGTTAACGATGCCCCAGCCCTCACTTGCACCATAGTAATCCTTGTCAGCTGAAAAATACAGGAACTACTTCCGTTTCAGAGACTAGGCGCGCCAGCAAGACCAACGCTACTCATGGCCAACATTATTTCTACGTCTCCTTGCCCAAGCTGCTATCAGGACTCCACCCACCGTCTCCATCCTTGTCGAACCTGTTCAGTAGGAAGAATACAAACGGAAATAAGACGTGTAAGTAGGTAGAACCCCAGGCAAGGTAGCGACGTGGCTAAAAAGGGTTTACTCGCAAGATAACAGGCAGATACCCTTACAATGCAAAGGCCTCCTTGAACTCCGCAATCTGTTCCTCCGTCAGCTGCTCAGTGGTTTGTGCCATTGCGCGGGCTACACAAACGACTTAGGTATTCAAATTCCACAAACCAAGATGTGTAAACGTCGGGATGAAACTAGTATGACCAAGCCGCATAGAGCCTAAGGTTAGGTGCTGTCTTCTTAGAAGAGTCTCGGTGACGAAATCACGGCAGGCCGTACGGGCGCCATAAAGAGCAACCATGGACTGTTCGGAACAATAAATCAGTCCTACCTTTACATATTTGTGTTCTGCGTTTGCTCAATAACGTTAGGCATGGACTGCTTGCAAAAGTAAAGTGCACAAGTCCAGAAAATGTTAGTATTTAATAGGTCATCAGCGTCATCCAAACCTCAAGCTTATACCGTTACTATATGGCTTAGTGATTCAGCCATATTTCGATGCGTTAGAAGCAAGATTGCCCGCCACTGAAACGTTTGTCATGTAGCAGCTTCAATTTGGTCTTGTTGGCGCTCTGTACATGCTGGCTCATTGGTGGGGCTCGGGGCCCAGGGATATTCACAAGACTGCTGTCGGAGGACGTGCTGGGAGCACAGAGAGGGTAAACGCAGGGGGTGCAAGCGCTGATTTGCTTCGGGCGTAAGGAAGGCTACTTATGACCTTTTGAAATGTTCCGGACGACAATAATACCTAAGAAACGTCGATGGCGGTATTAGGCACACAAAATCAGTTCATTAAGGCCACCGAGGTCCGCTCAAGAGAGCAATGCACGTCCATGGCAGTCTGCAAGCCGAGGCCACAACCGCACCGTAGCCCCTCAAGTAGCGGACTTTTTCCCGCTGAAAATTCAAGTGGAAAACCCCATATTTCTGTATAAGCTTTAGGAGCCCAACTTCGAGGATGGGGAAAATCGAATGGAAACTAAAATGCTACCTGACCTGCGCCGTACGGCACAGCGACCAAGGGTGGTGCCTTTGAAAAAGCCATGGCGGACCCAAAGGTAGGTGCACGTGAACTAATGCTGATTACAGTGGATCGTCGTGCATAATCCCCACCCAACACTGTAGGAAGCCAAACTGCGCAAAACCGGCTACCGACACCTCTTCACAGAACTGCTGAAGGGGAGCCGGCCAAGGGGGGTCCGGTAATCCCAAGGGAAGCTAGCCAACCAGGAGGGTGTGGAGAAAATCTCGCCGCGGGAGGGGGTAGGCGCATGCTTGGCCCCCAACAAGCAGCGGCGACCTCGTAACTGTGGCGTCTTATTTCTGCGTGGAGCAACTTATTTTGGTTTTGGGAAGCGCCGGACCAAGCAGGCCTCACCGTTTGCGCGCACAGTGTTAAGAGTAGGACATCCACTCATGATTGACTCCACATCATTTGGCTAACGAAAACCCCCGGATTTGACGAAAGGAAAGAGATTTGGAGAAGTCCTGCGTGACGGCGTGCCGTTACTTTAAGTAGATGGATGCAGCTTGGTCCGGTCGCCAAAAAGGAAAGGCTGGAGCATGATAGGCGGCCTTAATGCTTCCGTCTTGGCCCACAACATCTCTATGTGTTCCTTCTGCACCCCAGCCGTGACGCACAGCCGTGCCTAGCGGACATGCCGTGACATGGGGGTGCAGTGGAAGATGAATTCCAGGCCTTGATGGAATGTGTATTTGCAAGCCTCTTATGTGTACCGCTGGTCTTCCCGCCGACCGGGGATGGCGAAAAGTGATGACGAAAAGTGATGACCCACTTTGTTCGTGGGTCCAAGCAAAGCTTGCTGGTGCAGACTCAAACGTGCGAAGAGAGTCCTGCAGCAATTGACTTTCTTCATGAGTTTCAGTTATGTGTACCCTTTTGACGGATATCCGTTGCTAAATACACTTTTTGTTAGCCAGTACAAGCGATAAGCATGTAACCTGTGCAACTTCTCCGCTTCATGTGAATAAATATGCTGAGCACACCCAACCCTGCACCCAACGCTTTTGGCGGCACATAGATATTGCAGTCCTTATCAATTCTGCCATAACCTTCCACACATTTGCACTAGCATTTCCGAAAGGTCGCAGCCAAGCCTTACTGAGGCCGCACGCCGTATTGGCTCTTGCTAAGGCAGGCCTCTATTTGAGTACGGACGCTAGCCAGGCGTCGTACTTGCGCTCCCATTCCAAGTACTCGGCTGGCTTCTCGTATGTGCTTTGCTTTGTCTGTGGATTGTAGTAGTACGTGACCACGCATGATGGATCCCCCGTGTACGGTGCAACGTGTTTCTGCCACGCAGGTGGTGCCGGCTCAGGATTGCTGCGAACTTCGTTGCTGAAGCGATATTTGCTATCGCCCGGCTGCATCTGTGGCAGCCTTGTGAACTCCTCCGGCTTCAGTACCTGTACGCAAAGCAAAGCAGGTGCAAGACCTTATATGTTCCTGCCATCGAAAAGAGAAGGCAGATGCAGGTGTAGCCAAGCTCTGCTCATGCTGCTGCTGCTGTTGCTGTGCAAGTCAGGACCAACTTCACGGTAACGTTTGCCACCGGCAACGAGCTAGCAATCCGGCACGCATTACCTGCTTCGCAATGCCTTCATCACCGGGTCGCTTGGCAGGCCGATCCACCTGTGGCGGCACCGCCGCCCCTGCGTCTATGTCTGGCCCGGGGCCGGCTCCCACCGCTGGGGGGCCTTTCACCGCCGCCACACGCTGCAGCTCCGCCACCGCGCGCCGCTCGGCCGCCTTGGCCGCCGCAGCCACGACCGCTTGATCGTACAACGCCTCTGCGTCCTTTGCCGTGCCCGCTACCAAGCGCGCCGGTTTGGAGCGGGCATTTCCCTCGCCTCCCTTGATCCACTCCCCAAAGGTCGCCTCCCACTTGCAACCCGACACCGGGCTCTCTATGTTGACGCTGTCCGGAAACCAGTCCGCCCCGAACCCGGAGCCATCGTGCCACAACCGGACCTGCTCGATGTTTCCCACATCTGGCAGCGTCAAAGCGAAACGGTCACGGCTTCCATTTTCGAACAACTTCTTACTTTGATCGAAAGTATGCCGTGCAGACCCGCGACTGCCCACCAGCTCGATGCTGACGAGCGCATCTGTACCAGCACCGTATTTACTACCCGTGGCAATGGTGCAGTCGTACCGGGTGAGCGGCCTGGGTGGCGGCGCCGCCGGCAAGGATGGGTCCTGCAGCACGGCAGCGGATACATCTCCACTGGCGGCTGCAAGGTCTACAGGTGCCGGTTCCAGGGGGACGTCCCGGACGACTGCAGCCTGCAGCTGCTTGCCTTGAGCCGCACCCGCGCCTTTGGGCACCCAGTCCCGGCAGTCGAAGCGCCACTCGCGCTGCGACGGCAAGTGGGTCAGCAGCACGTGGTCCAGGTGCCAGTTGTCACCGAGACCCGGGTTCTCAATCCACACGCGGCAGGCCGCCATCTCGCCCAGCTTTATAGGTGCAGTCACGAAAAACTCGTCGCGGGAGTTGCGTTCAAACATGGCCTTGGTCTGCGTGAAAACAGGCACCCAGGCCGTGCCTGCGGCATCAACGAACTGGAGTCCAACTTTGGCATCCGTACCAGCGCCGATGACGCCGCCCGTGATAGTCACGATACGGTAGCGGTCGCCCCCACCACCTGGCGTGCCAGTAACTCCTGCAAGGCACCCATACAGTCATCAAATGTCAGGAGCGGTCAGCTGCGGCATGGAAAGCTTAGCGCGGCTCTACAGGTTGCAAATGGACTCCGTAGATTGAGAGCACTGACTCGGCAAGGGCCCAGTATGTGATGTTGGATCTGCAATCGACTGGCAAACCGCAATGGTAAATATCTGGACGCCACGATATTTACCAGGTTTTGCTTAGCCTGGCGACTTGCCACAATCCCGGCACACCCTTCGCTGCAACTGCTTATGCGCCCCTGGACCACGCACCTGATGGCGCGTCTAAGAGCTGTAAGGGCTGCACCTCGCCCGCTATCGCCTTCTCCAGGGTCCACTCCTTCTTCAGGCCATCCTTGCTGTTGAACCAAGCGCCGCATTTCCACCGATACGTGTGTCCCCGGGTCATATCAATCACCTCCACCCAGTCCAGGTGCCAGTCTGCTCCTGGCGTCAAGCTGCTACCCCTCTCCACCACCAACTGAAGTGCACCCGGGTGAAAGCGGGAGACGGTGCATGTCTTGGCGCGGGCAATGGTATAACTCAATGGTGACTAGGGACTTCGGATAAGAACAAGCAAACATACCGTGATGAAGACCGTGATGAGGACAAGGACAATGGCCATCAAATTACGAATGATAGGATAATAGCTTTTCTTCTGCGTTTTCCGACATATGTCTGTTTCGGACAACCTTCGGCTGCCCCTTGGGCCCCAGGCTCATATGGGCCCTTCTACACCTTTGGAGGGTAACGCAGCTCCAGGAGGTGTAACACACACACATACACAAACACACAAGCTCCGTGGAGGTTGAGGGCAGCCCACTACGAGCCCGAAGGTGCCTACCTTGCTGATGGGCGTGCCACAGTCTTTGTCCTCGGGGAACTCGAAAAAGAACTGGTCGAGAGCATTGCGCTCAAAGTTGTTCTTGGAGTTGTCTAGGGAGATCTCCGCGCCGTTGAGCAAGCCGTTGGGCCCGTGGACTTGCACGAACACCTTAGCGTCTGTACCGGCGAACATGATGTCGCTGGTTTGCGTGGAGACCTTCCAACGGACCTGCAATGGCCAGGCGCCAGATTAGACCGGAGTTGGTTCGCTACTCAGATCCGAGCAGGCTTATATCATGCGCCCGACTCGCCGGTGCACACGTAGGCATGCACGAAATGCAGGGCACGGAAAGTGCAGCCTCTTACCTTGCCCGGGGCAAGCTGCTTTGCCGCGTCAGAGCTTGATTCCGGTATTGTGACCGTGGTCTTGTCGCCCTTGAGCCAGTCGTTGTAGCGGAACAGAGCCCGCTCGCCGGTCTTCTTGTTCAGGACCTCAATCTGCTGCAGGTGCCAAGCTGCTCCGACACCGCGCTCCACCTGTCCGTGTGAAAAAAGGAACACAGCAGCCACACGAAGGCAGGTGTAAGCGCAAGACACACTGCTACAAGCAGCAGCTGAGGACAAACGTTGGTATCTGCAAGCGCCAATCCATCACCGCAACCAGGTATCACAACCCTGGCCGGCGCAAATGTAAATGAAATCCAAAAGTAGCCCATATCCCGGTTCTAGATGCGCTGATGCACTCGTCCCCCCTTCCAAGCTGCCATTCTGCCAGAGTCCCGTAACGTGTCACCCACCAGTCGCACAATGACCTCCGTGAGCTTGCCAATATCAGAACCCAACACCTTGAACACATCCTCACGGTCCCGCTCAAAGTTGTTGGCTGCCGGGTTCAGCAGCATGTTGGAAGGGCAATGGGCACGGTGTCAGGCAGCAGCGGCTGGTGAATCAGTGCTTTTAGTGCACTGATAGCTTGGTGTGTGGGATTATTGTTAGGGCAGGCGTAACGTACTGCCATGGCATGGGGCATGTGTGTCTGTGTTGTGGCTCGGCCAGTCCTGGAAGCTAACGTAACTGCACACCACATCCCGTGTCAGTAACAGCCACACAGCCCCCCGTGTGCAAGAGCTTTTGACTTGGAACCTGGACTGGACATACATCCGTGCGTACCTACGCCGCTTTGGGACTCCTCACCCGAGTTCTCGAGCCGTGTTTCCCCCATCGCGCCTTTGACGCCCTTGAGCTGTAAGTAGACATCACCGTCCGTACCAGCACCTCGCACATTGGATGTGAAGACGTGCACCTCATACTCCACCTGGCTGTCAGCCTGTATGCACCCCGTAGCACCACATGCGCAGAGGGGACATGAAATGAGACACGCAGCCGAGGGGTGCGGTGGTCAGCCGGTCCAGTAACAGGCCTCAAAAGGTGACTTAAGATTTGGTGGCCGCATGAGGCTTAGGGGACGACTTGCGCCGCCTACTCATGTGGGTCATTTGTTAAACGATGATAATTTAAGGAAATTGCCCTAGCCGTCGCTTGCAGGTATCTGGTGTACCGCACTCGTGCAGTTCCACATAGGAGCGCCCCAGTGGGGTTTCTGTCTGCAGAGAGCCCTCGGCGCGCAGCAGGACAGGCGGGAGCACAGCGAGGGACCCTGACGCACGGCAGCACGCAAGGGACGCGACGGTACCACAGCCAATGCGCAGTGAGCTGGTGACGACTCGGGCTACCTTGGCGACTCCGTCGGCGTACAGCACCCGCGTCCAGCCCTTCTTGTCGTCCAGCCAATCGCCGTACTGGAATCGAGCCGTCTCACTGGTCACAGTGTTGGTGACCGTAATGTGGGCCAAGTGCCAGGCGGCCCCCAGGCCGCTGCCGCTGCATGTCACCTGGCAGCTCTGGAGCTTGCCAATGTCGGGAGCCTGGCAGCGAGGGGGAATTTAAAGATAATATTTAATCGGGTTGCACGAGGGGTGCAACTACGGCATTGGCACTACTGAGCCGGTCTTGAATTCAAGCAGGGGAATGACAGCAATCCAAACGACCGCGGATGTCAAAGGAAGGAAGGAGGACCACTGGAGCTGAAGGGCGTGTCCGATGTGCCACAAGGAGTGTGGGCAAGGACGTGTTTCATTTCTTGCATGACTGCTGTAGGTAGCAGTGCACGAATGCGGCGACATGAACAGTTGTTTTTACTTAGGTACTGGTGTTTGCTGAGCACTTCCCTGCGGTGCGCTGTGCAGAAATTCGTCTCACCGTGAAGAAGAACGTGTCCAGCTGCCCGCGCTCGAAGTCGTTTGCAGACGACTCCAGCGCCCGAGTCCCCGTGTCGCCATTGGTGCCAAAGACAATAATGCTCACGTCGGAGTCCGTGCCTGCGCCACGTACGTTGCTGGTCTGCACCTCCACCTTGTACGTGTTCAAGGACTGGCCCGCCACCCCTGTGTGTGTGTGTGATATCACAGACAGGTAGGGACGGGAATAGGTGTACGTAAGGACATAGGGGATTGGGAAATAGGCAGGCGGGGGCAAGAAGCTCGTGTGGAAGAAAGAAGTTCAACCCATATACAGTAGACATGACGGAATGGCACAGGAGTCCCAGAGCCAACCAGTGTGGAGACACGTCTGTAATCATCTGTAGATTGTGTCATATATAATAGCGTGCCCTGTATAATATACCAGGGCAAAGTCTATAGACAATAACAATTTTACAGATGCAGGAGATGAGCGGCAGGATCCTCTCCCCCATTGGTGTTGGCGCAGCGCTCGTGCTCATGCGGAGAAACGAAATATAAGATCATCGTTCCCACCTGAGAGCAGCTCCTTGCGGCAGCCCTTCTCGCCCTGCTCCTTGCTCTTCCGGAGCCAGTCATTGCAGGGGAAGAAGTACGACTTCTGGGTTGCCCCGCTGAACACCTCTACCTGCGTTGAGCCGTCGAACGTGTCGAAAACCAGACACAGGGGATCAATCAATGGGATGGCTGCGCATTTGACCGCATTTGGTGCCGAATGCCCCCACTGCATGCCCTTCCCTTCCACCTCTTCTGCGGAAGCAAGTGGTTCACTCCCATCCATGGCTTCGTTCGCTTCATGCCACCCCGCCCAGTGGGGTAACCTACATACCTGCTGCAGATGCCAGTCAGATCCCATGCCGCTGTTGTCATGCCAGATTACAATCCGCTGCAGCTCCCCGACGTTGGTCGCCTTGAGCACGAAGTTGTCTACCTGGCCGCGCTCAAAGTTGTTGGCTGCAGTCTCTAACCGCGACTGGCCCACGGAGCCCTGGTCGCCATGCAGTTCAATGAACACGTTGGCGTCTGTGCCAGCGCCCCTGTGTGCAGAAGCGAGAAAATTAAGAACACGGGCGGGGGGCCCGCGCCGTCGATCCAGCATAACACTTAACTTCTGTGGCGACACGGTGGGTATTTAGCTTCCAGTGCCGGCGGTAGATACGCCGCAGCCGCCGCTATTTGCCATAGACCCAAATATGCGTACAACGGTACATGACATTCCTCTATCCCGGCAAAATAAGCATCTTGTCCTGAAGAAGGAGAAAAAACACCAAATTCCATGCAACATCTTGTTTGCATTAAAGCCTCTTCCCCTAGCATTGTAGGCTTCCTTATCTGTGTAAATGGGTAGCTTTTAGTTCTTTTCCATCAGCCCTATAGCCCCACACATTCCCTGCCTGCATCCACATCTCACCTAATGTCGGAGGTGTAGGTAGTGATGCGGTACTCAACCAAGTCTGTGGTGGGGCCCGCACCGCCGTCTCGGTTGATGTAGTGCTCTAAGCCGTTCTTCTCGTCGATCCAGCCTCGGAAGGGAAACGAGTACTGCGTATTAGTGGCGGAGCTCACCACGTCCACGCTGTCCAGGTGCCAAGCGGATCCCAGGCCGGTGCCGCTGGAGCGGATGCGGATGCGTTCTACCTCACCCACATCGGGGCCGGTCAGGATGAATGTGTCGGTCTGGGCGGTGTGGCACATTGGCCGGAACCATGGGACGGCGTCACGTGATGGTGTGGGGAGGCCATAGGAAACAGCGCATGCACATGCAGCACTGGAGGTTAAAATACAAGGATGGAATTTCAGCATTGTGATGTTTGTCATGGGGCAAGCCCCGGTTGGCTGGTTGATATGAAAAGGCCTTCTGGCTCTTTCTGAGCTGGTGCCCATCACGTATAGCCATAGGCCCTTCCTACCTACTGAACTCCTATGTCGCATAGCAGCCTTGAGCAAATCCCAGCGCCATGAGCTCTTCATAATGAATTGCGACCCGACGACGCTCACACTCCGGCCGTAGCCTTCTAAGCACGGGAGCACGGGTCGGAAAGCGTATCCGGCACCGCTACTGGATGGCGCATACGTCGCAACTAGGCTGCACGTGACACAACCAGCTGCTGGTAAAATGCAAACAGTACGAGCAGCCCAGCCCACCTTGTTGCGCTCGAAGTTATTGGTGCTGTTATCCAGCGGCCGTTCCCCCGTGTCACCCTTGGGGCCGTAGATGGTGATGAATACGTCCGAATCTGTACCAGCGCCACGCAGGTCGGATGTCTTCACGATGACCCGGTAGCTGACAGGCGCAGCCCCGCCCGCACCAGTCACCAGCGTGCGCTTGCAACCCTCCGCGCCCGTAACCTTGCTGACCTCAAGCCATTCGTTGCATGGGAACACGTAGAGCTTCTGCAGGACCGGGTGGTACACCTCCACCTGCTGCAGGTGCCATGAGGAGCCTATGCCTGCATGGAAGAGTTTGAGTATAGTGCGATTATTGTCCGGAATGTGATGGACTGATGGTTTTTACATGAAGGAGTTTGCGTTGCCCATTGTGGTTCCTGAAGCCCACCAGGAACTACGAAGATGAAGGTCACACACATCCAATGTGTGGCGTGACGTGATGTAAATTTGCCACGATGGCGCATTATCAATCCATCAGTTCATGCTAGGGTTGTGCAGGGGTTACAGGAAGTGCAGCTCAGGGCAATAGAAGGAGCATCAACGCGGAACGACGCCGAAATCGGTGGATTAGGATCGCAACAATCATACCTGGTTACATGGATAGTCCAAGGGAGGATTAATCCATGTACCATGGGGTTACGGTTGTTTCGCAGCAGGACGAGCCAAGACGAGCTGCAGCCCCGATGCCGTCGCACCACGTGGGTGATAAACGGTGGCGGCTGCATGTACACATGTGGGGATGATGCCCCGTGCGGCGCCGCCTGCCTTGCTAGGCTACCCGGGGTGGACTCACCGGTGTTGTCGTGGCCAATAACGATGTTTTGAAGCTCCCCCACGTCGGTTCCCGACACCATGAACTCGTCCTTGCGGCCCCGCTCGAAGTCTGCAATTACGAGACCAGACACCAGAGCGAACCATGGGCCACATGTTCGATGATGCAGGCATCATAATTATTGTAAGTTGTTCGGTTTGCTGCCGTGACACCCTATGCGCCTTTGCGTCCCACGTAAGGCATATGTAGGACTCCATAAGCACACGACCATGGCAGCTGTGACGCTTTCATGGCGAAAACTGCGGTAGTCCCTGCTTGGTAACTTACTGTTTGCGTTTGAGTCCAGAGCAGTCTTCCCTACGAAGGCCTTGTCGCCGTGCATCTCGATGAATACGTTGGCGTCCGTGCCAGCACCCCTGCCACCCGCCGGGATCATAGGTTCAGAGATGTCGGGAGCTCTCGGGCCGCAGACTGCAGCTGCCCCCTCCTGTCCCCACATTCACCGGTCTCACAACGTAACTTCGTAGCAGTCGTCAAACTACAGCTCTGGCCTCATGCTCCCTTTGCATTCCCCCTCCTTTTGCTTCAATGCGCTTCTCATGGACCTGCACGGAATCTGCACGGTGATGCAAGACTAGTTCCCACCCAGTGCAGCCCCCCCACCACAAGCAGCATCTTGCATATCGCAAAAGCCATACAGGATAGTCGCACAAGGGCGCCGTACCCCTTGTTGCCAGGTGGATGTCCTCACCGTACATCGGATATGGTACCGAGTGGAACTGTACTCACCTGATGTCAGATGTATATACAGTGACGCGGTACTTGACCAGATCGGCGTCGGCGGTGGGGTCGGGGATGCCATCCCCGTCGCGGTCGGGGTACAATACGTGTTCTAAGCCGTTCTTCTCGTCGACCCACTTGGCGAAGGGGAACACCAGTTTCTCGCCCGTGGCGGTTGACTGCACCTCCACCTTGTTTAGGTGCCAGGCAGAACCCATGCCCGTGCCGCTGCTGCGGATCTTGATCTTCTGGATGGCTCCAATGTTGCCGCTGGCAATGATAAAATTGTCCACCTGGGACCGGAAGGCAAGGAACGAATGAGGCCGGCGGCAAAGTGAAGCCTGAGCAACATTTTACTGGAGATCTACAAGAGACTGAAGGTATGGCCAAGTTACCTTTTATCACCGAAACATTTACAGGTGGCAATCCGGCTGTGTGTGGGAACATGGAAGGATCAGTTTGAGAGCTGGATGTGGCCCACAGCCCAGCCCACCTTATTCCGCTCAAAGTTGTTGGTGCTGTTGTCCAGCTTGCGCTCGCCCGTGTCGCCATTTGGCCCGTATATGGTGATGAACACATCCGCATCCGTGCCCGCACCGCGGATGTCCGAGGTGTACACGGTCACCTGTCAGCCGCACAGCCGCAACAGACGCGCAACACCGGATGCGCGAGGTCATGGTGTAGTAGCTGGCCGCTGGAAAGGCCTCTAGAAATGCTAGTGGAGCGCCTTAGCGCGTATATGTAGACGTCATGTGTGCCGTTTTATGTACCAGTTACTACACATGGCCATGCACCTCACACATGGCCTCATGTGCAACAATCTGAGCTTGTCAAGTTTAGCTATGGGTTTCTGTTCAATCCTGAAGGCGGACAGGCGGACAGACCATGCACACACGCACGCAGTACGCACACCAACTCGGGAGGGAGGCAGAGGCAGAGCGGCGCGGCAGACTCGTACAAAGCGCCAGGAGCTGGAACGTGGTCAGCATACCCAGGGACCCAACACCACGTGCTGTGGCTAGCCCAGTGGGAAGGCAGGCATCGGATGCGCTGGAAATCGGGCTATAGCCCCGGACGAGCCTTTGATGGCGGCGGCTGGAAGCTATCATAAGGCTCACCTTGTAGTTGGTGGGCCCTTTTTGGTCAGGGTGCCCTGCCAGCAGCTCCTTGCGCAGGCCGCTCTCGTCGCTGCCGACTTTCCGCAGCCAGTCGTTGCAGGGGAAGAAATAGGTCTTGTTTGTGGCGGGGTTGGTGACCTCCACTTGCTCCAAGTGCCAATCGGACCCCAAGCCGCTGTTGTCATGCCGGATGACGATGCGCTGCAGGTGGCCCACATCGGAGCCACGGATCTTGAATGTATCAGAGCGCCCTCGCTCAAAGTTGTTGGCTGCAGTGATGCGTACAAGCAGTGGCAGGAGCGAGATTATAAAGCGTTTTGGGGTGCGATGTAATAGGTGTCGGTTAGCAGGTGTAAGGCCCTCGCCCTCGCTCCCGCCCCTGCTGACTGCTATTGATCCGAGAGGCGACACCTGCCGCAAGTAACGGCTTACACGCATCTTGTAAACAACCCCACAGCCATATCTGATCTCCACGCAAACGACTACATCACTGGCACATCCAATCGTGTGGCGAACTGCTATTCGTGGTAACCCTGACAGGCTCACTGGCGTTGTCAAGGCGCGTCTCCCCCATGGCGCCCTTGTCGCCGTGCATCTCGATGAATACGTTGGCGTCCGTGCCAGCACCCCTGCCACCCGCCGGGATCACAGGAGGGGACGTTGGGACATTGCCATTAATATAGCCCGCATGCAATGCTGCAATTTGCGCTGTAACCTCCCGAAGAGTCCGTAATATCCGGAGCAATTTGTCGCGTAGAGATGAAATCGCCTGGGTAGTAGGCCCTTGCCGTTGTTCTCTGCACACTATTATGGTTAACCCGTGCTGCGCTTCTGCCTGCATCACCTGCCCAACCTGTTGGTGCGTTCGAATCCCAAGGGCCAGCTCTATTTCCCCCACTCCTATCCATGCATGATGCCAGTCTTATGTATTGGCACCCTATTGGCACTTGGCCTCCGACACCATCCATGCAACCCGTGGGTGTGGCCAACTCGCTATGCAAAGAGGTCCGGCTCCAGCATGCACACATCAGCCAGCGGGTGGCCAGTAGGCCCTATCCCAACCAGGCCGGATGCGAGCAAATTCATCGTTGGACTGGTGTGGGTTGACGGTGCAACCCCTAAACCCGCCTGACGGCTGCACCTCCTCACCTGATGTCCGAGGTGTGCGTGGTGATGGTGTACTCCACTATAGGGCCCCCCACCAGCGCATCTCCCTTCCCGTCGCCGTCGCGGTCCGGTGTGAGCAGCTGGGAGAGGCCGTGCTCCTTGTCAATCCAGTTGTGGTAGGGGAAGACCGCCTGCTCACCGGTGTTGGTGTTGACGACCTCCACCTTGGCCAGGTGCCAGGCGGAGCCGAAGCCCGAGTTGTTGTGGCCGATGCGCAGCGACTGGAAGCTGCCCACGTCAGGCGCCTGGATGAAGAACGTGTCCACCTGGGCAGCGGAATGAGGTGGGCAGGGAGACCGGGTGTTGCAACAATACCTACCGCCTGCCGCGGCTGCAGCCCCCTGCCGAACACCGAAATGGACCCCACCTGTCAAACACGTGGAATGTGCCGAACAATACTTATGCCCTTGAACACGATGTAATCGCACCGCCGCCAGGTCATCAGCCCCTTCCTTACTGAACGGTTCGCCCAACACACCTTATTCCGCTCAAAGTTGTTGGTGCTGTTATCCAGCTTGCGCTCGCCCGTGTCGCCCTTGTCGCCAAACAGCTGCATGGTCACGTCCGCGTCTGTGCCCGCACCGCGCAGATCGGAGGTGGTGACCACCACTCGGTAGGTGCAGATGCCGTTTGCGGGCACCTTGCCCGGCTCCAGTTTGCGTTCGCAGGCGCCCTTTAACCAGTCGTTGCACATCATGAAATAGCGCTTCTGCAGACCTGCAGAGGTGAGGCGTCACACGGAGAAGCAGCAGGAAGGCAGATGGCGGTTCACTGGGCAGAACGCAGATCTAGTCCATACGGAGCTACATAACAGGGTTAACGGCACTTGTAGACACGCCACCATGCAGCGCAACAGCGGCGATCGTGTCGGTGAGTGCGAGGCCCCCAACACGCATAAGTATATCAACGACATCATCGCGCAGTAGGAACGAGTTCAGGAGTGCATGGCTCGCTCCTCGTCAGCCCGATGCTGTTCAGCAGAGCGGCCAGCCCGCAGACACCATGTGCATGTTGCAGAGGTTACCCCATCGCCACCACCAGGCCTGTAGTGTGCGATGGGCCTGGCACCCCATCGCCACCACCAGGCCTGTAGTGTGCGATGGGCCTGGCACCCCATCGCCACCACCAGGCCTGTAGTGTGCGATGGTCCTGGCACCCCATCGCCACCACCAGGCCTGTAGTGTGCGATGGTCCTGGCACCCCATCGCCACCACCAGGCCTGTAGTGTGCGATGGTCCTGGCACCCCATCGCCACCACCAGGCCTGTAGTGTGCGATGGTCCTGGCACCCCATCGCCACCACCAGGCCTGTAGTGTGCGATGGTCCTGGCACCCCATCGCCACCACCAGGCCTGTAGTGTGCGATGGTCCTGGCACCCCATCGCCACCACCAGGCCTGTAGTGTGTGATGGGCCTGGCACCCCATCGCCACCACCAGGCCTGTAGTGTGCGATGGTCCTGGCACCCCCTGGCCCCACCAAGCCGCACCTACCGGGGTGGAACACCTCCACAGACTGCAGGTGCCAGTCGCCGCCCATGCCCAGTGACCGGTTATCCTTCTTGACAACCACGTGCTGCAGCTCGCCAATGTCCACGAACGATAACTTGAAGATGTCCTTGCTGCCCCGCTCGAAGTTGTTTGCGGAGGTGTCGAGCGTCATAGCGCTGGTAGAGGCCTGTGACGAGCAACAGGCAGGACGGCAATGCAGAGCGCAGGAAAGGCTGTACGGAGTGTCCAGGAAAGGGGCCATGCAGCAGGTACCTACCATGTAAAGCGTACACTGGGTTATTTATCAACCCAGTCAGCGGGGGCGAAACCTTGGGAGAGCAGATAAGATGTCGGGAGGGTGAGCGGCCTCGCTCACCTTATCGCCATGCAGCTCGATGCTGACGTTGTCGTCTGTGCCAGCGCCGCGGATGTCGGAAGTGTAAATGGTCACCTGGCGCAAGGAGTAGGCAGTGGACACAGCCAAGTTCATCTTTGCAAGCATTCTCAATGCAAAGCCTGGGCCCTCGCGCACGTGAAATAACTTGGCACGCGGCTAGTCTCCAATACTGCCTTTCTTAAGCCCTCCCTGATTCGATGGTTTTTTTCCTTGCTGGGGCATGCGCCATCTGTTCCTGAGCCCTCCCGCACTGGTGTGGCACAGAGCTGGCGCACCTGCGTGGTTCACCCCTACGCCCACACAAACCTTAACCGCGCTCGCCCAGCACCTTCAAGCTCTCTACACAATCCCCACTCCTCGCTCTAACGCACAGATGGACACACCTCGTACTGCAGCAGATTGCCCAGCGCTCCGTCCACACCCCTGGGCAGCAGCGTCTGCTGCAGAGAGGCCATGTCGGAAGGGTCCAGCCACTTGCCGCAGGGGAACACCGTGATGCGGTTGCGCACCGTGTCCAGCACCTCCACCTCGGATAGGTGCCACGCAGCGCCCAGCCCGCTGCCATCGCTTGTGACCTGCGCGCCAGCAGGAGCAGCCAACGACTTGAGCCGTGCCAACAACGGGGCAAACACAATGGCCTGGACCATGCGCCAACGGTAGATGTCTGCATTCCTATCTTTGGGACTCTTTGATTGCACTCAGGAGGTGTTAATGGTGAGAGGACGCACACTAGATTTGCCTGGTTAACCAGAGGTTAGGCCACTCGGTCTTATCCTGCAAGCAGCCTCTTCCTGCACGACCCCGGTGCATGCAGCCCTCCCTTGCCCCTTGCTCCCTTCCGGCGCAACCTACGACGATGTGTGTCAGGTCGCCCAGGTCCGCGCCCTTGATAATGAAGGTATCCAAAGCGCCCCTCTCGAAATTGTTAGCTGCAGGAACGTGAACATGAGAGCAGAAAGCCATAAGCAGCTAGCATGCAAGCTCCATGAGCTGCCAAGCTCACAGCTAATTGTACAAGCGCTAGGAAGCAAGTGCGCATAAAGTCCAGAGGCCCCATGCCGGGTGCCCTATACGTAGCTGAGGACGACGTATAGTCCCCCGAATTCCCTCTTCCTCCCTCGGCGGTCTCACCGGAGTTGTCGAGCTTGTGCGTGCCACTGCTAGTGGGCTTGTCTTCAAGCTTGCCGAACATGGCCAAGGTCACATTGGCGTCCGTGCCCGCCCCCCGAATGTCCGAAGTCTTGACAACGACCTACGACAAGCCAATCAGAAGCACGACCCAAATGAGATTTGCGCAGCCACGGCTGTGAGTCGCATCGCCCGGTCGGCCATCTCCTGGTTGCCAGTTGTCATGGAATGCAGTCGCTCTTGAATAAACCTTAGCAGACACGCCCACAACGACACACATCGGCATATGCTTTTGAGGAACGTGATGTCCCCCTCTAACACAGCGGCACACGTAGCACCAGCACATACACACGAGAGCAACCACGGTACGACCGCACCGCTGTGTCGCAGGTACGCGGTAGAGTTGCACAACGTACAATTTATTGCTGCTGCCCTCTGAGAATGCCTTGCATTAACCTGTGTGAAAACCTGCCGACCGTTGGATAAACCGTGTGACAAAAGGTCATGTCATCCCGTACCTTGTACGTGTTGCTGCCGCCAGCTTTGCCCGGCACAAGCTGCACCCTTCTTTTATTGCTGTTGATCCAGTCGTCGTAGTAGAAGAACTGCCGCAGCTTGGTGTTGAGATGGGTCACCTCGACGCTTTCCAGACCCCACTGTTGCCCGAAAAGTCCGCCGAGCTTGCCGCCAGCGCTCTGCTGCGTCGCGAAGCCGATTTCAATCTTCTGTATCTCCCCTAGCTCCACGTGCCCCAGGTTCAACGTAAAGTCATCGGTCTGTAAACGAAGTGCCCCGAGGGAGGAGAAAAAGCCATAGAATGCAAAGCGGCAACAGCAGCCAGGCGATGGGTACGCGGCCAGGTGCAGAGGGAAGGGTGACGAGGTGATTGCCAGTTAAAAACCTAGCCGGTTACAAGCTTGATGATTGCGCACGCAAATGGTGCCTTCCTTGTCTGGCAGAGTTGCTGGGCAGAGCAGCACCGAGCAGCGCAAAAGGGAATGAGGGATACAGGGACCGCAGGGCCATGTGCAAAGGGGAAATCACAAAACAGTTCCAGCTACGGCAAGGACCCAAACGTTCCTGCTGCGCACCTGGTTGCGTTCGAAGTTGTTTGCCGAGGACTCGAGCTTTAGCTCTGGGCTGTTCTTGGTAGCGCCCATGAGGATGATGGAGACATCCGAGTCTGTGCCGGCCCCCCGCTTGTCGCTGGTACGCACAGATACTTTATACACCTGCTTGCCGCTGGTGGCTGTACGGCGAAAAAGAGAGTGCAGCGGGACGGATGGCGTCGGCGGTACGGGTTGAGGGGGAGGAAATGTACGAGCCTCCTAAGACACGCAAACCCATCAGGAGCGGGGTTTAAAATGCACGAAGAGATGCTTATACACACGCAGCGTACAGCTCCTGTGAACACATATGCGATTGATTTGCTGGGCCATGTAAGACGGCAACAGAAGCCAATAGGACTCTTTGTTGCGTCCAGCGAGAGCATCAGTGCCACCGACAGCGCTTTCGGCATACATCGCGTGTTTTTTTTCCGGAGGCCGCTCATAAAACGAAGGTGGCCAAGCCTCGCCCGCATGTGTGCAGCATCGCAAGCTCTTACCATCTGTGGGCTCAAGAGTGATTGTGAGGGTATTCAGCTTGGCATCAAGCCACTGATCGGCGAGGAAGTAGTACGTCTCTTGCCGCGCCTACGGAAGCGGCGATGCACAGGGACAAGGACAATAAAAAGTTCCCAAGCTTAAGTTCCCAAGTGACCAAGGATAAGCTACCGTCAGGCTCAGCTGTCGTACGGTAACAAGTCATGGTACGGCACGCGCAGGGAGGCGACGTAGTCGCTCTGGCACAGCACCAGAAATGTGTATACAGGTGCAGCATATGTCGGTGAAGCGGCGTGTACAGAAACCCTTCCCCAAGCACACCTACCTGAATTCCCTCCCTACCCCAGGCTGCCGTATGGGCTCCTCCTCTCTGCAGTTCATGCGCCGCTAAATCTAAACCTAAATCTATATCACACCTGGTAAATGACCTCCACGTGGTCTAGGTGCCAGGCTGGCCCCAGGCCCTTGTTGTCGTGGCCGATCTGAAGCTTCTTAATCGCCCCCACGTCCACGCTCTCCGTGATGAACTCGTCACGCGCACCCTTCTCGAAGTTATTACGGGAGTTCTCCAGCACGAACGTGGGCGTGTTGGCCTTCTCGCCCATCAGCATGCAGCTCACGTTCGCGTCGGTGCCCGCACCGCGGATGTCGGAAGTGAAGGTAATGATGGTGTACCTGTTTCACAGCATGCGCCCGCCCACACATGAGCCCCCATGTCCTTCGGAACCCAGCTCTAGGGCCTGGCGGAATCCGCTGATATTCCTGGAGGAATCACTGATGCGTTGTATGCAGGATTTTTTGCATGCAGGACGACTCTTCCACTGCCCCCAAATCGGATACACATAAGGCCGCATGCAACTCAAGAAGATTTGAACACAGAGGCGAAGCGATGCATGTATCCACCTGCAGAGCTGCTGCTCGGTGCCGTCCGACGGGAACAGCTCCACCTCCGTCTTGTACGGCGGGTCATCGCGTGACAGCCAGTTGTTGTAGTAGAAGGAGCACTGCTGGCCCGTGTTGACTAGCAGCACGTCCACCTGGGGGGCAAAACGTAACGTACACGTGAAACCCGTGGCAACGGCACTAAGTACACGAAGTTCGTCTCCGTCACAATGCAGGCATATAATGTCAGGTGCCGGCTGGATACGCGACTGGTGTTCCACCTTCCAGGCCCGACAGCTATTAGCCACCCGCGTATAGCAGCAAAAAATCCTAACGCCTCGGGGATCGGAGACGCCCACCTTGTTCAGGTGCCACGCCGCCCCCATTCCGGAATTGTCGTGGCCGATCAGTATGCGCTTGATGACGCCCACGTTGGGCAGGCTGGGAAAGCTGAAGACGTCCACTGCGGCTCGCTCGAAGTTGTTTTTCGAGTTGTTGAGCGCCACACGACCGGTCGCGGCCGGCTGGCCATCCCTGAGTTGTGCAGGCGGCCAACAGGGAAGCAGAGGGCCTCACTGGGCTCGGACCGGCGTAGTCCTAAAGCTATGTATGTGGATATGCCTCGAGTACCGTAACCCGACCACGTCTCTCTGCATGGTGCGCTACATCTGCTACTACACGTGGAACCTTGCCAGCCAGGTACACGTCCCGGTAGCCCTGCCCTGCAGCTTACATTTCCCCGTGGACCTCGATGAACACGTTTGCATCAGTGCCCCCGAACTTGATGTCCGAGGTATACACCGTGATTTTGTACTGCGCCTTTGTGGCCTTGGCGTCCCTGGGTGCCACCGGCAGAACGCGCTCGATGGCCTGGTCACCCTCCTTCTTGTCAAACCACTTGCCGCACGGAAAGAAGTAGCTCATGCCCGTGGCGTCATCTAGTATCTCCACGTAATCCAGGTGCCAGCCTGTGCAAGGACCATCCGACCAGAAGCGCACACGGTAACGCATTTGGGCACTCCGTCAAACTACAACCATTGTCCGGCCTGTGCAGGCACATTCCTGGCAAGTTCATGGAGTTTTACACATGAAGGAATAACTCCATATGGCAAGTGATAAGTCAAGGCAATGGTGCGCTAGTCCCCGCTACACTCCTGCAAACAACTGCACCCACCAGGTGCCATGCCCGCATTGTCGTGGCCGATCCGGATCTTCGTCAGGTTGCCGCAGTTGCGATACTTCTTCAGCATGAATTTGTCCACGGCAGCCCGCTCAAAGTTGTTGGTGCTGTTGTCGAGGGTGATGCGTTTGCCGGTGATCTGCGGGAAAGTCGCCAGCCACCCACGCGGGTGTGTGAGACCAATCAGGTGCGTAACACAGTTAGCGCCCTAGCTAAACCTCGCAGTGGCTATGTGCTTGACGTGCAGAGCTCACGCAATCGTTCAGAAGCGAAACATAGCGATTTAGCGAAGCCTCGCTTGACATACGCCAAGCACCCCATGGAAGTAGCCTCCTCAGGGTCCACGGCCCCGTAACTTCACGGCTTGCGAAAAATCGGTATGCTGCCTTGTGATTCATGGGTGCCATTGCCGGCCTCATGGGCTCACCTCCTTGCCGCCGTTCTCCCCAGTAATCTCCAGGTAGACGTTCGCGTCGGTGCCCGCGCCACGCAGATCGGACGTGACGACTGTGACCGTGTAATCCGTGTTCTCCCCGCCCACCTCCGCCACCTTCAGCCGCCTCCGTATCAGGCCGTCCTCCTCGCCCTTGTCAAACCACCTGCCAAACATTAACACCAGGTCCAACATAACACCACCGATGGGCACCGTCAGCTGCCACAAGCTGACGTGCAACATGGGATCCGCCTTGTGCTTGTGGCGGTTCCCGAGAGGGACAAGCCATTGCGAAGGGAGCGGTGCCCTCTGCCCTCTGCCCGCATGCACCTCGCCCCTGGCCGCCTGGCCAGCGCCCACTTATTCGAAGCCAGCGGGCGCAGGCAGGTACACATGTCACACACACACACACACACACACCTGTCGCACGGGTAAGCATAGCGCGTTTTGGCGGTTTGGTCCTCGATGATGACCTTGGCGCAGTGCCAGCCCGGCATAAGGCCCGAGTTGTCGTGGCCTATCTCGATCTCTGGGATGGAGCCCAAGTCCGGGAACTCAAAAAAGAACACATCCTCGGCGTTCCTTTCGAAGTTGTTCTTCGAGTTCTCCAGTTTGATCTAAGGGTTCGGAAGGGGACCGCCGGTCAGGGTCAACACATCGATCGGGTGTGGATGAGCGACAATGAGGGTTCTTATGTGATATGGAGCTGCACTTGCTGGACGATTACATCTCATCTACACAAGGTCTGCGGAACGGCAGCCGTCCACCAGGGCGTGCCGTACCGGCATTTAGGAATCCCCTGAGATGTCCATTACTGCATTCCATGAGTAAATAGATGGAGGAAGGCAGCCTGCACGATTTCATATAAACCTTCGGAGATTTACGCAACTCAAAGCGTAACACACACACACATATGCACACACATATATGACACACAAATATCCATTCCCAGGCTTTAGCACTGTGTTCGGACCCAAGCCTGCTGCCTCACGTTCGAGACGGTTGCATTGGAGCCAAAGAGAGAGATGTCCACGTTAGCATCCGTACCGGCTCCACGCAAATCGGATGTGAACACCTGCGCAGCGAAAAATAAGTGGAGTCGACAACCTGGAGCCCGGATGAGTGAGGGCGCCAGCGCTTCGTTGTCGCATCTGTCGCTAGCAGGTTGCTGCTCTCAGGGCCCCAGGTAGAGTGCGGTCCGAACCCACCGTTATTTGGTACTTGTGAGGCAAGGGGACGTCCTTGGCGCCCACGGGGTACAGGGTGACATACGTTTGGCGGTCTCCCTCGTCCTCAGACAGCCACCTGCCCGTGTTGGTGGACCCATAGAAACGTACGATGCAGATGCAAAGAGAAACGAAGAGGAAGTGTTCGGGGCTTTGTTCCAAGCACGTGGCACTGATCAGATGTATCCACACACACACACAGGCGGGAGGGCGTTGAGCAGCAGCGGGATGTGTGCGGCTGGCTGGCAAAGTGGGCGGCTCTGGGGCGGAAGGCACCGTACATCACATCACATGATGCATTCCTGGCCGACCGATGGGCGCATCAGTACCTGTTGGCCACGAACTGCATGTCGGGCATGCTAGGGGTGGACAGCACCACCTCCTGCAGGTGCCAGCTCGGCCCGAAGCCGCTGTTGTCATGACCAATGCGGATGTACTTGATCTCTCCCACCGCCGCCTCCACCTCGAACACATCCGTCTGTCCCCGCTCGAAGTTGTTGGCACTGTTCTCCAGCTTCATCTGAGGACTCTGGTACTTCTTGCCGTTGAGCTCACCGAACAGCTGCAGCGTCACGTTGGCATCAGTACCTGCAGCGGAAGGCAAGTGCCACACAGCATCACTACACGTCACTTCCTAGCAGCACCGTCGAGACGCTCCCGTCCTGCGTATTGCGGCATATCGTTTGGCCGATTGAGCTGGTGGGAGCTGGAGGTCGAGCTGTGTGCAAGACGACCGTGGGTGCTGTATGGAGTTGTAGCGGGCCGGGGTCATTCGACAGCAGCCCGTCACATAGCCGTTCATCAGTAAGCCTGAACATCCAGCGGCGCCCACCTGCTCCTAAGCCCACGCGAACCTGATACCTGCATGTCGGGACCCTGGTAACCTACCGGCACCCTTAATGTCGCTGGTCTTCACCACCACCTTGTATCTGAGCAGCTTCGGCTCGCCGTCCCCGACGGCGCCCGTCAGCTTCAGCAGCCGTACAATCTTCTTGTCTCCGATGTCCGTGGCAAACCACTGGCCTGCACAGAGAAGTGACATCAAGCTTGTGACAACGGCCCGAAAGATGTCCCTATCCGCGATTCCGGGGTTCGTGGACGAGCAGGGACACACGGCCTGCCTCAACCCCGGCGGCAACGAGTTGAGCGCTTTACGGACAACAGAGCACTTGGTCTTACCGCAAGGGAACACGAGCGGAGCGCCATTAAGCGTCTTATTCCGGAGAATAACCCGGTCCAGGTGCCAGCGCGGATTATTTCCCTTGGCGTCGTGACCCACACGCAGCTGGTGCACATCTCCCAGGGGCAGCAGGTCCACCAGGAAGACGTCCGTGCGGTTGCGAGAGAAATTCTCCGGACCGTTCTCCAGCTTGACCTCGCCGCTGGTATTCTTGTTGCCGTACAGCACCATGAACACGTTGGCGTCTGTGCCCGCACCCCTGTGTGTGAAATGAAGCACAAAACGCTTTCGAGGAGGTGCCACTCAACATAAGCTTAAAATTGCCTCGCATGCACAAAACCTGGCCGGGTCTATCTGTATATGTGTGTCTGTTCCAAACCCCAAACAAGGATTGACACAAAACGTGCGATAATGGTGACAATAATGGCGAGCCTCACTTGATGTCCGATGTGACGGTGGTGATCTCGTACGTCTGCAGGCTCTCGCGGCGTTTCCGCTCGCGTTCATCCTCCTCGGCCTTCTTCCTGGCCGCGTCCTCATCTCTGGTGTCCTTGGGCGGTGGGCCAGGCTCCACGTCCACCAGCGCGCGCTTAGGTGCCTCGTACACGTAGACCTCAGGCACGGGCGGCTTAAGGACCAAAACCTTAAGCCACGAACAACACGGCGAGGGTAATGGGGTGACGAGCAAAGGGCGAATGGTGGCGTCAAGCCAAAACACAACACGGGAAAATGGATGTTGCGCGTAAACAGCAAGCATCAGTGGTGACAGTGCACAGAACAGGACACGGTTTTGCCCACAAGCCCCATGTCTTTCTAATGCGGGCTGGTCTCACCTCATCCTGGGCCTCGCGCAACACGCGCCACTGCATGCCGGCGCGGTCCTTGCCGCCCACGGACACCACCCAGCGGTTGTCAGGGCTGAACAGCACGTTCATGACGTGCGAGCAGTGGCCTAGGTACGTCCTGCAGGGGGGCGAAGCGCTGTCGGAACGGCTACAACAGGGTGGGAGATGTCATGATGGCGTGCCGCTGGCTAAGTGCGTGTGCGCGGCGCATCACCCATCTTAGCTGCTCTGCCACTTAGCGCCACTTAGCCCGACCCAGGAAGACACCTGATGCCAGGTACCGTAGCTGACCTGCACGGCGCATCCTCCACTACGCAAGGATAGTTGAAAAGGCGCACACGACCATCGTCGCCTGCCGTTGCTATGATGTCGCCCTCGCCAATGATGGGGTCCGTGTCCGGAAAGATGCCGGTGTTGGACCTGAAGGGAAGTGACAGTGGAGCACGTGGAAGGACACAACCAATCAAGCTTCAACTATTCGGGCATAGCAGCCCGACTGCTGCCTCCCGTACGGTCTAAACAGGAGCCAAATGGCCTTCCATGTGCAGCGAGGACCAGGAGGTAACGCGCCTGCAGAGCCCTGGTATCAGGCAAGGGTGGCTATCAGAGCGACATCCCTTCCTTGGGGGTGGCACTTTAAGGAGTTAGCCCCCCATTCAGAGCCAGGGAGCGTGTCGTAAAGGGATGATGGTCATAGCCTTTAAAGCCTCCGCGCAGCCTTCAAGGGCTTGGCGCACGGCCGGAAGGGGCCCTTCATGGACCTTATCCTTCTATCGTTCCCCTCCCAGCACTCCGAAGCAAAATCTCCCATGCAATGCGCGCGTACCGAAGACTGCATGACACCCGCCCCAGCCCACCTGCAGGCCGCGTTGATGTCTGTACCATCCGTGTCATCCCTCCAGATGCCCATGACCGGGAACCCCAGCGTGCAGGTCCACGTGTGCCACTGCGTATCGCGCTGGTTCTGACGGACCTGCTTCCCGGTCGCCGCCTCAAAGTACAGCAGTTCGTAGGCGCCGCAGGTGGACTGGATGACGCGGCCGTCAACCGACCAGTCTAGATGGGTAATGTAGGAACTGTGGCCCGCGCAGCGCGCCAGACGGCCATAGCTGCAGGCGAATGGGAGGATGCAAGGAAGTTTCCAAGGCCAAGGTTGAATTTCCGACCTCGCATTTCCGACTTTCCACTCTCCTAGCCATTACACCATACCGTACAGACCGAAACTCCAGCCGCTTGGAGATACGGTCGGTCAAGGTTAGAGCACAAGGCCGTGCCCGGCCCGTCTGCGCACCTGAACTATCATGGTGCATCCAAACCTTAAGGAGGCGGTCTGACAACGGCTTGCTAACCAAACGTCCCGAACACGTCTTATATACTTACTGACGGGTGACATCGTAGATGTCGATGAAATTGTCATGGCTTCCGGCGGCGAGTTTGGTGCCGTCCGGGGAGTACTTGAGCTCGTGCACCATCTCCTTAAGGGTGTGCACCTCCGCCACCTTTTGAGTCAGATTCTCCACCAGAAGCACCTGGTTCCATGAAGGTGAGCGCACCCGGAGGGGAAGGAAGCAGTGTGCGAATGGCGCCAGCAGCATTCACAGGTACACACACACTGCACCCGCTGACAGCCTTTCTAGGCGCTCAGACGCGCCGATCCAGAGTGGATAAGGAACGCCACCAGCCAAGACGTCAGCAAGGCGCTATCATACAGCAGCTTCCACGAGCTTGGCAATTAAGGCCACAGTTCTTTATTCCAAACCTCAACGCGCGCTGCTTGCCGGCCATGAGGCCATGCTTCCTCGCCTGGGCAAATTCCGTCCTCCCTCTAGGCATGATCTGGAGACCCACACCCACGTTTATCGTTGACCCGCAAGCAGAACATGCCGAGATACCCGAGACCTGCCAAAGGAGCTGCCGTTTGCCACATCCCCTGTTCGGTGCAGTGCAGCGCGTTGAATGGAACTCGGTAACTCACCTTGACCATACCGGTGACGGTGCCAACGGCCAGCTGAGCGCCATTTGGGCTGAATGCCACCGACCGAGCTTCGACCCCAATGTTTACTTTGGCCTGTCAGCGTCGGAAGAGGGTTTGTTCTAGGTGTCAACGGTGACGCGATTAGACGCATCAAGCCATGCCGATTGATTTCCAGCGAGCCCTGGCCGCAACCAGGCCACGTGCTCGCGCGCTACACGCACCAGGAGCTGTCGGCGCTTGGCATTCCACATGAAGACGTTCATGCTGTCGCAGGCAGTTGCGAACTTATGGGGCTTCTTGGGATGAAAAGCCAGGCCATATACGTCAGCGGAGTGGCCCTGTGTGAGGGGTTCGGGGGCGTCACGGCTGAGCTCCCATATCTCGCACCTGTCGCAAACAGCAAACAAGGAAGGAGGAGCGCACACGAAGGGACGCACACGCTGGAGGAGACCTGTGAACAGAAGAAAGAAGACCTTTACTGACGCTCCTGAAAATGTTCCACCTAAGAACCCTTCACGTCCGCTTCCTCTACGAATGAAACATGTGCGTTCAGGTGCAGCGAGGGACAGGGTCTTGGTCAGTGTAATCCACACGCATGTTACGGTATATGCAGTACATCGTAATTCGCACTCCACCTGTGGGTGCCAGCGACCATGTCGTAACCGTTCTCCACGGCGTCCAGAGACCTGAACACCGCCCTGTCCTTCTCGCCCGGCTCGTGCAGCTGCGGCAATCAGAACGAAGGGCCGAGACCACGCACGCAAAAGTCTCCATACAGACAGGCAAACCCTACAGGGATAACTACACAGCAAGGATTCGGACACCCGGTAGGACTTTGTGGTGTTGCGGGCGCGTGGTGCCTGCACCCCACTTGCATTTGCGGGCATCCCACGGCATCCCATTGCAGTTTAGTGTTTGTTGGGCTGCTGGTTAACCAGGCGCTTTTGCCTGGAGGGCGATGTTAGCGTGGCTCCTTGCTTACACGGGCAGCGGGTTCACTAGTTGACTGACCTGTATAGTCTTGATCACCCGACCCACGTCCCCGCTTGTGATGTCCCAGCATATGATGGCGCCGTCCGCGCCCCCCGTGACCAACTCCGTGCGGTTGGCCCGCACCGCCATGCAGCGGACGCCCTGAAGCACCGGCTTGCCGTCGTGTAGGCTGGGTGCGGGCACGCCGGGGCCATGCGCCTCAATCACCTACAAACGGGACACACGACCCATGCCATATGTTTTGCATGAACTCCCTTCCAAACTCCTTTCCGGCACAAGTAGCAGCCCCTCCTAGGCTTCTGTCTAGGCTCCTGGACCTCCACAGCAACCGCGCCATATCAATGCAGACGCCACATTTCGCTCCTGGGCGACCCCTAGTCGGACACCATCAAGACAGGAACACCCCCAATGGAGGATTACGCAGTGCGCAAGCATGTAAGCGCGCGGGGGCCAAACCCCGCACACCGACACAGCTCCGTTGGAGGGACGGCAAGGTGGGGTCCCCTCCTGGGCGCACCTTGATGCAGCAGCCGAACTGGCCGCTGGGTGAGCGCGAGCCGCTGACGTCCCACATGAGCAGCTCTCCAGACGGAGTGCCCGTGACGAGGGTCTTTGCGGACACGAACATAGCACTGAGTACGTCCTGCACCTGAGCCCGTCCGAACTTGCCCATGGTACCCTTATACCGCTCCTTCTTCGCACGCTGCGGCGAGGAGATAAAAGAAAAAATGACTTAGGAGGTGTGTCCGGGGTTGCTTTTCGGGAGAGGAAAGGCAGATGGGAAAGAACGAGGAGGACCAAAATATAGAAAGGAAAAGCAGCATGGTATTTCTCGGCCAGTTGCCCAGTTGCTACGGTAGCGGTGTTAGCGGAATCTCCAACCCGGCGTGCGGGATGGATTACCGGACCTCATCGTACTCCTGCGTCCAAAACTTCAAATGCTTGACGCCGTACGTGACGAACATGTACGGCGGCGTCACTTCACGCCCCTGGCCGTCACGGTCCTTCAGGAAGTTATTCCAGCACACCCCGAAGACCTGCGGAAGACAGATGGCACGAAAGACCGTATGTAGGCGGGAGCCATTCTCAAGGAAGACAGGGCCACCGCACATTGGGGGGCATTGGGGCCACTTCACGAGCTTCCTGTCTAGCTTTGTACTTGAGTTCCCCATGTTCTCGGTGATGCCGGCAATGCAGCAGCATCTCATCTGCACCACATGATACGGTCTGTGCGTTGCGACCCGATACCTGCGGTGGCTGGCCATTGTGTCCCACATCCGCGTGGATAATGGCCTTGGACTTCCAGTGCAACACGTGGACTGTGTGGCGGTTGTCGCCCGTCACAGCCACCAAGTACTGCCCGTTGCCGGAGAAAGCGAGCGCCACCACGTACCTGCGCCGCAAGGATCATCGACAGATCGCAAACATTGCGCGGCAGGCCCAGCATCGTGGACAATACAATGGCGCGTGTAACCCACACGCAGTGCCGCTCATTTGCCGACGGTTCAGAGGTTTCGTGAAGTGTGCAATCATTTCCGTGAGGTGTGCAAAAACGGCACTGCAATCATGTCGTAAGTGATTTGGGGGTAATTCAATGCGAGTGCATGCATCCGGATGAGCTCTTCGACGTAATCGCAACAAGCGCCGCAGCACACCTCATAGGGGCACCGTCAGACTTGAATGGTATGCGGCATATCAAGCCCAACGGATCGCGCACGTCCCAGATGCACACGAAGGGGTCATCATAGCTACCGTCCAGCGAAGACGCCACCTGGCCGGTTGCGACGGTGAACCGGTCGGGATGGATGGCGAGACAGCGAATGTCGTCGTCGTGGCCCTGCACATACAGCCATACGCCAACGCGTCAACCCTAAGCTGTCTCAACACAACCGCGGCCAAGAAACGCTCCACGGCGTTTACATTACCCTCTTCCTGAGGCAACCAATTTTCCTTTGAGGAGAGCAATGTTTGCAGTAAGAGACGTGACGGCAGTAAGGGGTATCTAGCGTGGAGTGCTCACGGGCCAGTGCCAACTAAGGAACAGCCAAGGAACCTTTCAATTTGGGTCCCGGCCATCTACCGGACGAACGCTACACTTTCTGGAATTGGGAGTCTGGAAGGGTCCCCTCAGAGAACAAACCAAGCCACCTGTTCGCCTGGGCATTCACGCTGGTGTTCCACTGCGCAATCATCATATTGCCACCTACATGGAAAAAACGCTGCGTGTGCGTTGTTGGGTCGTAGATGACGCCAACCGCCGCTGTGTAGTACACGAGCCTGCCGTCACCGGTAAAGAAAATGTTGGATGCCGTGTTTTCCACGCCAGCATAGCCGTACACGAACTCTAGCTTCAGTCCCGGCTGCAAGGGGAAAATGGAATCCGTCAGGATACGGGTAGCCACGTGATTGCGGAGCTACATGTGAATGGCGGACCGACGGACGCGACGCCCAACTGTGAGGCACACGGATAGGCCCAAAGCATTAGACAGAACGCACAGGCGCACACCGATGCTACTGATTGCGCGACCCTTTTGGTATTCGAGGTGCTGCTGGAACTCTGGAGGGAGAGTACTAAACAATTCCCCACCTTGGGCTTGCGTGCAGAGCGCAAGGCCGGCGTGCCGTCCCAGTTCGAGGGCGGGAACACGGGCTTGCGGCAATAGCGATACGTGATCTTTCCTCGGAAGGCGGCATTCTTGCCTGGCTTGTAGGGTCCCTGCCATCGGCATTGTTAAGGTAGAGCAAAAGCAGGGGGCCACAGCCTTGCCGAGCGAAACCACACGCCGTTTCCTAGGAAGTGCCCAGGAACCGCCCCCGGTCATTTAGCCCCCAAAGTGACGCTTATAGTTACCATGTTCCTCACGCCCTTAAGTGCGTCACTGCATGCACTGCGCTTTGGCAAGTAGAGGTTTATACACACACATACACGCCCACGCATTGCGCGGATCCACAGCATCCGACCTTCTGCTCAGGCTCTAGCGCCAGCAACCTGGCGGGGCTGCTGAGCAGCTTGGCAGCAAAGAGGTCGTACGGCAGCAGGCCCTGCGAATCGGAGCCATACTTGATGAACAGGGCATGTGCCTGCTCCTCCGTGACACGAACGCTGAACTTTTTCCAGGCATGCCGAAACTGCGCTACGTTGAGCAGCCCAGGAGGTGCGTACTCGCCACGGAGGCGGGCTTTCTGCTCCTCCTTTCGGAACTGCCTGCACATCACATCACATCACATTGCAGCCAGGCAAGGTGCTGAGGTCGAGATTGCAGCGGGACGGCCAGGATGCACGTACACGTGGTGCTAGTAGCAGTGCCGGACGGTGGTACGGATGCTGGTGCCAGACGATAGCACAACTGCGAAGTTCAGTGTTAGGAGATGACCGCACTGCCGTGCTGTTCAGACGAGGCACAGCCATGCACGTAAGGTATGGGCAACTTCGCCAGACGACGCTTCCCACTCACTTTGTAAGCAGCATCCGCTCGTCCTCATTGAAATTCGCGAGTGCAGCGAGAGTCACACGCATGAGGTTCTCGAGTTCTGCGGGAAATGGCTCTGCCATACGGTAAGATTCCTTTCCTCACATGGCATGGGTTGATAGTTTATTACAGGACTGACAACTCACAAAGCTAACCCAATATCATCGGGGATGTTCCCACAAGCCATGGTCCGGACCCCGAACGCATGCCCTCTGCCATGCGCTCTCGTGTCACGTGCGTACGGAGTACAGCTATCGACAACGAAACACACTTACCGTTCAGTGAGGCGAACACGTCCGCGTCGGGTTTTATGATCGGCATCGTCGGCTGTTGGTAGTGCTTCCTGGCCCTGTGCAACCAGAAGCCCCAAGGGCGCTTCAGCACAATCGCAACCTGGCAATCCCCGGTAACAGGGACTTACTTCTTTGCCTCTACTGTGTTGGGGGGCTGTGTCGTCTGCGCCCGGCCGGGTGGGCCCCAGCGGTTGTTACTCCAGTATGCGTCGTCCATCGCCTCGCCTGCCAAGGCAACTCACGGGAGCTATGTCAATCTCTGCATCAGCTGCGAAGAGGCGCGTCACAGCTTATGAGACGCATCGGTGGGCGCAACCCCCGTGCTCACCATGCTGAAGGATTGTCCGCTTAATCTGACGCCGCTGGGCGCCTGTGTTCCTACATAGCGTATGGGCAATTGCACGTAACAAGGCCGATGGATGACGTTATGTCACTTGCAGCTGTGGCTGCATGACTTCTGTCAGCGGTAGCTGACATGGTGATGGGAAATGTGCACGAGGTAAACCTGCCGAGGACCACCTGCGCAGCAATGCATCATTTCGCCTGCGTGGCCTGCCCAATGCAAAGTACTTACTGTCGTTGCGCGGGGCTGCCTGGGCTTCCCTCCGCCAGCGCTACGACGTCCAAAATGGCCTGGCCTGGTGCCGGCCCCACGTTCTGCGGGCTTCCTACCCCGGCGCCACCTCCGCCTGCAGCGCCGCACATGCCGTTTCGCCATAGAACGAAAGACCTTTCCTCAACTGCAGGTACACTTGCCTCCAGCAGCCGCAACCAGTGCATTAAATGCCCTGGACTGTCCTTCACCCTGCGGCATGGCCGGTTGCGGAGGGCCCATACGACGCCGGGTACCCTGACCGTTGACCTCCATTATCAATCCAGCGCTTAATATATATCCATCAGGAATTCAAGCTTATGCTGAGCAATTTAACCCTAGTGACCTTGGTACCCATTTCACGACGTCGCCGATGGATAACATGGAACGCAAGACGACCTGATGTAAGATTGTATGTTTTAGTTTAGTGGTGTCGTAGGCGATAGATTCTTTGTTGGGAATTGCAGGCATTGACTACTTGGATTTGGATTCAACCCATTTGGTAGTGCAAGTACCTATGGTGTAGTCTATACATTATGCATATGAATTGAATCCTTAACAATACAAAATCCAAAGCTCGAAACGGATAGGGTTACGCCGAGACTTGATCGGCAGCTCTGTGTCCAGCCTATCATACGTGATCCAAGAGTTTTGTACTGCCGCTAGTGGAGGTCACTCTTTCGCGTTTAGTTCGCTTTTAGAGGAGAGGTGCATGCGCACACCAACGCTACGTAAACAACTCTTCTATCCTCAAGTTTGACAGGGCCCGCCGTTAAAAAACAGCAGTAAACAGCGGAAGCTGTACTGTATCGTCCTTTCCATATACCCTGCCTCTTTCGATCCCTTCATGTCCCACGCATGCTATCTTGTGCACGCAGTCCCCCTCCCCTTCCCATTCGCCGCCCGTTCAACGGTGCGAGAGCGTAATAATTTGGTCAACAGCGTACGGCAGCTCCGTGGGTTCAGTTCAAAGGAGACTGGGTTGTCCGAAGGAGACAAGGATCGGATTCACGCGGGCAGACACACACATCGTGAAGTCTTTAGTCCAAGGTAAAGGCGTAGGGCTTCTTGCTGCGGCACCAAGAGAGCGTGCAGGATGGATGCCATGAATGGCGACACTTACAGGCGAACGGAACAGGCGCTGAGCTGCTTGTTGAGCGTCAGCCCAACATGGGACTCATGCTTGAACCATCCATGTAATATTTACCCGCACATTTGTAGCTGCAACCCAATAAAGAACACATTTCACCCCGGGGATTACCCGTATCAAATGCTTGTCAACGGAAACCCCCCACGATACACTGCAAGCTCAATCAACAAAATACCGGAACGCCAGCAATTGGGCCAAAACCGCTCATGCAGCTCATATAAACGGGTCTCATCCCATCTCAGGCTAGGCATTGAGACGCAAAATGTACACCGGTATATGGACGGTGAAGAAACAAGACAAACCCTAAGCCAGGGCTAATGAGGAGCCAATTGAGCCCCTGAATCAATACGGCGAGGGCCGCTTGTTCTTGCCGCCAAGCCTCTCCTGCCCATGTTGTCGGTCTGGTCCGGGGGACAAGCGCTGTTGCAGTCGCCCAGTGGCCGACGGAGCTACTGCTGTTGCTGTTCCGGATGCCGCTGCAGCAGCGGCGGCAGCGTTTACAAGCTCCTGATCCAGCGTCCACATGCAAACGAGCGCATCTTCGCCGCCCGTCACGCAAAGTGGCCCTGTAGAACCTTCACCCATGCAATGCAACGACCGCACGATAGAGGAATGCCCGCCCGTTAGGGCCATTACAGGGCACGCCATGGCAGCCGCGACCATGTTGCCCTGAGGACCCTGTTGCTCGAGGACTGGCACAAAGGCCACCGGCCCATCGTTATGCCCTACCACCAAAAAGAGCTGGTTCGTTGGGCTATCGTAATGACAGCCAACAAGATAGTCAACCTGCCAAAAGGGAGATACGTGCATGTGACGGCTCGAACAATACGAAAGGGCCGCTGACACGGGAAGGAGCATCCTTTACCTGTGGTACGATGCTGCCTGCTGCGGATGCAGCGCACGCCTGCGATGCCGCTTCACGCGCCATAGGAAAATCTGCGAACTGCATATCGCCCCCAGGGACATCTTCAGTGGTGGCTAGTAACCACTCCCACAGGTGGACGCTCTCCGTCCCCGTCCTGACCCACAGCCGCCCACCGCCATGACCATACAGGCCAAATTCTTCTACGGAGTTATTGATGTTGATCGCGGCCTGCAAGGGAAGGGCTGGTGCAGGACGTCAACACTATTGTTGCCCGTCTCGTTCGTGCCTACGCTGTGCTCTCTCCACGCCTATAAGCACACAAACAAGACACTACGCACTTATACACCAGTCAGAAAGAATGACCTGTGCCATGTGTGCCAGCTCGGTACATGCCGCATGAGAGTCAAGATTAGCTCACCTGGAACACATCGTCGTCGTTGAAAGACTTGGATACGTCGTGGACAGCTATGAGACCATCGGTAGAGCCGCTGAGGATACGGCCGCTGCTGTGGAATCGAACCTGCACCAGACGAGTGGCCGCAATTGCGCTGCCTGTCCGTACACCGTTTCGGGCGGCCATAGCGAACAAATGAGGCTTCCCTGCCTGGAGTCCCGCACAGAAGGCTTTTTGACGCGCACCTGCGTGACGTCCTCCGCATGGGTGTCGTCCAATTTCGCTAGTGGTTTCCTTGTGCGCCGGTCCCAGAAAAGTACCTCTCCAGTAATCCCTGCCGCCAGCACGTGCTCGAGACTGGAATGGCAAAAAATCTCTTGATTCCGCACCTCATACCTGCACACACAACAATGGCGCAGCTGTCCTTTCTGTAACTGAGTAATCGATTTGGAACGCCCTCTTATTCGAAGGATGATGGGATTTGTCAAGTGCCACTCGGCACAACCCGGTCGTTGCGACTTGCAAGTGCGTTAGGCAGCGCATACACCCGGCACTCCACGGGTTCTTGGTGCCCGGCCTCCCACGACGCTCAACTCAGCTTCTCAGAGGCTACTCTGCCAGCTTCACACATGGTGCTGAACTGCAGAGTAGCTTGTCGTAACGTGCATGACTTCAAGTACGTTACCTCACCTTTCCGCCAGCTGCATGCTCCGCACATCCCATACAGCTAGTGAGCCGTCAGCTGATGACGACAAAATAGCATACGGCTGGCTAGTACTGCTGAAAGAGAGGTCCGTAACGGTCCCTGTGTGGCCCCTAAGCTCTCCGACAAGAGATAGCTGTGGACCGCTAGGCTGATAGAGCTTGATAGCGTGGTTTGACACGGACGCGGCAACTAGGTCCCCGGATGGACTGGGCAAGGCTCGGAAGACGTAGCATGGATCGTTAAAATTAAAGTCTACCCGGGCAGAACCACAGCATGTAGGGAGCTTCAGTGTCCCTGGCGGCCCAGCCGGCGCAGATGTGCTTGGCTGCGGCCCTTGCCCGCTACCCATGTCTTCGTCATCGCTATCGAAGCGTATATGGCCCATCATTCACCCCTTTACGATAAAAATATAACATTAGGACGATAAGTGTAACCCATGCAAAGCAAAAAGGTTGAAGAGCGCATCAAGGGTTTATATCGTGAAGAACATAGGAAGCAATGCAGATATGGAAAAACACGTGGTCATAGGAATAATCGGTCCGCAGGGCGTAAGTATGAGTTCGGCAATTACCGTACGGCTCCGACTCATTTCACGCGCATCACGAAACGCAACGCAATGTGACACAGCCATATTCCAAACAAAAGAGCACCTTTAGGGGCCTGAAGGTCAGGGGCAGGTCGCCCTTCGTGACGTTTGTCCCACGTTCTTGATTTGAACTCTCTAACAAAACCAACAAGGATACTTCAGCGACCTGTTCTGCAAAGCCGACAAGGACAATTGGATGGAATATTAACTGCAGTTATGCTTGCTAGACTGAGCTTGTTCGCCTTCTGTACGCACAGCACAACAAGTCGTGTGCAATAAAAACTTTTGCTCATGCACGATGTGTAAAAAGATAAGATATGTTATATTTCCCAAGTGACTTGGCCTATGGAAATGGGAAAAACCTTAGCCGTGAACCGTTGCCAGTCCATCGCCGATCCGTTAGCACACAGTTGGCAAACAACGGAACCAAATACCCCCCCAGGACTCATCCATTGGACATATTATGACTGGATGCCATTTCATCACGAGGATGCTTTCCATGGGATATGCTCTAGCACAGTGCCAGCCCGGGCGTCTCTATTGAAACGTGGATACGATCCCCTAACTTTCTCTGGGTTGCCGGGCTCAGTCTGTTTGCGTTTGTGAGCTTCTCGCGTTTCATTAGCTAGCCTGCTGTGCGATTATCATTGCAGTAGCGTACCACCAGAGCCTTCGTTCCACTGCTGGTGCAGCACGTGTTCCGGAAGTTCGTTAACTAACTATATAACATTACAGAACTGCAACTTCGTTCACAGGCATAGATAAATTAGATTCGTTGCCACCACTTTAAAGGTTGCTGTGAATCCTGACGACTATCGTACAATGTGCAACAGCTAAACAAACGCACTTACGAATAGGTCCGTATCGAAGGTACTGTCGAATCATCAGGAAAGAAGATCCAATTCACATGTGAGCACCATACCTATGCCGCGAATAACGCCCAGTTTCATAGCTCATGGCTTCATTACCTGTACAGCCACCGGCCAAGGTACATGCCTCGACGGATTTCTGTTGTGTTTGCTGGCCGGTACAACATGTGACATCTTGCCTTAACATCTTGTACATCTCGCTGCTCGCGTTACCACGAAAGCCGTCGTTGGGCTGCCGGTCCTAAAGCACATTTTGTGAAGACCGGGAATGCCCCACACTTACGGAGAGGGTGGCCTGGGGTAGCAGACTTTCAGCGCCAGAATGCCCGCTTGATGCTCTCAACCGTTTGACAACTTCATAGCGTTGAAAAACCTTAGCAAGACATGTAACCCCAAAAAAACTAAAAGTATTGAATATGAATGGCTTGTGCTTGGTCGGACGGTCAACCGGCCATCCAGGCAGCTGCAATCCCACCACAAATCGCATTCAACGCGCAACTCTTTGCCATACAATAATCACGAAGTGTCGGGCGTGGCTTATGCCCGGACGACCCTTTTGGATCCACTGAGCAGGATGCATTCATTATCCGACCAAATGGAGTAATGGATAGGGGTTTGATGCAGAGATTAAGAAATGAATTCTTCCTGGGTATGCTACAACTGGTTCGCTCGCCGCCCGCTCACTCTTGAGAAATCGCACGTGGGCTGCTCAGGGTATGCTCCATGAGCTTAAATGGCCCCAATCGCCCGCAGGGCCTCATCCATGGCTGCCAGCCGCTTTATTAGCATTAAGTCTTCCTCGCTGGGTGCTTGGGCCAGGAGGGCTGAGCTGGGGTAGCCAAAATCCGCGGCCGCTTCACGCGGGGCAGGGGCAGGAAACTTGTCACCCGTGCGCCGTGGCGTTTGCGCATCTTCGACCATATGTACGGGTGCTGAAATGGCTTCGACGCCGACCAAGCCGGCCTCCTGCATGATTGTCGTGCGCCTGGTGAATGCCAACGAGAAGGAAGGCCGAGAAGCGGACGCATGACTGCCACCAAGCTGCTGCTGCTGCTGCTCAAGGCTAAGTCTTCGCGACAGCGGCTCCAAGCCAGCAGCTGACGAAGGCGGCAGCGTAGAGGCCACCATGCCAACTGTCCCCGAGTTCCCTGGTGAAGCGACAGGCGCGATGGCTGGCGGGGACGCAGGCGCCTTAGGTGGAGATGAAGGTGCAGACGTGCCCACTGTCCCTGAAGTCCGTGGCGATGAAATGACAGCTGCAGCGTTGCCGGACGCGAAGGGCGATGGGAAACCACTCACATCTGGCAGCACCATGTCAGCCGTGCCTGGTCTATAATATGTTTGCGATGCTGGCGTCGGTTGTTGTGACCTGCTGGGCTGCTGTCGCAAGTTCCCTGTTGGTGAGGCACTTGCAACAGCTACATGGCTCATTGCAATGTCACTGGGTGGTGTCTGCTGCGGGGCAGCAACACCCGCGTCCACCGCAATGCTCGGGATGATGCCGCTCACTCGCAATGGGCTGGAGAGGGCATCTGCGGACGGACGGACAGCGCGGCTGAGCATCCTGGCATCCAGCATCACCCGTGGACTTATCATCGGGCTGCTGCTACCAGCCGCTGTCGCCCCAAGGCTTGACTGCCAATTTGCACTTGCTGTGGTGCGGTCATTCCCTTCTGTAGGGCTTGCATTTGCAACCCCGGAGCGAGGCGCAATGAGACTCACGCGCGTGGGCGACCGATAAGCAGTGGTCTGCAGCGTGGAGCCGACATCTGCTGAAGCGGATGTCGGCCCCGTGTGTGGAAATACAGTTGCATCAGCTCCACGGGAAGCAGACAACGCTGGAAAAGAGTAGCCTGTCGCTCCGCTGGGGGTTGGTCCGGAGCCAGTGGCTGTCATGTTGCCACCGGCAGGAGAAACCCTGCCTGAAGGCGACGGTGGTGCCGCGGCAGAGGGCGGCAAGGAGTTATATGGGCCCAGGTTGAAAGAAGCACGCGGCGGATTACGGTGCATCTCCGGATGAGGTGTAAGGCTGATCTCGGACTCTGAAATGCTGGCGGGCGGACGGTTTTCTGGCGATACCTTGCTTGTCGCCTTGTAGTTTGATCCCCAAGCAGCGTTGGCGGCCGAGGACTGGGGATTGGCTGCCGACTGTAGCACTGGACCCAAATCTCCACGCCCGAGGCTTGGCTCTGAGCTGGATCCGTCGGCCTGCTCATGAAGCTCACCAATGGTGCTCCCATGCGGTGAGGAGGGTTGGAGGAGGCTACTTCGAGGCGAGGGACTCATAATGTTAGTCACGCCGCTTGCCGCGGACGCCGTGACAGATGAGGCTTCTTTGAGACCGGGAATTGGCTGAAGGACACCGTTATTGCTCCTCGACGAAGTGAGCGGGAAGGCATCGTTGACCGCACCCTCAACAGTAATGCGTACGCTCTCTTCTTGTGAGATACTGAGGATTGCAGACGTAGTCCTCCTGCAGGAGGAAGTGCAGAAGTTTCCTCTCATTCATTTGGTTTAACAACTAAAAGTAGAAGAGTGTGCATAAGGGGGCTTAAATACATAAGCATTTCTCCATTTGCGCCCTGGTGTTTCCTTATAGCAGACTGCAATGGACAATCAAGTGTGGATATTAAACTTTAATCCCAACCCCTAGTAGCGTACTGACTGCTGTGACACATTTCATCCATGTGCAGTTGGCCCGCTACATACCGGGATGGCGATGGCGTCGTGCCTTTTGACCGTACTCCGCCCGCATGGATGCTGACACTGGATGTACAAGGGATGGTGGTGGTAATGGATGCCCTTGGCAGTAGCGATCGTGAGCCGCTCATTCTCAATATGGCGGCACTTTCTGCATCCGGCTGCCGCATCACCATGGATGGTGATGTAGCAACCAAAGATGTTGCTGAGGGAACGACAGTCGGCACAGACGCCATGACACTGTCGCCGCTGCCGCTTTCCTTTCTGCTTTTGTCCGTGCCAGAAGTGCTCAGAGCCTCCCATGCGTCGTTGTGGCCACCCGTTCGACAGGTTGGCAACGTTGATGCAGACTCACTAGTCGACAGAGCGGGCTGGGCAGGGTAGCGCAATGCTGCGTGTGCTGGGGCAGAGGGCCCGGCGACCCGTACACTAGGCCCTGCCGCAGCAGCCATTGACGAGGAAACTGACCCGGGCCCCGGGGTTGCAGCAGCTGGCGTAGTAGCACCGGAATTATCGTGAACGCCCTCGATTGGGCCGCCCGTGGTGTCAGCTTCAGACAGACTTTGCAGGTAGCTCATCATGCGCTGCTGCTGGGTGAGGGACGGGCGCCATTGCGTCAGCATTAGCAGCATGCGTACAATGTGAACGGGCGTGTAAGTAGAAGCCAGACTTTGTAGACAAAGCCATTGGTCGATAGCATGGTCATCGATAGCATGTTGTGCATGCCCATGCTTGAGCGCAACTTTCACCGTAAGCTGCGACGAGAGCAGCGTACAGAATAAAGTAGCGGAACTGCAAGATCCCAAGCCTCACCTGGTCAACACCGTTTCCACTTGCCAAGGCTGCCGCCTGTTTGGCAGCAGTCTTGGTATTGGCATCTTGTGCTGCCGCGTCCCGGGCGGACTGCGCGGCCACCTGCGCCCGCAGCTCCTCTGCAGCGCGGGCAGCCACGCGTTGTGACATCAGGGCATCATCGAGCGCCTGCTGTAAGCTTTCTTTCTCCGAAACTAGCGCTACAAGGGCGGATTCCGCATCGGCCAGGACTGCATCGTTCGCTGCCAGCTCCTTCTGAAGCTGAGCTACGTCCAGCCGGGATGCAGTCAGTGCCTCTCGCAGCTGGCTCACCTGCGTTAGAAGGTGGGTTCATCGTCCGAGGGAAAACATGGTAACTAATGAGGAAAAGCTTGGCAAAGGCTATATATGTGAGGTAAGCCGCGGCAGAAGCCATGCGAACCACACGCAGGGTATCGAATAACGCTGCTACACACAAGCGCCTTCGTGCCACACGAAATGCAAAACCCGCAGCAGACGTCGTCGGCACGCATTGCCGGGCCACGACGACAGATCGCGGAGTGCTATCACGCGCACCTCGTTCTCGGCACCGGCAGCGGCATGCCTTTGCTGCATCTCAGCCAGCAAACGTGCCCTGTCCGCGGCCAGCTCGGCGGCTTCACCCCGCGCTGCTCTGGCCTCGGCCGCGCGAGCCTCAATCTCCACCTTCAACATCGCATGACCGTCCGTCAGGCGCGCATTCTCGACTTCTAAATGTCGCAAGCTCGCGGTTAAGCTATGCACTTGGCCCGCAAGCTCCGTGTTACGCTCAGCTGTGAGCCGGACCTCATCCTGGATGAAACGTGAAGGGTATAACGCTACTATGTTCGTGCATCAAGTTTTGAACCTTTCGTTAGTAACTGCGAAGGACATAGTCTGCCGTGTATGCAACGGAAACGTAAGCCGTTGATTGGCCAGCTAAGGCATGCAAGTGAATTTAACATGGCACGCTCCTCCAATGCCACATTGAACCCACTGCCTTAATACCCGACATATGGAATTTCTCTTCAAAAGCGAGGACTGCAAACCAAGCGGTCCTCGTGGTATCGCAGGTTTGGCGCTCGTGGCACGTGGGCAACCATACCCATACCTGCATCTTTTCGACACGCTCTTTGGCAGTCTGCAAATCCGCCTCCAATGCACTATAGGCGGCATGTAGGCGTTCTAGTTCGACCTCGAGCTCGTCGGACTTGGCTATTGCGCTGCGCTGTGAGCGCTGCGCCTGCGCCAACGCATCCGCTCCCACATCAAGCTCACGCTGCAGCCGACGGCACTCGCTAACCTGCTCCTCCCTGAGAATGGCATCGCGGATAGCAGATTAACTGGACCAGGTATGGGCAAATGTGTACGCTCTCCACTACTCGTATGCCAGTGGAGTGGCTTTAACGCTTATCGCACCGACCGAGCACAAATCCACGTGCTTTGCTGTGGCACAATGCCCATGTGCACAGGCAGCCGAGCTGCATGCATAATAATGTACTTCGGTGTCGTTGTGGCTATGAGCTTTAGCTGATCTTTGGCTTTGGCAGTCGTTTGGTGAGGTCTATACCCACGACGGCACTGGGTTGCTACGACCGCGCACCTTTGCCGGGACTCCTCTTGTAGCTGTGCCTGCAATGCCAAGGCATCCCCTCTGGCGCGCTGTAGGTCCTCGTGTATTGTTCCCTTGGCATGGTTGATTGCGCGGAACTCCGCTTCTAATGTGGCCAAGCGGAGCTGAGCCCCGGCATACGTGAGGGGCAGGGACATAGTTAATATCGTGCGCTAACAGTAGTGCCACAAGGCACTGTCATGCCCTGCCTCCAAGAATAACTAACCTGCAATTGCTGCATTTCAGCCTTATGGCGGTCTTCAGCAGCGGCGGCGGCGGCTGAGCTGCGGGCAAGTTGCTTGGCAGCGTCTTCTAGCTGGTTTGCCAGCTGGTTACGAGCCGAAGCCATATCTGTACAGAAGCCAGAGGTCGAAAACAAATTCCTTCACGCAGTTACAACCAGAGGTTTCATGCAATCCTACCTTCACACGCATCCGTGCTGCCGTACTACTTACGGCTTGGAGCTAATGTGTGACGTTGCATTAATGTCAAATGCGGACGGGAATTCATCATCGTTGATGCAGAATGTCCTGCGATTTTTTTTACTGCGCATGAACTGAATCCCGCCACCTTGAACAGGAGGCCTTGCACGTACCATCAAGGTTGATATGCGCTCCTGCCAGCTCAGACTGGAGGCCGTCGCGCTCGGCGGTCATGGCCGAGATATCCATCTCAATGTGGTACAGTTTCTCACGCAAGGCAGTGGCCTCACGATCCAGTTCAACTGCAAGGTTTCCAGGAGGACAACACCCACATTGGTTCTTGCTTTATGGCAAAATTGGCGGCGAACACTCAAATAACCCCCCTCCAGTCACCGTCACGCGGCGGCCCCCCGCTCTACCAGAACGCTTGCCTGCTCTTGCTCCATGTGTTGCAGCTAAGGCAGTCACTGCAACTGTTTCTTCTCGACTCTTAGCAAGGTCACGCTTAGCATCTGCCAGCTCTTGCTGTAGCAGCTCGATACGATCTGATAACCGCGACGATTCATCAGTAGCAGTACGCAATTGGACCTCTGCTCTATCTGCGCGTTCCAATGCGGCAGCAAGCTCCGCCTGCGAGATGAAACCGTCACAGAGACCTCTTAGGCCCGCAGGTAGCCCGCCATGTCCATGGGGTGGGAACAGCAGTACACAGACTGCAACAGGTTTACAACACAGCTTGGGAAAGGTGTCCAAGCATAAGACACGCGAACCCCTATACTCTAGGCCACGCCGTGCAGACCGTTCGCCTACAGGAACCCACCTGTAGCCTTGCTTGGCCATGTGCATCCAAAGGACCACCGTACGCCATGGTGGGATTGGAGCGGTTGGTGTTGGAACGTGTGACCAGCCAAATTAGATCTGGGCCCAGCTACTTCAGCTTCATAATGGCGGGCGAGTTTACGAAGAAGGCCAAGAAAAGCGAAATGGCCGGTCAGCTGGACGCTTGGGGCTACGCCAAGCTCGACGAACTCTGGAAGCGTACCATAGAAACCCTAGCTTGTACATAACTCAATCCACAGTAAATACGCATGTAAAGCATAGTAAATCGCTGCTGGTGAGTTCTCAGCGTTGGTCAACTGTGCTAAGCCACGGTCCCAAACGCCAAGCTACAATGCCATAAAAATATTCCAGTTATATTCTATCCATTTACAAAAGTCTAAGGAAGCCATGTTTTGACTGAAGGGAAGGGCTCCTATCGCTGGCCCAGGTGCTATAACCAAATAGGTTCGTCGTATTTGCTTCTTTTGCTCCCGATGTAAGCCGGACGCAAGTGCAAGCAGTACTGCTGAAATTGTGCTTACGTCTCGACGTGCAGAATTTCATTCCCTTACTGTGTGCGGAACCTGACGTACAAAAAGGTCTTAGTATGCCAAACGGCCGCCGAACTAAATCCATTGGTTCATCTCATCTCAGTGGGAGTGGAATTCGTCATTCAAAACGCGCGTGTGCAACAGTGTCACCGGTTTGCATAGCGAGCTATGTGGTGGCCAGTGTCTCCGATGTCTTCATGCTTTTCCTTTGGATAATCGCCGCAGGTTGGGAGAGGAACTGGTAGTGCCTGATTAAATGACGATTTTTTGTTGCAAAGTCAAAGAGCTGTTCTATAACGCATCGGGCTTATAACGTCATACGGCAAAACTACTGCTGCTGGTTGGTGGTTGACCACAGTTAGCTCAAGGGGTTCCACGGCTATGATCGTTGCTTGAGACAGCAACGACCGGATTGATAAATAAAACATGAACGGAGTTGGTTGAGCGTTTGTGCCGCAAGAGAATTCAGATCATTCGAAGGGAGAAACGTCATAACTACGTTTTCGCGTTGTCATGTGCTGCGTTTAGGTCGCTATGCTAGTAGTTGCCAGTACAACCAGTGAAGGCGTGCATCCCGCTCTCCATCGGGCACCGCCTCATGCCAAAGGATTGGACTCGTACGGGGCTGTACGGGGGTTTAAAATCAAAGCTGCGCGGAGCTCTGACCGATTAAAAGATGGCGTGAAGAAAAGTGAAGGAATACACCGTACTTCAGACCCCAATAGTTTTTGTTTTTCTGCAGGATAAAACACGGCTGCAGTGCAGTTATTGCTTAACCAGGCCCCTGAATCAGGACAATAGGTCACCTTTACTTCACCAGGCCCAGGACATTAGGTTGGCACCTGGACAAAGGCGCGAGCCAAATCAACAGTCTTGACTCGAATACGCCATCCTGGCACAAGCATCAAGAAATGGGCAGCACGGCACGTGGTGTCATGTGCACGACAATCATCACACACATATACACGCGCACATCGCCTCACACTACCGACAGCGCCAACACTTGGCGGCACTACGAGGTGCGTAGTGCAAAATCACGCTGTCAGCATCCGCCGTCCGCTCCCACAGCTACTTAGATTACAATAAATAAATTGTACGTCCTCGCAACATCACTCCATGACACAGCAGTGCACCTTGGGCAGTTTCAGTGATTCACGCCGCCTCCACGGGTACATGCCAAGAGTTACGAATTAAACCTCCGGGGCATGCTGCGCTGCAGCGGTCTGTTAAGTTAATGCAAGAGCCACGAACGGAGGATGGAGGGTGCATTGGCACTTCACCACCATCATTTGCTCCGTGTGATAAGATTAATGTCGACGATTGAATCATGTCATGGAAATAAGAAGTGCTTCCTGGACTCGATGGCATGCCGAATTAGAATGCAACTATGGATCAACATTGGCTGTGCATATGAACATGGTCTGCCCATGAAAAACGTTACTGCGGTCACTACATTTCCGCTGCAACCTGCCATTAGTTGCGATGTCCTCCAGCTGCCCTTGAACCGATCAAAGTACCTAGTAATTGCTTGCTCTAGGACTATACATTTGCTACGCTGCACCGATGGCGCGCAGGGCATCATCCATGGCTGCAAGCCGCCTTGCCAGCATGGATGCGCTCTCATCCAGGCCGGCGCTGCGCCTTAAGCTGGCCGGTGTGACTTCCCTGCTAACAGCCTGCTGTTGAAGGGTTTTACCATCTGAACTGGAATTGGGACGCAATGCCACGGTTGCTGGGCGCTGGCCAAAGTCGTATGTCCCCGCGGCCACAACTTCGCCAACCCCAGTCCAAATGGACTCCCCACGGAGCCGCGCAGACTGATTTACAGCTGTACGCGATAAGACCGGATGATGCTGATTGCCACCTGCGCTTGCATCCTGGACCGGCCTCCCCGCTACTGGATTCGCGCTACCAGCATCCGTTTGACTTGAGGGGACATCCTCCCGGGGCCAAGCGGTGCCAGGCTTGGGCGTATTCGTCGCCCCCGCTGCGGTTGCTTGCTCTAGCGGGTTAGGCATCCCGCCGTGCAGCACTGCAAGCGGGCTTGACGCATTTCTTGACGCATTGGCGGCCTCGCTGCGACGCGCATCTCCACGTGGAGACTCCCCCCCAGAGTATCCACTCTCAGTCACATTTTCAAAGTCCCGGCCGTGTACACCACGTTGTGTAGGCATGGTCATCCCTTGGGTCACCTGCTCAACAGCACGGCTTAAGGACCGCAGTACAATTGTATTGCGGGGGCTGACCACTGGACCTGCGCTGCCTTTGGCGCTGCTGGGGCTAACGGCTGGGCTCTGCGCCTGAAAGTCTTCCGAATTGATTGCTCGGATAGATAGCTCTGAAGGAGTACGGCGAGGAGAAGCGAGGCTGGAGCCCGATGTAAGCCGGTAGGAGGCAACTTGCAATGCTGCATTGGCTACTGATGAGGCAGCAGGCCGCGCCATATACACGGAGGTGGCCACGTCCTGCGACTGTGAAGGCGAAGTCGGCTGTTGGTTTGCACATTGTGGCAGCCATACAGAGAAACGAGACGAAAACCGTCGGAGGTGGTCGGACATAGATGCCCCCGTGTACCTGCGCTGCAGAGATGCCATGGCGGCAAGGTCGGCAGCAGCAGCTGCAGAGGTGGGCATTGGCGCACCATCGGCATCCGCACTGCCCGGACTACCTAACACAGCTGCTGAGGGGCTGGGGCTGCGTCCAGCAAACGCCTGGCTCCTGAGGCCACCAGGCGATAGGGGCGATGGGGGTGTGCTTCGAGTGCCTGCGCCAGCCGCTCCCGTGTTGGTTGGGTTGGCACCTGCTTGGGCCCAGGATGCGCGAGCTCTCAGAACCAAGCCTGCCGAACTTACGCGTCCTAAATTTGAACGCGGCGAGCTACTGTTCGTCGGCGTAAGTCGAACCAAACTCGAGCGCGGGGAATCATTGCCGGGGTTACCACCAGTTTCCATAACATCCGCTGCATCTATGCTTGTACGTCGACCAGTCGCATCATCCTGCTTCGCAACACTGCAAGTTGGCAACAAAAGCGCACGCTGAGGAACGGCTCGCGCCTGAAAATCGAAGGGGTAACTGTGTGGGGCCACCATTGCCACTTTGCGTGCGGGACAAAGATTGCAGTTCCTTATAGGCGTTTAAGGTAGGCAACAAATGGGTATTGCAAGCATGGTAGATGTTTGGAGTATCGTATACGGCTGGCATGCTACTAGTTACGCGTGCAGTCGATGCCATGTATGACGCCTTGTCGCAAGCCAGGACTGGCTGTTAGAACTAACTACCTTCCACAAGCAAGTTTGGTGTTTCCATATGACCTCCCAAGGCATACCTCGAGGATGTGGAGCCGGTGCCAAGAGCTGTAGGATGCATGGCTGTCGGCAAATTCAAACCGTTCACTTCTGTTGCAGACTCGTTAAAGCCCGTGGATTTGTGGTGCTCCGAGGCACCCTCCCTTGAGTTGCCTTCCGGTTGGGCACCATGTGCCGTGTTGCCCCGCTGAAGTGTGGAACGGGGAGACCCTGACTCGCTTGTGCGCGGAACCTGCAGTTTGTGCAGCTTCAAACCGGGCACTAGCGCCGGGATTGCTGTCGGCTGTGAGCCAGCGGCAAATTCTGAGCTGGCTGAAGGCGGGCCCGCCTCAGGACTAGTGCGATTAAGCGGGCCGCGACTGCCCCCAAACAAAGGGCTCGTGGAAGCATTATCACCCCGGCTTTGCACGTCTTGAGTGGCATGCTGCAAGGGTTAGACAGGGAGATCACCATTATTGACACCAATGGCTTTGAGCGCATCGCAGCAAGGCGGGTCAGGTCAAGAAACATGGCCAGGCATTTGTCGCAAGACGTGTCCAAAAAAGATGTTGTGCACGGTAACTTACGCCCTGGGAAGCGCCTTTGGGGGCGTCAGCTTCAACTGCAGCTGCCGTAGTTGTTAAAGCTCCAAGTCGTGCTTGAAGCGCAGCCACTTGGACCCGAAGCTTTTCTGCTGTCTCTTTTGCCTGAATTTCTGCCGCTTCTGCTCTGTCAAGCTTCTGCTCCAGAGATTCCTTCTCCCCGACCAGGGCCACCAAAGCTGCTTCAGCTTCAGCTAACACACGATCATTGGCTGTCAGCTCCGTCTGTAGCTTTGCGATCTTCGTTTGCGCGTCCGTCAACGCGGTCCGGTGCTTGCTAACCTGTCATAGCACACCGCGACATTGCATCCAATTAGTTGAAGTTAAGCACAGGAGCTTAGGATGTGTAGCGAGGTCATTACTCGTTAAGGAAAAACTGGCGGGCGGGGCTATGACTAATGTGCGCACACCGGCTGCCGGCAATAGGTGATGGAATCCGTCAACGATAGAAGTTTGTTAAGAATCTTATAACTATTTATGCTTTAAACTGGAGAATCTCTGATGCTGCTTTAGCAGTAGGAGCCCATCCTGGACAATCACTTTCCTAACAGTGAAAGACGCGCACTAAGAAAGCATTCGCATATTAAGGTAAACTGGAGACACAAATATACATGCTAGCCAGGACTTGTCCTCTGCTAGTTCGTGCGGCTTTGCTACGAGCTACGGTCCCGTTGCAGCACCGCAAGGGCTTAGGACTGCTGTACGTTCCGGCAAATTGAACATCATTTCGTTGCCAGATGGCCTTGGATCAGCCTGCTGCTGTCTGGGTACCAGCGGCGGATATGCGCAAAAGGTGGCAAACGGATATTAAGTCAAAACCAAAGCAGGTGGTTCGCTGGTTTCGCAGAAGTGACTATAAAGTGCGCCTCAGCGAGTGTGTGAAAGTGTATTGACAAAGACTAAGCCGATCAGCATGTTACAGTTCGGACTCGTCCGTGCGAGGCAAAGCATCCCGGCTTTATGGCGGCCCAAAACGTACCACCTTGCGTTCCTAGCTCAGGAGAGCGGACAAACGTAAATACCTAGGGATGCAAAACAATTAGAACACTAAGTATGGGTTGCCACGCGTCATGGTTTGCAGCCCTTGGACCAATCAGGCTTACCAACTCTCCATATCGTCAACTACTAAGCAACTCGGCTAATATCTCCTGGCCCCCGCCAAACCCTCTTCTGCTAATGGCAGCCGCACCTCTGCCTCCGCCGACTCCGCCCGCTGCTGCGCCTCCCTCAGCTGCCGCCCCGCGTCGCGCAACCGCTCGTGCGCTGCATCCAGATCTTGGCGCAGCGCCGAAATGACCGTGTTGCCCTGCATAACGCCCGGGCTGAAACCTAATGTCGACTGTGCCCCGCCCGGCCCCGACGGCGCGGTGGGCTCAGCACTTGGCATGTTTGGCGCGCCCATGAAAGTGGCCCCACCCGATAGCTGTGCAAGCTGCAGCTGCAGCCTCTGAATAGTGGCATCCTTATCCGCGGCCTGGCGACGCATGTCACTTTCTGCATCACGCGCACTCTGAAGTGCAGCCTGCAGCGTCTCCATGCGGGCTGTTATCGCCTGCTTGGTAGCGCGCATACGCTGCAGGAGCACACTGCTGCTGGCCTCTTTGCCCGCAAGTTCTTCGTCCAACTGCTGCGCCTCCTCGTCGAGTGCCGCTAGAAGAGCTTCGTACTGAGAGAGGTCACCAGCCCCGGACAGCAGAGCACCTATGCAATGAGCAGGGAAAGAAAAAACACAACCGCGCAAGCATTGGAACACGGCTACAACGGCTGTGCCAGACGCATAGGCCCTCTGCAATTGAAGGTATCGCGAAACTCGAAACGGCATGTCGGAACATGAAGGCAAATTGTTGCCCCAAGGTTGGCATACCCTTGCGTTGCCAGTACACAACATTCTCATGACCAACTCACGGCCGGCATGAAAGCTAAGCTGATCTTACCGATCGCATCACTACCAACTTGCCTGTATCAAGCGGTGCCGCCAGCAATGCTTGCAAGTTGTCTGATCGGCCATTCGGAGAAGGTACGAGCGATGCAAACTCGTCCGCAAGCTGTCTTGCCACGTGCAGTGGTCTTGCCGAATCGGTCCCTGCTCCTGTGTCTGGCACTGGAGGGATTCCGCCCCCGCCGATCGTGACTCGCGGGTCAACACTGAACGACGGCCCGTGAGTTGAGAATCCTGAGCGCCCGGACTGCGTCAAGCCGGCAAGCGGAACGGGTGAGCCCTTTCTCTGAGACGCACATTGCAAAGGCAAGTGGGCAACACAAGCTGGCCTACCTGATATTTTTCCAGCTCAGCTTTAATAGCATGGAGCTCGGCCATCAGCCGTGCCCTGTCAGCGGCCAGCTCTGCTGCTTCTCCCCGCGCTGCCCTGGCCTCCGCGGCACGCACCTCCATCTCAACGGTCAGGCTTGCGTGACCGTCGACTAGGCGTGCGTTTTCTGCCTCAATCTGCCGTACCGTTGCCGACATATTGTCGAGTTGCTGGGACAGCTCAGCATTGCGGTCGGTGAGTTGCCGGGTGTCCTCCTAAGGGGCATTACACAAATGAAGGGTTTTAATGCTAGGGATTGCAGTGAACCCTCATAGATTACATAAAACCTCAAGAGGCATTCCATGTGTAACGTGATTAAGCGAAGCCAGGTATGCCTTGCTGCATGAAATTGAGGAAAACACCAAGAAAATACGTACCAGAAGCCGTTGCACACGCGCATTGGCGATCTGTAGCTCCGCTTCCAATGCACTATGACCTGTGCGGAGGCGCTCGAGATCTTGTTCAAGCTCTGTGGTTGCGGCGACCGCAGTGCGGTGCGAACGCTGTGCCTGTGTCATGGCTTCCGTGGTTGTCTCCAGCTCGCGCTGCAGGCGGCGGCATTCATTGGCATGCTCCTCCCTGCGTATCGGAAAGCATGAGGGCACGAACTTGCACGCTAACGCGAGAGCAGGTATACGGGAGACAGTCAAACCTTCAGACCCTGTCTAACACGGATTGGTGAGCACAGTCATGTCGAATAGCAATATGCATCACCGAATCTTCCTACCTGCGACGATGCTCGTCTTTGACCTGGCTCTGGAGGGTCAGCACCTCACCGCGGGTGCGCTCAAGCTCATCGTGAAGGTTTCCATTTGAGTGCTGCAGCGTTCGGTACTCAGCCTCGGAGGTGGCAAGGCGAACCTGACAGCACCGATGGCCAGGACAAGTCCATTACTTACCAACGGTTGATGTGGATTTTGTGATGTGGGGCTCCTAAGACTGTTAATCACGCACAGCACACAAGTTGGGTGTCCCCGGAGTTACATACGAATTCGAAAAAGCCCTTAGACTTCCCTTATCAGTATTTGGCCCCAAACTCACCTGTAGTTGCTGCAAGTCTGCCTTGATACGCTCTTCAGCAGCGGTTGCGGCAGCAGTGCTGCGGGCATGCTGCATCGTCATCTCGGATAGCTGCTTCGAAAGCTGGTTGCGTTCACTTGTGGCTTCTGTGGACATGAGCGAGTGGATGACAGAGAAAGTTGCATGATTACCAAATGGTTTCGCTATACAAGCCTCCAACGTACGCCGGAGGCCCCTTGCCGGCACGGCTGCTTGGGCGACCTAGTCATGACAAGGTAAATCTCACCTTCAATCATGTTCGACGCGCTTGCAAGGTCGGCCTTGAGCCGTTGCAGCTCCGTTGTCATGCTTGCCACCTCCACCTCCAACTGGTAGGACTTCTCACGCAAAATAGCAACCTCGTGCTCTAGCTCAGCTGCAATGCAGGACAGCGAGCGCAATAGGGGGGTGACCGAGGCCCAAATATTGCCATGACTAGGATACTTGCTACGTGGGAGGCAGAACGCCGAGGATGTTTCTCACCAGCTCTGTTGCCTCTGCTGGTTGCTAGCGCTGTGGACGAGGCCAGATCCTCCTTCGTCTTCAAAAGGCCACGCCGTGCCTCCGCAAGTTCCTGTTGCAACAGCTGGACCTGCTCGTTCGTCCGCGTGTTCGCTTCGTTGGCACTACGAAGCTGAGCCTCTGCTCTTTCGGCACGTTCTACTGTCGCCGCGTGGTCTGCCTGCACACAGCACAAGCATTGCCTCCCTTACAACGGAGTACGTTACACGGACAATGGCTTCCAGACAGGCGGTCTTTGTTAAGCAGGCTCCCATCGCTGGTTTGTCCTCACCTGGAGCTGCGCGTGGCCCTCCAGCCGGTCGGCAGCAGCACTGAGATCGGCTTTCATGGTTTGCAATTGTCCCAAAGCCTGGTCCAACTTCAGCTTCAACGCTGCAGCCTCTGCTTGGGTGCCACTAGCCTGAGCCAATTGGGCCTGAAATTTGCAGCATAGGGAAGGGAAAGGGCTAACAAAATACATAAAATTGCCCTGGATGTGGACGGGCTTGGATAGCTGCGTTAACGTACCTTAAGCGTAGCGATTTGCTTCTGGGATTCCTCCACTCGTGCATTGGCTTGCTCCTCACCTTGGACAGACCGTTTCTGCATCGCAGTAGCTTCCTGCAACTGAGACTTCAACCTGCGCGAAACCAATGGTTGTGAACGCCACGTTAGCGATATCAGACCTGGGTACGGGGATCGACCTCGTGCGTGAATACATGGTTTCCGCTGTAACGCCTTTCCGCAGGATAAGCCAACTTACACGCGAACCTCATCCTGAAGCTCGGCCAACTCCTGTAACTTGCCCTTGGCGCGTTCCTGCGCTGCTGCTAGCACTGCACGCTCTGCCTCCGCGGCTTGCAATGCACCTTCAGCGCCTTCTAAAGCGACTTGCAAACGATCTCGCTGGTGTGAGACCTCATCGGCGACTGCCTGCAAGCGTGCGCAGCGCCTCACCGCTTCGCCAAGCTCCTCCTCAGCCGTCAACTGTTAAGGAGAGGGCAATGTACATGGTTCCATGTTCGTTGGCCAATGGTAATCGTTTGGTGCTATTGATGGTGTCCGTACGAAAGAGCCATGTTGACCATTCAACGCGTATTGGTCCCAGAAATGACCGCATAGAAAGCTGCGACTTAGTCTCACACTGGCCTACACAACCCGTACGCAGCTTCACCCCAGCCGTACCAGCTGAGCTCGAAGCTTCTCTTGCTGTCCTATGGCGGCGGCATGAGCCGCACGCGCTTCCTCACGTCCTTGATCAACCTCTGCTAAGGAGGTCTCCAACCGTTGCAGCTGCGCCTTCAGCGCCGCAATACTCATTGCCTGCACAGACGCCTCCTGCAGTTCGCTGCGTGCTGCATCACGCTCGCGGGTTACCGTTTGCAGCAAAGCATTGACTCGCCGCGCCTCCGAACGCACCCTACAAAGGCAATTCACCGAAACGCACCGTGATGATTACGAAGTGGACAACAGAAGGCCAGCAGGTATCTCGTAGATTGCATACTAGGACAGGTTTCAGGCCGATACGTAAACCTCAACACAAAAGGCTGTCAACCCGCAGGATCGCTGGCTATCCCTCGGCCTGCTGCACCCTTTTCCACACCTGTCCATCTCAACAAGCTGTGCGCGTGCCTCTTCAAGCGTAATCCGCAGCCCTTGCATCTCCGCCAGTTCCGCCTGTGCCTTGCGCAGGTCAATATGTAGCCCCTCCACTTCAGCCAGCTGCGTCCGGCAGACTTTGAGCTCAGCAGCCAGGTGCTCGCACTTGCGGGCTTGCACCGTCAGCTGCTCCACCTTGGCCTTTAGCTTATCTGCATTCGCCGCCTGCTCCTCAAGCACCTGAACCCTACTGCACGCCGCGCTGTATCGTGCCTTCACATCGTGCAGCTCATGGCGCGTGCTGCGCAGCTCACTGCGCACGTGCCTACGAACATACGGACGCCATCGCCGTTCAACGTTTGGTGAATGACTCAAAATAGCCTAAGAGGACGGAAAAAAGCTGAAAGATACTCCAGCTTTGACAAGTTTGCGGAATCCCTCACCTTAGCTCGTCGGCCAACGCGCTCGTGCCATCTATGAAGAGCTCCAGGGGTCCAGTTGATTGCGCCAAGCGTGATGGCGAACCGCCGGCTCGGGACCCCTGACCACCATCGCTGCTCCTCACCTGGTCACTGCTAATGCGACTAGGAGCAGCGCGCCACCTTGCGGACCCTTTTTGCGCATCTCTGCCGGTCGGGCCCGGATCTGGTGATGGCGTTGCATAGGCGTCTGCCCATAATCGAATAAGCGTACTGTTGCCTTGGCCTATCAAACCGGGAGTGGAGGCTTCTCCCATCACGTCTGTGTCAAACCCAGAGCGCTTGCAGCTGTCTGACTCGCCCAAAGCGGACCTGCGGGGCGACCCCATGTCCAATGCTTGGTCTGTTGGGTCGTTATCCTGCGTTCTCCGGGGACGTCCCATAGTACTGTGCCATGGAAGACGGCGTGGGCTGCGGTCCCTTTCCTGCGATGACTGCACACGTGACTTTGGTGGCGCCGCCAACGCAGCTATGTCCGGATTATTGGCTAGGTGCAGCACCGCGGCATGCAGTTCTCGGCTGTCTGCAGAAAGCCGATCGTATCGCCGCTCGGCATCAACTGCACGAGCATCTGCTGCATCGGCATACATCAATGCCTGCTGCAATCGGGTTTCAAGTGCAGCCGTGTGTCCCTCAGCAACCGCCAAGCGCGTCTCAGCCTGCTGCGCCCGTGTAATTGCGGCAGCGGCCCGTTCCTCGGCCTCCCTAGCGCGCTCCTGGTCCTGCAGTGACGCGGCTTCCATGCGTGCTGCATGGCGCGCCTCATCTTCCGCACGTTCGCGCTCTTGTGCAAGCAGCTGCTCAACGTGTGCTGCCTTGGACTCAGCTTGCGTTGCTTGCGCCCTGGCCTCCTCTGCTCTGGCGCGCGCCTCTTCTATAGCTTGCTCCGCACGAGCGGCACGCCGTTGTGCAGTCGCCACATCGTTTTGGGCCTGCTCTAGTGCCTGCTGCATGCGTGCCACATGACGCTCGGCATCAGAGACACTTTGCCGGTCCTGCTGTGCGGCTTGCTCCGCCCGTACTGCACGTTTCTCCATCTCGTTGGCATGGGTACGAGCATCCATTGCCGCCTGTTCGGCGCGCACCAGACAACGTTCAAGATCTGCAACGGTCTCACCCTGTGCATGCTCCGCTCGCACGGCTCGTCGATCGCTCTCTGCTATCCGTGCCAAAGCTTCCTGTTGCGCCTGCTCTGCTTTTCCGGCTCGCCGCTCTGCATCAAGAGCACGCGCCTCAGCTGCTTCCAAGCTTTGGGCTGCTCGGGTCGCTCGACGCTCCGCCTCTTCTGCACGCGCCAACGCTTCAGCATGAGCTTGTTCTGATCGCCCTGCAAGACGCTCGGCTTCTTCGAGTGCTTGAGCAGCCCGAGTAGCTTTCCGGTCCGCGTCTAAGCAAAATTGGTGTGCCTCTTCCGCGGCCTGCTCCGCTCGAGCTGCACGCCGCTCAGCTGCATCTGCTCTTGCTCGCTCCTCATCAACTGCATCCTCGGCAAGGGCAGCTCGCTGGTTGGCTGCCATTGCAGCTGTGCGCGCCTGCTTAAGCTCCTCTTCCATGCGCCGATCAGCCGCTAAAGCCCGCTCCCGCTCTTGGGCAGCTGCTTGCTCTGCACGCGCGACACGACGCTCTGCGTCCGCTATCCGTCCTGCTTCGCTCCCAGCAAGCTGCTGGGCACGCCCTACTTGTCGTTCAAGCTCTTGCGTCTGTTCCTGCAGCTGTTCCAGTAAGTGCTCTGCCCGTGTTGCCCTCCGCTCCGCGTCAAGAGCCCGCTCATGGTCTTCAGCAGCTGCTGCTTCTGCACGCGATGCACGCTGACAGGCGTCAGATGCCCGCGCCTGTTCCTGTGCAGCGATCTGCTCCGCACGGGCTGCTCGGCGTTCTGCGCTTTGAAATCGTTCGTTCGACGCTTCAAGTGCCTGCTCCATGCGAGCAGAGGCCCGCTCCACATGCTGCACACGCGCTGATGCTGCTGCTCGCTGCTCCGCTTCGCTGAGCCTCTGCTCTGTGTCACGCAAGAGCTGCTGCAGCTGCTCACAGCGCAGCTCAGCTTCCTGGGCACGGCGCTGCAAGACGTCCGCCTCTTGACGCAGGTCATCTACCGTCCTGCGCGACCGTGCCAGCTCCCGCAGGGAGGCCGCGGCAGCATCTGAGACCTACCGATTTCAGGAACGGCAATATATAGAGGGCAAGCACGGCGTCATCATTAGGAGTATGCACTCGAAGTGACACTCCGTCCTGAACAGACGTCAGGGGAAACTTCCTGCAGGAGCGATATTTTGTTTCCCTGTTCAGCACTGCGCTGGGTGCATGTCAACATACCTCGCCAGCGCTGTCCACGAGGTTTTTAAGGCGTACATTCTCAGCCTCCAGCTCCTTAATCAACGCGGCGTCAGTCTCCTGCTTCGTCCGCGCGTATTTCAGCTGCGACGATAGCTCCTCAACGTGTTGCCGCAGAGTAGTCATCCCAATTGGGGCTACAGTCGTAGGATCAGGTGGTAGCATCCGGTGCCCAGAACGAACCGCCCCTAATTTGCCGCGATTGTTGGTGCTGCGTTTATCCGGCAATGTGACAGAGCGCCGATATCGTCAATGCACTGTAATGGTCAGCTACCAGCATGTCTAGCTGACTGCAGTAACTGCAGGACGCCGCCAACCGTCTGGCACGTTACCTGTCATGGCTTGGCTGCATGCCAGTGGTACGCACGCGCTCATGCAGCGATCCCATCGGTGTCGTAGCAGTAGCGCCGTTTGTAGTTGTCGTCGTCGTTGTTGTTGTGCGCAGTCGCACGTAGGAAGTGGACCGCCTGCGCCGGGACCGCTCGCTGTCACCGACTGACGTAGCTGGGGATGGCGGTGCCGCATCGCCCGTGTTCCCAACTCCACTTTGCTTGGCCGCATCCTCCTGCGAGTTATTGGCCGTGCGCCAAATGAACCACCGTGGCTTCTATCCGGACGCACAAGTTGCACGAGAACGGGCAGCGTGCTCACCTGGCGCCCGGGGGGAGCGCAGGGAGCAGCTGATGTGTGGGCTTTAATCATGGCTGCAGTGAGAGTTGCAAGCATGTGTACCTCATTCGACGCAGCAGTGAATTCTCGAAGCTGCGCCGGACAGCCACGTAACATGGGCTCTGGTCAGCGCCCTGGCAATCTACCTCTTCTATATGCCGGCTGTGCGCCCCTACCTCTAACCCACCCCTAGTTTGTCGTTGGGCATGGATGAACATCCGTTTTCCATGCCAGGACTTACCGTAGGAGAGCTGCCATCGCTTTCATCTTCGCCAGCTGCAGAAGGAGTTAAGTCGGACATATGCAACGTACTAGATCGGTTTGACGAACATTAACTTGAAAAATATGTCGTTGTATCCTGGTTGCACGACGAGCTTGGCTGCAAGGACTTGGTCAACAACGAAGAGGATAGGCTATTCTTCGTCATGGTAAGGCGTGACACATGCTTAAAATCAAATCTAAGCTTAACACAGATGATACTCACACACTCAAGATGGTTGCGCTTGTGCAAACGAATCCAATCAATTCATCGGAAGTACGGCTCGACCGGAATTAAGAACTCGAATAATCTTACTGCGAATGATGTTGCAAACGTATACACCCCACCTTTCCTTAGTTAGGATGATGCAACTAGGATAAAAATAGACGGTTGAGAAATCACACAGTTAGTAGTTAGATACCTGCTCAGGAGGCCTGCACATGTCATGCATTTGAAACCCCTTACATCCAATCAGCTTACAACTTGCAACAGGAGATCACAAGCAAAAAGCAGGACGCACCCCTTCTACTGTTGATGACCTAGGTAACTGAGTTAAAGGTTAGCGATGAGCAATCAGCCTATTTGCATATTGTACAAGTGGCCAGACTGCTGGGGATTGCCGTCTCTCTCACCAGCATGCATTCAAGCCGAGGTAATTTGGGAATGGAGCCGACCGAGGTCTGCCGAAGCACGCAATTGACAACCCTCGTGTGTGTAGGCATACTTGCGCTTAAGTGGTGTGCAATTTGCTGTGGAGGTGTGCAGCACAAGCAGCTCGTCACCGACAGGTCCGTAACGCGTCTGTCGCGGGGACTTCCACTACATCGTCATTCCGTGCGCTGTTATACCGTGGTCGCAGGACAATTACCCGCGTTGGAAAAAGGGGCGTACATATCGCCCGCGGCGCCGGACGAGTTTGTTTCCGCCGCAGCCGTAATTGCGTACGCGAAGAAGAACATCAAGGATCTTGATGCACACTTATCACTGAGCCAACGCGCGGACCAACTGGCGTTTACAAACCTTATTGACAGCAGGTACGCATCGCTTCCGCCAGGATGCCGTACGGAGGCACTGGACGCCATCGACAAGAGGCATGGCACTTCGGGGCTGGGACGACAGCAAAGCTTGTAGGGCCAGCGAGATGATGAGGGTAATCGCAATGCATGGCAGGAGCTAAGCAATACAGCTAACTAAACACCTAACTGAAGCATTACACCTCTCGCCCAACAGAAGGCTCACATACTGACCCACGCACGCCTGAACATGGCAGCAGCATTCCGTTCCTGTTGGACAGCATGTGCTATACCGCGACAACTTAGTTATCATACGTTATGCCTTCACGTCAAGATATGCTGCAGGTAGACCCTTCCTCCCCCAACACGTCGAGCTAAACAATTCCTTGCCGATGCCACATCCCCGTCGGCCGGTGTATCGTCCCTTTTGCTCCTCCAAAGCACGTCATATGTTTCGCCTATTACTCAATGTGCAGGCTTAACGTCGCAACCAACGTCACGATGTGGTGCGAGAGCCGTGGCTTCAACATAGTGAAAAAGGTAAGGAACAACGAACGAGAAGATAACAGTACTGTTCATGCAGCATGCATGAAAGCGCTGCATGTGATTTTGCCGTTGCTGTTTGGTTACAGGCCGCGTACGGCACGAAGCTACCCTTTCCCTTGAACCAGCTTGTGCCCTGGAGCAAGCAGCGAGAGGTGCGGCGGCGGCTGGCGCAGACGGACATGGATCAGGTACGTCTCACGACCTCGGCGCGGCCAATCCATGCCCCACTCCACATACGCATGTAGGGTCGCTCGATGCTGGTATAAACCCCAATACCTTAGTGGGGCAGTGGCCTAATTCGACCCGTATCTGATGCTTCCAATCTGCATAAATGGATCTGATTCAAGTTAGCCAATCCTGTGCACGGAGTAGGACAGACACCATCCGAGTAGCTTTTTAGTAGCGTGCGGTTCAGCGGTGGGCCGCCACCGCTACTTGCAACCCAAGACTGCATGAGAGCATGCCTGTTCGTAGCCCAGAAAGGATGCGTTGCAGGCCTATTTACGCATGTAGCGCTGCAGGTGGCTAGGCAGCTGCATATCCCACGGACTAGGGCAAGAAACTGTATCTGCATGTGTCCAAGGCCACAGCCGCCTTCAGCCCCCATGCCGGAATGCCCCAAAGCCGCTTGTGGGCGATTAGAGAGAGCCTTTATTTCCGCATGGCTGTACATGTGCAGGTGTATCCGAGAGCAATGGAAGTGTTGGACGCAGTGGCGGACCACCTTCGATCTACCGGGGCCCCTTTCTTCTTCGGGTCGCATCCCACAAGCTTGGATGCGCTTCTGCTGGGTCACCTGCTATTTTACCGCTTGTCGCCCGCGTCTGCACCAGTGCTGCAGGACAAGGTACGGGCCATTTGATGGATGTGGCCAGGGTGTGCCCGACCGGCCGATATGGCACAAGGGTTTCTAGATAAGTTCACGGGTAGTTTTGGAAAGACTGACGGTGCTAGAGGGGGAGTTTATGGATTGAAGACGCGGCTGCCCAGGGGAGCGAGCTTGTGACCCACATTAGAGACATGGGTAGTTTCTTTCAATTCGAGGATACCAGCATGTGGCGGGCAAAGCAGGTTTCATTAGGTTCCGCAGCATGTGCAAATCCATGAGTCGGGGCCCTGCACGTCTATGGCACGTGAGTTGTTGTCTCACATTGCTTTTGGATCTAGAATCATTGTTTCATGCGTACAGGTGCAATCCCAGCGCGTGCTCTGCGAGTACGTCGACCGGCTGATGAGCCTAAACTTCTTAACACCCGCTACGCCACGTTCCGCGATCGAGTCCGGCACCGGGGGCCCCAGCTGGTCGGATGCAGCCAGGGTAAGGACAAGCGTGAGGCGGCAGAATGGCCACCGACACTTCGGTTTGGGATCCGTCACGCTGAGCCGGCTGCCTGGGCACTTGTAATAATGCATTGCAACGCTGGGTGCCATAACCGTGTGCCGTAGACTGGGGGCTTTTGAACGCGGTGGTTCCTGTGACCCTGGGGTTTTCAGGGACGCGCACGGCTCTTGATAGGGAGCCACAATTGTGCGTTGACTATTGCACTTGGGAACGGTTAAATGTTGCAAGACAAAGAACGGTCTGCCTACCATTTGTCCTTAACTCTGTAGGGCCAGAAGAAGACCCCGGCCCCCACCGTGGAGCCCAGCTCTGCTGAGCGGCAGTTCCGACGCCACAGTTACTACTGGTTGCTGGGGGCCGGCACTGCTATAGCGAGCTACGTCTTGCTCAGTGGGAGGTATATCCAGGTAGAGCCTATGGTACCTGTGGAATGTGTAGGGGGTTGGTGGTGAATGCCCGCCGTTCGGCGTGTCCTCAGGCCTTCCCGCCGCCAACTAGACGCTTGCACTTTTTAGCGCACATATCTCGATGACCAAAGAAATGGTGAGGTTTACGTTTTGTTCCGTCCTGTCGTCTGGCTGCGCTGGAATTGCGATAGGGCTAATTATTGCTTGCGGCCCCGCACGTCATTACCCACAGTTCGCAACGGTGATGGAGCAAGGTGGGGAAGACGAGGGTGACGACGACAGCGATGACGATGATGAAAGCGAACAGTAATTTTGTAATGTGCAGCAGGAGCTGCTAAGCGAGCTGGGCCAGACAGGAAATTGGTGTCGGACTGAAGCTCTCCATGCGATGCTTAAAATTTGGACTTCGGACGTCATGAGGTCACTTTGGACGCGGCATAGAGGCTGTCGCTTGCTGTATCTGTAACTAAGGGAAAAGGATCCATTTTTTCGTCCCTACTTCGTGGAGCAACTGCATGAGAATCTGAAAGCAACGCAGCTTTCCCTCCTGTGAAGGCAAAGGAAAACGTCCCGGCGAGTGTTCGGTGCTAACATTTCTGGATAACATTTGGAACCGTTATCATATTGGACTTATCCACACCGGGACTAGATAGAAACAAGGCGTGAAATTCTTTGTGTCGTTGCTTCAGGATGAGCGCGACAACTAGTGGAGCCGAAGTTGGGGGGCAGCCGCAGGCGTCCGAGATCTCCGAAGCTGCAAAAGATGTCGCACATCGCATTGTCCAGCACACGGTTGGCTTGCAGGAGGGACTTGCGCAGCATGGCAACGGGTTAGAACCATGGGTCGGGGCGAAAGGTAGGCCTGAATCATGGGTGTGCTCTTGCGTAGGCATTCTTCGCCCAACTTCCCCACTGCAAGCTGCAAGCGGTTCTTGCATTACCGCTTTGAGGAGCGTATTGCCTGGTAGACGACAATATTGCTTGGTTGCTCCGGTGGGAACGTCACCCCGGTTCCTTGCGGAACGGCGATGTGTCCAGCTGTTCGCATTTCTCCTCGGAAGGGCGGGCTGTGTTTGCAACTGAATCCGGGACGATAAGCTTGCCAGCTTTGCTTCACCTTCCTATCTCTTTATTGGCCGAGCTACATAACAGCTTCTAGGTGCAGCAACGACCGCCGTGCTCGGTGGATTCCTTCAATTCCTTTAATTCCTAGACTTGCTTCTGGACTTGGTTCGGCATTGACAGTTTTACTTTTTCCATCCCCAAGGCGCCGTGGTAGGCCAAGGCGTCGGTGTCGCGGCTAAGGGTAAGGAGGATGTGGCGCCAGCCGGCCCAGCAGACGTACAGACCCGGCAGCTACCACATCAGCTGCAGGCGTCACTCCAAGGAAAACATTCGAGACCGCCAGGCGAGCAACCGCAGTACCAGCCCCCGAGCCCCCGAGCCGCAGGCCTAGAAAGGACTCCCGAGGCGGGTGCAAGTGGAGGCACTTCGGCCGGCCGCCAGGGCAAGGCTAAGGCGGCTGCTGTTGCGGCGGCCAAGGGCGCAGCCAGCACTGGCCGAGCTGCCAAAGGTGCCGCTGGGGCAACGGTGGAGCGCGCCGGCGCGGCCGCCAAGGCGGGATCCAAAGCGGGCGGCGAGGCGGCAGTCAGGATGGGGGCGCAAGGTGCCAGTGGTGCTGCGAAAATGGTAGAGCAAGGCGCGAGCGGTATGGCCAAGATGGCGTCGCAAGGGGTCGGCAGGGCGGCGGCCGTGGCCAGGGAGGCCCCTGGCGTGGTGGTCAGTGCTACCAAAGGCGCGGCCAGCGCCTCCCGGAGGGCAGTTGGAACCGCGGCGTACGGCGCACGGTCGGCTGTCCAGACAGGTCGCGGCGCGGCAAGTATGGGTGCCTGGGCGGCGGGTGCCGGCGCCGACGCGGTGCAGCGGGGGGCAATGCGGGTGGCGCAGGGCATCCAGACACTGTTTCACCTTTGGTATTTTGCGGTCGTACAGCTGCCGTACAGGTACGAGCTTTAACGCGCGTGTACTGACCGCGGCCGGTACACCGTTTACCTGGACCTGCTGAAGCGTCAATGCAGGCCCCGGGTGTGCAAGCCATGTTAAAAGTTGCTGAAAGCATGATTTTGGCGGCGCAGATGCATTCCATTAATGTTTAGCCGGCAAAGCTGTGGCTGTTGATTGTGCCAGGAGTAGAGACCTAGTGCTTTAAGGTGTCTTGGATATCTGAATACAAGAACCGACAGAACACGCACATGCTGCAAACGGTTTACTATTCATTCACATGCCCGGGCGCTACTCGACACATCCAGTACTCGCTTTCGGGTACACGGCTAAAGCTGTGAGCATGTTGGCTACTCCGTGCCCAAATGGAGCGTCACAGGTTGGCTGCTGGGAGCCTGCACATGGGATGGTTGGCTGGTAACTCTGCGGCTTCCGCTGCATCCCGCGGCGCTGTGTGGTTTCTGGACTCGGCCACCTGGGCGGGCGAGCTCGCTTATCGGTAGGCGCCTGTCGGGAAGGTGGGACTCTGATGCCTGGAGGGCCTCTGGCCTTGCCAGGGGATGTCTGCAGGCGAAGACCCGGGCCCTTTTTCTACTACTACAGCGGCGACGCGTTGTGTACTGTGCCTTGGCAAATTTAGGTTTGTTAAGGCAGGTACCGTACCTCAAGCACAACCTGAACTAAAGCGCCTTATAGCCGTCCAAGGACGCGTGTACTGGGCCTTTCCCCTTGGCAAGTTTCTGTCTGCGTATATGTGGTTCAAACTTATATTTTATTCTTGGACGTCCGCACGCGAAGACGACACTCCTCTTGCGTCCAGGCCCGAAGGTGCGTAGAGCTCCTCTCACGGCGCGTGCTCGTGTGTTGATGCCTTCAGGTGGCTCCTGGACGGCATCATGCGAGTCAATCGCGGCATGGACGCCGCCATTTCCGCCACACCGCCGCTGGTCAAGGGCCAGCTGGCGCGTGCGGCCGTGGTGGCTGCACCCGAGGGGCCGGAACTGGTAGACAGCCTTTATAACAAGTCCCCGGCGCAGGTGCGGCGAGGAGGGAATGGCGTGGAGCTAAGGGCCGGAGAGGGCTGGCGGGGGCCTCCTGTACGGCAGCCGTGTGGACAGGTGCTATGGACGTATCTAAGATCTGCTAGGCGTTCACTGTAGCTGTGATGCCGTCACGGAGCGTCTATCTATTAGCGCTTCCTACAGCGCGGTAGGCTTTGGCTGCTAGGACCCTAGCGTTGCGGATACATGGCTTGGGGGCACATGGCCCCGGACTTGACTGTTCAAAAGGCGTTCAATGGTTGTCAGGAAATGCTCCATGGATATGGGTGAGTGAAGTCCCCGATCATGGAGCAATCTTCCAGATTACGTTGGGTTGCTGTCAATGTGGAACTCTGACGTGTGCCGCGTGGGTTGTCTCTCATTGCATGGTTGTAGGTCGGCGGCATCTTCCGGGGATTGACAGCTGCCGCAGCTGCTGTGAAGCAGGAGCCCCTGGTTGTGGTGAGCATGGGTCAGGAGCGTACCGCCGCTAGCGAGCCACGTTACATCTCTCGCGAATTGCGCTACTGGGGAAATAGAAGAAGCTCATCCAGGCCAGGAGCCTAAGCGAAGCTCCTACACGGATATAGTGGCCAAGAACCCAAACCACGGTTTGAAGGTGCGCTCACTAAAAATATATTTTATTTTAACATTGGTATCGGCGCAAGTGTCGCGCTTGTCGTTGTTCTGTTGGCAGGGCGGCGAGGTCAAGGGAGCCGGAGGTCCCGGTGGACATGACCTCGTGGAGCAGGTCAATGCGGCCCTGCATGCAGCCTTCGACCGCCCTGACGTGTCCCTGGAGATGGAGAAGGGGGAGCCGCAGCCGGAGCAGCAAGGGCAGCCGCAGCCGGGAGGGGCGCCGTCTGGGGCCGCTAAGGACGGCGGTGCTGCGGCGCTGCGCTCTGTGGACGTCCTGCACGATAAACTCCTTGACCAGGTGTGGAAAAGGCGGGGTGCATTGTATGGCCTTGCCGTGCCTGGCGTGGTAGGGCCGGATCTTGCATGCTGCTCGCAACGACGGCTACAGCATCATCATGCTATTGCTGCTATGGAGAGGGGTTGGGGTAATATATGAAAATCTGGGTAATGGCGGCGTGTAACCGCGTGCATGTGTGTCGTACATGTATATGTGGTGGTGTACGATGGCATGTATGACGGGAGATGTTGTTGGCTGGAAGGTAAACCTGGAAAACCCAGTAGCCGATGAAAAAGTTCCTGGTATTGCTGTCGATGTGGACAAGGTTGTGCCCTAAAGCGGCCGGCGGCCAACACGCAGTCTGATGTTCCAGCCGGTTTGCGCCCTGCCACCGCGTTTCCTCCCTAGGCTCGGCTGCTGGTGTGGCATTTCTGGATGGTGGGCCGACTGCAGCTCACGGCGGCCGCCGAAGTAGCAGCCGTCACCCGGGGCATGTGGAGCTGGCTACTGCGCTGCGTCGCACACCTGGGGGCGGCGCTGGGACTGCTGGCCGCGATGGCCATGGCGGCCGCCGGCGGAGCCGTCGTCGCCGCCGGCGCCTGGGCACTGGCAAGCGGTGTACGACAGCTACGTATGGCAGCCACGTTGGAAGTCCGCGCGCGCCGGATGTGGTCCCCGCTGGCGCTGCGCGCCATTGACATGGTCTCTGCGCTTGCGGGACCCTTGCTGCGCACCCCACCACTGCCTTCCCCGCGCGGGCGGGCCCTGGGCGGCGAGGAGAAGGTTGCGGAGGCAGAGGAACAGCCCGGCGTGCGGAAGGACGAGGAAGAGAAAGAGAAGCCGGCGCATCCCGAGGCTGCAGCCAAGGCTGCTGAGGATACAAAGCCGGAGACGGGTGGCAAGGAGGGCAGGGCCAAGGGGATGGTGGCCACGGCGGCAGCGGCGGCAGCGCCGCTGTTTGAGGCTATTCGTGGCGGCCAAGCCTACGCGCGGGACTCCCTTGCTGCAACACGACACTTCGTACAGAGCCTGGTACCCAAGTAAGTGTTGACTGGTAGGCGGTTATACGGTTGAGCAAAGTTGGCGCAGTGATTGCCTGCGAGGCAAAGCACATTACCATATGGGAAAAGAAGTCTAAGCGAGGGTGGCCACTGGGACGTGCTATTCAGGCCCGTATTATTGGTTGAGGCATGCGTAAATGCACAGATGCGTAGGCCCCTCCCACATTTGCTGCAGCTAGCTCGGCATTTTCTTGCAAAATGGCTGCTGATTGTTACGTGCACTTGCCCCGTGTTGGCCTACCGGTCGCAACGGTCGGGTCAGCACACTCGTCTGAGGCCCAACCTCCACCCCCATTCCTGACGGCCGCGTGCCCGTGGCAGCCCTTCTCCAGCTTGTCCTGCATGCCCACGCTGATGGTCCACACACAGGGACCCCGAGCGGGAGGAGGCGGAGGCAGCCCGGGCCGTGGAGGCCTTCGCAGAGCTGTCGGCAGTGCTGCGCAGCTCCGATAGGGCTTTCACCACCACCTGGCGCCTGGCGCAGGCCAGCATGGCGGCCCTCACCGACCTGGCAGGGAACCTGATCACTGATGTGGCGCGCAGGTGCGTGAGATGAGACGGTTGAGAGGTGTACCGTCGGCCGGCTTGCACCTACGTAAGCACCAAAGACTTCCTTCCCACGCGCGACGAATTTCCTGCGACGCATTTCCAAGTGAGGGGGACAAGACTTCGTGACAGCATCCCATGTTCGGCGCGCGTTGTGTCTCTTCCCTTCGGGTACCTTGCCACGTACCTTTTACAGGATTCCCTGGGTGGTAAAGCCGAAGTCCTGCGACTGCCGAAGTTTATGGTCTGACACGTACCCGGTAACCCGTCCACCGCTGCTAAGCTGTTCCGTCCCCCTTGGCTGTTCCTTCCCCCTTCTAACCGACCCACCAAACTCATCGCGCCCCTCCCAGGTACCACATCCCGATCCCCAAGTTCGAATGGTTCAAGGGCAAGGCCGCGCAGCTGGCACAGAACCGGGCTATCGCGAGTTTCGCTAAGATCGCGGGCACGGGGCCGGCATCCGTTGTGGCGGGCATGGTGGGCGCTCCCATGCCAATCGCCGCGGGTGGCAAGGGGTATGAGAGCGGCGACGATAAGAACGGCAGACAGCAGGGGGAGCAGGCTGCTGGTGGCGGCGAGGGCAAGGCGACTACCGGCGGCCGGGAGCAGGAGGTCGGGGAATAAAACTCTTGGATAAAAGCCATCAGCATCCCGGCGCAGTTTACTAGGCGTCGAGTACTGTCTCCTACCGGGATCATGCGGACCGCAGGCTTATTGCGCGACTTTCAATGATTGTTGGTGTAAGGTCCCTGATGTAATAGGGTTTCATTGCGTCTCGCTCAAAGTTGAGGGCTGTCACGCAGTTGAGAACGGGTCTGAAAGGGTATTCTTGCGAACGGCATAGCGTGTCAAGCAAAGTTGCAGGCAGGCAGGTTTCGAATAGCGCTTATGCCAAGTGCGCTCTCAGTTCGCTCCTGTTTCAAAGATGTCATATACGGTCATCTAATCTGTACCCGTTGTAATACAGGTGTGGGAGTGCGGAAGCCTTCTTCACGTGTGACAGCTTGCTGTCGAGACTGTTGGGTCCCGTACCTTTTGATGGCATATACTTGAACCAAGTGCATCAAATGGCATCTCAGGAAACAATTGTTTCTCAAGTTTAGCTTACATCACTATGAGACGTGAGGCGTTCGCTATCTCTGTTCTCGTCGTTACGTCCATATTCCAGCGGCCTAATGCGCAACGCCGGATACCCCTAGATGGACCGGAAAAAGCCCGTATAGAGGCCGCGACACAGTTTAAATTATGGCTGCAGCCGGGTAAAGCTCGGTACATGGGCCGGTTTTTAAAAGACACGACTTTCAGCAACACCTGGTATGGCGTTGGCCAGCGCAGCACGACTTTCGCAGGGACGTACACACCACAACAGGGACTCCGAGCAAGATTGGACCGAGTAGTCGGCGCACCGATACCGAGCAACGGCGCAGGCGGCGGCGGCGGCGGAGGCGGCGGCGGAGGAGGCGGCGGCGGAGGCGGCGGTGGGGCTGGTGGAGGTGGCCGCGGTGGCGGGGGTAACCGTGGCGGTGCCAGATTTGGTGGTAGTGGGACCACTGGTGGTGGCAATGCCGGCGGCGGAAGCGCTGGTGCGGTTAGAACAGGCGCGGTAAGGGTGGGGGGTTAGCTGGCTGAGATAGAAGCGGCATAGGCCTTTCTTAGCTCCGTGGCAAACTACTCGTCATGTGTCACTTTGGATAGATGTGTGGGGTAATACCCGTCACGGTTACTTCACGTGCGCGGAACTAGGCTTAGTGCCGTTTGGTTGCAGCTGGTTATTATGCGCGAAGGACCTGGCGGTCTGAAAGCTGTGACAGATGAGGACGGGAAGACCCGTCCGCCCTCAATAACGGTAGCAGCAGCTTGAATGGAGGAGTTGGGGCCGCTACTAGTTGATTTGTGTTGCATCATTTTCTTTCCACTCTGACTTCATACGGTTTGCAATCAACTGTGTCGATAAACTACAGCTGTGATGCGTTTAAACGTTCGCCCACCAAGTGCCAATCCCGTCCCCCAGGATTGGCCATGTCCGTGTGCCCGTGTAACCTTTACCACACAATATCTCCCCCAGCTGTAAAGCCTTCTGCATAACCTTGCCTAATCTCTATTACATAGTATCTTCCTGTAGCTGACAAACATCGTACAAGTACGAACAAATTTGCCGGTCTCCATGGACCGAGGTCAAGGTCACATCAATGTTTCTCGCCCTATAAGCACATGCAGTTGACGGCGTCAGTGCGAATAGAGCATGCACCTTGCGCGAGCATCTCTCCGCGACCATTGCCTCGCGCCTCACGATGTCATGAGCGTTTCCCTGGTGAGGTGGCATGACCTCTTTTGCACAAAATTATGTAAGTTTAGGACCTTCGAGGGGACGAATGCCTAACATGACCGGTATTGCAAGACGTGCCGGCTTCCCTGACTGCTGTTGCAAGGTGTGTTGGCATTCCTGACTGGTCTTGTGTCGGCTTACGGACTGCTCTTGCAAAGTGCGTTGGTTTACGGCTTACGGACTGCTCTTGCAAAGTGCGTTGGTTTCCCCGACCGCTCTCTGCACAGCGAGACAGCCCAGCAGTTTGCGCACATGTGGCTAATCGAAGAGCCTGTACGGATGAAAGGGGCCCTCGGCCTTTTTCCGGCTTCCAGGAAGCCGACACAGCTGTGCCATCTGTCAACGTTCACCAGCCGCCAGCACAGTATCACCCAGCAGCTCAGCAGCCAGGTCTGGTCGCTTCACTGAACCAGCAGGTGTAGACACAAGGCACTTCACTTCTTATGCATGGTTAGGCACTTTTCATTACATTCTATTACGGCCAACCGAGTTTAGTCCCGGTAACCGGTTGGTCGGGTAGCTTATCGGTAGGGTGACCCATTGGTAAGGTAACCCTTCGGTGGGGTGAAGGCAGGTAACTCCTGGGTAACCCTGCCGAGGCCCCACCCTACCGACCGGTTGGGCCCGGTTACCGGTTGGCGACAGGTAGAATTTATACCATAGGACCATACATCCCTCCCTCCATACGTCCCTCCCTCCTAGCCAAATCCCAGAAGAAATTCTCCGATTGCTGTGAGAGCAGCCGATATAGAGTCCACTTCGCCAATCCGCCAACCCAGGAAGACCGCTCCAGCGCCCGTGGGTGGATTCGCTGAAAAACCTTTATACGCGCAACCTGCACATCAACGTCTTTGCCCTTACTTTTCAATACGGCAGTAAACCGTGCGCCATCAACTACAGCCGCAACATTTGGTTTCGTCACTTAACGCAATTTCGGTGCGCTTTGGCAAGTCCTTGGTCTCGTCCTAGCAAGTCCTGGTCTCAACAGTGCCGCTATGAGAAGCATTCGAACACATACAAAATCCGCAACGGGGCCAACGAGCCCACGATTCCTGCCGCCTGCAAACATACCTGCGAGTGGGCACTAGCTGCCCACTTTTAAGTATTGGCCTTATTCTCTATATGGGAAATGGCACAGAACTTACGTTCCGCCTTCTGGCCCTGGTTTTATGAATGAATTGGATGCCCAGTCGGACAGATATATATATCTGTGATGCATATATGGTATCTGCTATGCTGCACGGTAGCTAGCAGGGGGCAATATGATACACATGAAGTGCGCCACCAAACTTTCGGATGAGCTTCTGCTTTGCAGGTTTATGGTACATTTGAGTGATTTGAGGTGAGCCAGTTGGGGCGCAACGCGTCAGCGCGTGCGGATTACTGCGTGCAACCCTCTTGCAGTTCCTCAAGCACGTTGATGATGCGCCCTTCTACGACCGGTGCAATGCAAAATGTGCCTCGCTCTGGGTGCCTCACAGCCAGTCCATGGTCCTTCTTCCGGGCTCCTAGCCAGGACTCCCTCTCTTCATTTGGACTGCCATTTCCAAAAGACACGGCCGACCTGCAGCCAGCGGGAGCAAACAATATGCATGAAGCCAGCTCGCCTGCTCAAGCAGCCCTGAACAAAAGTGGACTGCGTCGTCAGTGGGTTATTAGTGACGCATGTACAGTGGATGGAGACCACAGCGTTGTACAGCATGGCTAAGCTGGCGTGTTTAAGACGGCCCAATCCTCCCCCATTGGCAAGCAACTGGTACACGTCGATGTCCTGCGACGGGTCCTAGACTAACGACGTGAAAGTATACCAGTCTCACACCATGCCTGATGCGCTTGGGAGGTTGATCTAAAGGACCCACTTGAACGAGGCCTTCTCGGATGTGTCCACGCGCTCCAGCCATTTGGACGCCAACGGTTTCAGCGCCAAGTGCGAGCGACTCATCTTGTTAAGGACCTGCAGCTTCAGAAAGTGGTTCCTGATTGTTGTCGGAACCACCACACCCGCCTCGTCGTCCACCAGCACTTTGCAGCTCTGCATGCAGTTCGCGCACCCGGCGGGGGAAGGGCGGCCTGTGGTGCTGATCTTACATAATGAGCACACGAGCACCGGACTCAAATCGCTCCTCAAAGCAATGTATGTGCACATCGCCAGCACATCGCCAGCACGCACACACGTGGACCGTGATTGTGAAACCTTTTCGATATGATGTGGTGATGATGCAGCTCAGGTTACGACGCTTTATATGGACTGAATACTGCTTACCGCCGTACACGGCTTTCCCCACCCCAGTTTAATGTCATGATGGCCGCGATGCATGCTTGATTTGGTTTGGCGGATTACGGGCTTGGGGAGTTACATGGAAAACGGCCTCCGCGTGTATGTCCCCGAGTTGTCGCACCCGGCGGATTTCAACACAACAGCCGCGAGGGCGCTCACCGCGAAGACATCGAATCCGTCCCTTCCAGAAGCCAGGTACTTGCCCACTGCCACTCGGTAGTTGTGGTCATCGCGGATGGGCTCCGGCTCCGACCCGACCTCCGTGGCGAACACGCTGCCAGGGACAATGCGCTGCCCTGGCGGCTTAGAAGGATCAAACTTGAACTTGAGGCCGCTGACCTGCGGGAAGCGCCCCTCCAATGAAGGCCACTGCGACACGCCGTTCTCCAGCGCTGCCACCACCTGCGCTCCCGTGCACTCCAGCACGACCGTAGGCGCGATGTATGGCAGTACGGCAACGAAGTCCTTTATTGCGAGCTTGCCTTCCGGATGAATCATGTCCGACCTGGCGGCGGGGGGATGCAGAGGATGCGAAGTTGTTCATTCCAACACAGTGCGTGCCATGCAGCGCCTGCGTGGTATGCAGCGCCTGCGTGGTATGCAGGTTCATCATCACCACGCGGCAGCAGCAGCAGCACCGGGCGCAGGGTCACGGGCTTGGCCGCAAATACTCCCAGAATCTGAATGATTTACGTAACACTAGCGTATCACTAGCAATAAACTGGCGCCCATGGAAGATCTGCTGCGCGAGCCTGCTATGCGTGCGTGCATGCGTGCGTGCGAGCGTGTGGTAGTTGTCAAACTGACGGCTTCACTTCGCACCTAGAGTTATACCTGCGGCGGAAACGCCTGCGAAAGCTGGTGACTTAATCTGACGCAATCTGATCCCCGCGCTACGCGAACCTACCTTAGTGAGCCCGAGTTTGTGATAACCATATCGGCTTTCGCCTCCTTGCGCCACACGTCCGTTACAAAGTTGCCCAGGTTGGACTCCCGACTGCGAACCGTCTGGAAGCGGCCGTCCAGCGGCTCCAGCGTCTCACCTGCGACCGGGAAAGGCAATGGGGGCCGGTAAACCGACACGTTCAGCAACCTTGTCACTCGGCTACAGCCATTTGCAAGCCACAACGAACTTGCACTTGTCGAGCAACGCGCTTCGCGGCCTTGAACCATGGGGACTACATCCCCTGAATGCATGCATGGTGCTTATGCAAGGCCGAAGCCGGGTCCATGGATGGCGGCAGCCGCGGCCACGTTGGCAGGTGTTTGGCCGGTGAAGAAAGTTTCTAAGAATCCTGTCGACGGTGAAGTGTAACAGCCTTCATGCCAACTTACCGACTTCCTCCGCCATTCTCTCGCCCATGACCTTGAGGTTCTCATCGACAATCTGCAAAACGTTATTTCAGGTTGGGTGACGATGAGGTTATGATGTTTGAATTTGCTCATCCGGTCATTTGCCTTGGCCGACATGGGGGAAAGAATGACCCGGCGGAAGCGCAGGTGGTTTTCAGGGTGGTTAGCGGCAGTTGTCTATGCAACTGCCCTTCCTAAACAGGTTATGGCAACGTGTCGATGTAGCACCCGCAACACGCGGGAGGAAACCCAGGAAGCAACGGATGAGCAAGTGCTCCAGCCAAACCAGTTGACGTGGTAAATAGCGGGGTTGCAGTACTTACAGCTTTCATAGCTGGGTCCTCGGGAATCGATGAATCTATCGGAATTCTCTCAACGGACAGCCTAGGATCTTTGGAGCCCTCGTCGAACTCCACCTCCACAACTGAGAGGTCCCGGAAGTCGGTACCTGCGGAAACGGATGGGCGGGTTGCATCATGAGTCATATGCCCTTACGTACATGCCCTCACGTACCAGCTGCCAACGTCACATCAGGACGCGGGTGCGTGCGACTGAAAAACGGACAATGGAACAATGACAAATGCATGCACGTCTACGTACGGCTGACGTCTTAAGCTGCGGCTTCCTTTCCGGCCGCTAACGGCTAGAGCCTGAGGTCGCACATGAAACTCGCACGTGCTATCGCGGTTAAACCCGTACGGCAAGGGTCGCTTGACCGCTTTGCATCCGACGGTCAGGAAGGTGAGGTCGTGGTTCAGATGGACGAGCTGACAGCCGCGTAGCCAACGTAACATGCAAGTGCCGGGGACGCCTGCAAAAACGGCGACCAGCTAACAACTATCCCCGAACCTGAGACCCACACGGCAGCTACCGGCCAGCCAGCCGCGCACCTGACTTCACTAACAGATTGTTGTGCGGCTCAATGAAGGCCGAGACGTAATGGTGGTCGTGGCCGCCCAGGACCTGGCGTCAGCCCAAGTGCACATTATTGAGTGAGCCACACAGCCACAGAGTTAACACATGGGGATAGAGAAAGCATCATAATCTACATAACTCATGCCGCGACTCAATTTCGAACTGCTACAACGGTGTACATTACCACTACCCTGGGAACACCGCGAAGCCCATCCGTTACTAAGGACCCACAATATCAACCCCCATGGCCCGTCGGGGAAGCCGGAGAGGATGAGGGCAGCCAGCTGGAGAGCCCTGAGCCGGGGGCCCAGGACAGGCGCCATCCAGCGTCTTAAGAGTGTGCGACCCCCTCACTCGGGGTGCACGGGTGGTACGAGCAAAATAAAACCCAGCGTGCATTTGCCGACGACTAGTCCCTGTACACAATGCAGCAGAAGGTAATGTGTGCAACCGCGTGCGATAACGTACGATGTGGAACTCGGGCAACTCCGCTGCCAGCCTGCGGTCGTTGACCTCGCGCATGTGGGTCACTGCGATCAGCAGCTCGGCGCCCTGGGCCTGCACAGCAACACGATTGCCGACGGGAGATGAGCAGGTTGTGGACCGGCAGGCCTACAGAACCCGGAACTAAGTCCACCTATCGCTACCCGTCGCTAACCGCTTATAAGCTTTGGCCAGGTCAATGTGTGTGCGCACATCTGGGATGATGTTCCTGGTAGGTTGGAAACGGTGTACGCACAGGCATGCGCACGACTACGACGGCTCACTACAGCGCGCGAGGCAGGGCCTCTCCCTTGGCATCCGTATCTGCCGATGATCTACTCTCTGGTTGGCCTGAGCGTTGAGTCATAACGCTCAGCAGCAGTAGTTACAGCTTTAGAGGTGCTCATACGCTGCATACCGCAACATCTGCTTTTGATGCCACGGGATACATACCAACCTTGAGCTCGGATGCCAATTGGCGGCCAACTTTGAAGAAATCCCTGTACTCCATTTCCTCAACGTTGACCGCGCCCAACGTCTCCAGCCACTCCTCCTCCACGAGGCCCACGATACCCACCTTGATGCCGTTCCAGTCCCGGAGCCAAACCTTGTCAGCCCCGCCGTACGGCGCGTCTGCAACGTCATACAGCACCAATGCATTCATACGGCTGCGATTTATGCACGAGAAAGTTTACCACCAAAGCTTTCCAGCCGTTCCGATGAATTGGCAAGCCAGTACCCTGCAGCCTACAGCGCGCAGCTAACCCATTGTTACCCATAACCCATACATGACACAACAGCCACAGGGGCTGTTTGAGTGATCCCCTTTAGGGGAAGAAGGGGTTCTTGGGTGACGCCACCAGGGGAGACTCCAACTTGATTACCAACGCTATCGCACCCAAGCAGTGTAGGCCAGGGAAGGCCCGGTCAGTTACTGCCTATCCACCGGAGGTCATGCTTGGCATGTCTACGCACCTGTGCCGGCCTCCATTACATTGGCCATCAGCCAGGGAAAGTTGCACCGGGAGTTCAGCTTCATCAAATTCTCCAGCCCATAGTCGAAGTCGTGGTTCTACAACGGGATGTGCGGCACGCAAGGGAGGGAGCAAGAATTTTTAAGACTGATGCATCGGCATCGGCATTGACACATACGTGCTCCGTGAAGCCCAGAGGCGCCGGCAGCTGGCCCATTTACCCCAGAAAGCCCTCCTAATAAAAAGGTCACAAGACTGCCTTGGGCTAACATATCTCAGCACATATCGCGGCTCAACGAAACATATCCAGACAGCTGTTTGAGGAACCGAAGGGCAGATAGCCACGCTGACCCCTGCCATAGCTAAGGGTGCTATGAACTACATAGGTCACGAAAGGTTTTGAGAGTGAATTTGCCCCATTAATCCAACACGTTGGCTCCGCTTATTTGGCGTATGGAAGAGTAGTCGTACGGCGATTTCAGATGGAATTAATCACTGGTATATTGCATCTGCTGCTGGGTATCTCGACGTATCTCTTACACAACCTTTACACCCGGGGCAGGGTTTCAACATGACACGTTCAGGTCCATCACTAATGTAGCATGATTTAGATGGCGATAATGATGATGATAATGATGATGATGATGTTGATGATGTTGATGATGATGATGATGATGATGATGATGATGATAATGATGATGATGATGATGATCACAGTCATTGACTACAAGTGCCAATTAAGGTTTCGGGAGCATCCCTGACCTTAGTCATGCACACATGCATGCACGCGCGTTAGTTCCGAGGGGCCTCTTGCTGACTGGTTTATGACTCTGCCAAGACCGCCCTGCTGGACCCCCGCACCCACCCCAAGACAGGAGACATCCACACCGATCTCGTTGAGCACAGCCACCATCTGCTTCCCCATCGTAATAGTTGACATGAGGCTGGGGTTGTACGCATCACCGCTGAAGCACACCAGGGGATTGGCACCCTTGCTTCTGTACTCCTTGACCTGCCAGTGTGCGCAGAATGGGGCGGTCGGGGGGAGGCGGCGGGATGTGTTGTGGATGCCTGCAACTAGACAGCAACCGCGTTGTGTGCACAATTCTCTAGGGAGAGAAGGGCAACAGGAATGGTCGAAGATGATGCAGTTGATTCACCCTGCTCTGCCCAGGGGCCCATGTTTGGCGCTGCACAGCATCTTTCTTTTTGATCTGCTGGGATGGCCGGGATTTCTGCAGTCGTCTCTGAGTGCTCGCCGTTGGAGGGATGGCTGGCGCAGTGACGTAGAAGTGTAACGTACTGAGGATAAGACGTGCTTGTTCGTGGAGGATCAAGTATGCAGGTCCTGAAACCAACCAAACTGAATCCAACCAACTGAGCCGAATGGTGACGGTCCATCACTACATCTACAGACGGGGTTGAATAGCACGCAGCACTTTCTGGCTGGCGTGCGTGCATGGGCCCAGCAGGCTGCCGTCTGTAAAGTAATCATCATCTATAGATCATGCCCTGCTGGTACATTAGGTTGGGACCGTCCCTGTAAACGGTAAAAAGTAATAGAGACAGCGGCACTCGGTGATAGGCAGCACCATGTGTTCGCCAGGTGGGGCATAGCAAACGCAAACCGCACTTTTCCATCAAGGTGCAGCATCGGCCTTTCAACATTTATTCCAATCAAACAAGAAAGCATGCACTTTTCGCGTTTTTTCTTGTATCCGCCTTTGTTTCGCTCTGTATCCTTGCTTCTAAACCCTGTGCCCTTAAGCAGGCCAACCATATTCCATCACACAGCCGTGTGTGCAGTCTCACCTTGTAGCAAAGACGTGAAGCTCCGCCAACGGGTTCAGCCTTTCCGGGTTCTATATTGTATATATCTGCAACTCAGAACGACGCAATAGTCAACTCTAAGTGCCAGCGACGATCTGGCACGCCGACATATTACCACATATCTGACCATTGAAATGCAGGATAGTTAATTTGCGGCCGCGGCCAACAGCTGCCGCGTCGTTTCCACTGGAGTTTTGTTGCACCGGTGCGCCCTGCGAAGGCCCAACTTTGGTTCCCGCATCCCCAGTCCCCTTGCCCAGATTCTGTGCCGATCCTACTGTAGAGGATGGCTTTCGCGCGGCAGGACTTGGAGCTTTGACGGCTTCATTTGAAGCGTGCGTATGAGACGAACATCCTGCACCCATTTTTGGCGAACTGTTGACTGACAGGACAATGCAAACAAGTTCCTGCATGCACTGCTTTTGATTTTCATCTGCGTACACATGCATCCAGGAATACGGAAATGCAGTGTCCAATCCTGACCAGGCTAGAGTGTACGTCCGCCTGGATGCCGCGATTCCAACGATTTTTAAATCAGACTTGACAAAGAGTTGATGTCATATCCTCTGTAATATTACCCAAAGACTGTTTTCGAAAGTTGTGTTTACAGCTGATTCGATTACGCAACGATTTAAATGGTTCAGGACGTACACAGGGCAACCGAGAGATTTTAAATAGTTATTTATAATGATTATGGTCTTTTTTAGCTCAATTGAGGTACTAAGGAAGCTATAGCACCTAGGCTAGAAGTAGAACTTAACACGGATCAGAAATCAAGCGCTTCTGTAGGTACCAGCAGATAAGAATCAAGTAATTGGCTTAAAATTATATTGCAGACGGAAGTCAACCAATGAAGTCGATCACTCGAGGTTTTGGCGGATCTCGCTACGTAGTTGGAAAGTGGGTTGGAGGAGGTGCATGAAAACGCCACATGTTGAAAGTGCTATGGAAAAAATGAGTGAACCAAATCTGAAGAAGGAATGAAAGTACATGAAAGTTGTTGAATACGTCTGTGATGTACTTTTTCTCGCGGTACGCGTATGTACGTTTGCCCACCTGAAGAATTGTCTTACTGTGTAGTGGGTGTGGTTGAGGATGCTCCAGCCTATGTTGTGATGGGACTTATGATAAACGGCACGAGCACGGTGACTTCAATGAGGTGTGATTAGCTTACAAGGGGCAAAGCTGTCTGATGAGTTGTGCATGTGTAACAAACGCCACATTACAAAAACATTCTTTGTCTTGTGCCTAGTCTGTGCCTTGGTGGCCAAAACGCCAACTTCTTCGCCTGGTTTGCCTGCGACGATCCTGTCATTCGTTCGGAAAGGCATGAGACTTGTTGTCCGAACAGCAAACACGGCAATGCAAACATAAACTCCCTCCTCTCTCCCTCCTCTCCCTCCTCTCCCTCCTCTCCCTCCTCTCCCTCCTCTCCCTCCTCTCCCTCCTCTCCCTCCTCTCCCTCCTCTCCCTCCTCTCCCTCCTCTCCCTCCTCTCCCTCCTCTCCCTCCTCTCCCTCCTCTCCCTCCTCTCCCTCCTCTCCCTCCTCTCCCTCCTCTCCCTCCTCTCCCTCCTCTCCCTCCTCTCCCTCCTCTCCCTCCTCTCCCTCCTCTCCCTCCTCTCCCTCCTCTCCCTCCTCTCCCTCCTCTCCCTCCTCTCCCTCCTCTCCCTCCTCTCCCTCCTCTCCCTCCTCTCCCTCCTCTCCCTCCTCTCCCTCCTCTCCCTCCTCTCCCTCCTCTCCCTGTGAAAGCTTTGCTCATTAATCTTGGAGATGTACCCCGTTTCAAGGTTCAACTCCGTACACGACACTTATTGCAGTTATTGGATACAACGTTCCATAAATTATACTAGTTCTTCTTTCTTTATTTGTCTTCTTTGCTTGCCGGTTCACGTTGCCTACAAGTCCGGTCGATTTGCGTCATGTGAACGTTTGTAACCGTCTTATGCTCGGCCACTATTTCACACTGCACATCTTCCTGGCTTCTCAATAACACCGCGCTTCGGCCCCGGTCGCAGCGCCTCCTGTTACAACATTCTTGCCGGGTTGCGCAAAGAGTAATTGCAATTACTCTGAGTCCGAGCGTGACTCGTCATTTTTTCATCCAATGACGAGTCACGCTCGGACCTATAGGTCCTTGCCCACCGTCTCTGCGTAAGTTATGCTTATCTTCATGATATGGAAGATAAAATGATTATTTTCGTAAAAAAAGTTAAAAAACCTTATAGTTAATTATTCACCCGTTTCCCAGACTTTTGAAAAAATACGATTTTGCGTCGAGCTGTGCCGGCATCCCCGGCAACAAATTTTCTTAGGGTGTGTTCACATGTAGTCCAATTGAGAGTCTGATTGGGAGTCCGATTCGGGGCGGCTTTCTGAATTGTGTTCACATACGATTGCGGCCACCGCGCGAGGTGCCACCGCGCCCAGCTGAAGCTCCGCGGCTACGCCCCATCACCCAAGGCAAGCCAGCATTATCTAGGAACAGAACAGTATAAGTATCGTTTCTATGGCGAAAATTATCACCAGGCTTGTACATACGTAGCTGCAGGAGTTCGTGAAAAATGCTCGGTGCGCTTTGCGTGAATTAACAATTGGAAAATGTTCCTATAGTATTGTAATGGTAATTATGAGAAACGGTTTGTTAAACAACTTTGTTTTGAGAAAGAAAACTGTGAATCACGTCGAATCATACCCGAAGAGGCCCCCCCGGACCCAGGAGGGTAGGATTCGGGCTGGAATTAGGGAAGAGCTCTGTCGCAGAATTAGCCTGGATTTTATTCCTGACAAAAGAATTGGTCTGCCGAGGTCTGGAATTGTTCTGGCGGACCCGCCGGAGGTATTCGAAAA